GAAAAACTCGCTGAAAAAATGAAGTATTGCGGCAAAAATATGCATGTATTTGGTCTAAGTATTAGTATTAAGTCTGTTTGTCTGATGAAAGTAAGTGTAGTTATTAACCATTATACAGTTACACGCCCGTACTTCTAAAAATATCCTCTGGATTTAATAGAATAAGGTAATTCTAGAAGGTCATTCAATTTAAATACATCTCTGCTATTGTATTCAATACATTTATGCTGCCAGGATGTCTTCTTATAATGCAACTTAATTATTCTATGAAGCAGGTCTTTGCACAGAGGCACATATAAATGGAAAGAAGAGTGATAATGGCTGAAAGGTAATTAGCGTTGTACCTAATTAGAGCCAAGAAAATCAAAAGACATAAAGATGAACTTGAGGCCTCCAGGTCTCACAAGGACCCCTCACCCTGAGGGTCCACCTCCTTGGAGATCTTGAGGGCGTCGGAGTTGGCCAGGTCGGTGTTGGCCGGGGTGACGGCCAGGATCAGACAGCTCTCCTTGGTGATGAACTGCATCAGCATTTCCCTGATCTGGTGCTCGATGTCCACCGGCTGGTCTCCCACGGCAACTTTGGTCATCCCCGGCAGGTCGATCAGGGTCAGGTTCAGCACTGAGGGATGTTGATGGATAGCGATGGTGGAGGAATTAATTATAGGTTGAAAAGTGACATCTAAAAGGCGAAGGTTGCGTGTGTGTGTGTGTGTGTTACCATTGGGAGAGTAAACGCGCAGGTTGATGGGGATGGAGGAGATGCCCTTGTTGGATCCGGTGATCCGGTCGGTCTCTGCTTCGATCTCCAGGCGGACCTCGTCGAAGTCCACAAACTTGCGTCCCTTACAGTGCAGGAACTCTGCATACTCTGGAGTGAGGGCAAGTGATGGATGGGACATGGATGTAGAAAAAGTTGCATTTAAAATAGGGCACAACGAGAGGCGGCACACAAATGTTGAGGGTCAGAGAGTCAGTAATTTCATAAAGCACGTTGTTGTAAATTAGTCTGGATGTTATGGTACCTTTTTGAGAAAGTGTGTGTGTGACACATTTATTGTACATTTGGATGGTTATAAGAATGTATGTTGTCTACGTAATGCTGACGATCGTCGTCTCATTAGATGTAACTGAAGAAATTAACGGATTTAAGGGGTAAAAACGCTCCCGTTTGACTCAACTTGCCTACTTTACTGTTGACCAGCTGGAGGATGAGAGGACGGCGCGTGACGATGCCAGATCCTCTGGGCAAGAAGTCCCTGACGGAGAAAATGAGAGAAAAAGTTCAATACAAACAGACAAAATACCACAATATGTCACATGAAATGTTAAACAACATCATCCATCCATCTGCAAACCGCTTCTCCTGCACACACGCTCACACAGGGTCTCCCAGCCCACTACGATAGACGGGGTACAGCCTGGACTGGTCGCCAACAACATCAGGAGAAATCAATCGCACTCGATGTGGTCCCCGATTAAAAATTCAGCGATCGAATACACTTTTAGCAGACAAATATAAACTGGGATGGAAAATCTCATGAGCACTTTGTCTTCATGCCTCCTCATGTCAGAGTCCTGAATGAGTGTCAGCTTCTAACAAGCAAAGAAAACCGGCTCTAAAACGTCTCTGCAGTACATTTGTGCATTATTGATACAAGGAAGAGCTTGACTTACAACCCTGTTCATTATAAATGGTGCAAAGATAAAGAAACGTGTCTCAGTTTCCCTTTTTCATCACACACGTCCATCCCAAAAGAAACGTTCAATCGCGTTGTGACCATTTCCAGGTCAATGACTGCACATCTCTCCAGGCTACGAGGAGAATGTGTCCGTGTCTGTCTGTCCTCCTGCCTCTGTGTTTGCCGGGTCAGCAGCAATGAGTTGAGTCTCAGTGTAAGTTAAGCGGGACACACACACACACACACACACTATGCCTGTTGTCCACTGCTGACCGAGCAGTCAGGATGTTACACAACAGTGATTCTCATCCTCTTTCCTCATCTCTTCCTGTCAGTTATGAAAGTTCAATAATAGTTTGACCAACAACACTGTTACTCAATTAAATCGTTGTGGTCATTCATTAAAATCACAACCAAACATTCTGTGGCTCATTTTAAAAGAACATTTCGGGCTTTACAGTGTAAATCGTTGCTTCTATCTAGAGTGGATTGATCTGACTAGTATGACAATTCATCTGCAGCAGTTTTAAGTCATGATTAATTGTTTAGTCAATCAATTCAAAATAGATCTGGTTTCAACATCCTGATTGTGAGATTTTGGGGATTTTCTGTTTTCTCATTGCACACCACAAATATTTCAAAAACAGTCTGGTTATTTTTTAGTCCTAGACTAAAAAAGACTTAAAAATGATCTACAGTATTCACTAAACTAAATGGATAATTATATTTATTATTTCATTAATAATCTTGCGATCCCTCAGATGAATCATGAGACCCATCGACGGGGTCCCTACCCACATGTTGGGCACCAAGAAAAACGGCACTGACTAAATAAAAGAATAAAGTGATCTCTCGTGCAAACGTCACTGGGCTAATTAATAAACACGTAAGCAGCTAAGTAGCCTTCCGCGGGTATCTGGTACCCAGTGTTTCATATACACATGACAGTGCAGCTGGTGACATCACTGATGACCCCAGTGCAAACGCATCAATGCTGCTACTGTCTCCCCGCGGCCACTGCTCGGGACTCGGAGACAAAAGGCTACAGGAAAAGAAGGAGACGTGGCTGGCAAATCAACATTCCCCATCTCTTGAACAACGAGTGAAATCATGTAGACAAGTTGAGGGTCCTCTCCTGTGGCAGATGGAAACACGACGCTGCTACGGATACCTTCAGTAGATTAGGCCTTTTACGGCGGCTTCCTCCCCCTCCCTTTTCCCAACAAACAGATCTTTCCCTGAGGCTTGTTTGAACTGCCAGACGAACCGACTTACTTTCTCTATTGGTTCAAGCGGAGCACAGTGGACTCAACACATGTTATTGGATGGAACAGTTGGTGTATTTTAATTTGTCATCAGATTCGGTCCACACAACTCAAATTCCTTTGCACTCATTCATCAACCTCGAGGAGAAATCCATCAGTAATGCTGGCTGGGACCTCATGAAACCTGCCAATGATCTCTCCGTAGCTCACCTCACCCTCGGAAGTAAAGCAATGACCTGACCTTTGCAACGTGAGGCCCATAAAGACGTGTTTACAGTCTCAAAGAGAACCAGCTGGGTCAATGTTTGACAGGATGATCAGCGTCTGAACCGACCGGTGGTGCTGTGGAGTTACGTGAATCTATAAATCTCCCTTTAGACACATTTAAAACCAAGTTCGCCCTTAGTGTTTGTCTCTCAGCCAACAGCTGTTTCCCTTCGCGTATCGTGCGTAAAACCGGATCGTGAGTAGCTCGGCTCCAACAAGGAAAGAATCCGTTAAAAAAAAAAAAAAAAAAAGGAATTGGGAGGCGCCGACAAAACACAGCGCGTAAACACAAGTGCTTAGTTGGCGACTTTTACGCAAAAGCTCGGCGCAGATGGTTTGAAAAGAACGACGAGGGCCACACACAACCGTCACAGGAGGAAAAACCAATCACATTCACATCGACACATTGATCCTTAATAGCGCTACAACCTCCCGACGAAGTTCTCCAGCACGGAGCTCTTCCCTGCGCTTTGGCCGCCGACGACCGCTATCTGCGGCAGGTCCAAGTTGCACGTCTGGCCGATGGTGCTGAAGGCGTCTTGGAGTTTGTTGATAAGGGGAATTAGGTCTTCCATCCCCCGGTTTCCCATGGCGGCTCCTCGGTCAGCCCGGCAGGCTCTATGCTGCTTTGCAACCCCCCCTCCTCCTCCGGTCAAATAGGAGCTATAAGCGGTCTCTCTCCAAACCTCTCTCCAAAGGTTCCCAGATGTCGCTGCGGTCCGCCGCAGTCTCTGCGGGTTTATTTTCAGCGAAACGCACGTTAGTTCAGAGTTAAGAGTCCCGAGCGCGCTCAGAGCCCCGGCGAGGTCACTTATCTCAACGGTTGCATGATAAAAGTACAAACTGTAAAGCGAAAACTTCTGTCACCATCCGGTCAGGCGACACCCAGCCTCCGCCTCCAGAGGGAGCCCACTCTCCGCTCTCATTGGTCGGCTGGGACGTCTGTCAATGTCTACGCGTCATCATTTTTATAACGCCGTTTCGGGATTGACAAACTAAGAAAATTGACATAACAGCTAGTTTATCTGTACATTATCTGTTTTTAGTTTTTAGCAGGTGTTTTCGTGAATGAATGATTTGCTATAAGTCGCTTGACCAAAGATAAAACATGAATGTTGAAACCGATTTTTCTTTACCATGTTTCCTTGTAACTGTTCCCAATGCTCCATGGAAATAAGCATGACACATTAAAACGCATCACATAATGATTTAAAAGGTCAAGTATCACTGATATTAGTATATCATAATTCTTGTAGTGGACACACATAATATTTTATAATGAAATGGCACCGGTTCATTATATCATAATGTGATTGGAAGATACTACATTAAGATATTCAATCTAGAAGTTACTCAATGTTTGATTTAAGTAAAGTGAAAATACATATTATTATGTGTCAGTTAGAGACAAACAATCGTAAAGTATTCTTTGGTATAATGTGTTATGAAGCATTATTAATATGTACAAATGTATGACTATACAGAGCAATATATATACATACATATATAAATATATTATTTCTGTATAACATCTGGCAAGTTCCATTCAGTTCAAAGTTCCATAAATGAGCTTCAAAGCAACATACGGTGAATATGTTTTTTAATGTATCTGTGACAGCTGGAGAGTCTGCTCAACCAGAAGAGGGTGCTGCAAAGCAACACAAGACGACACGTGTTCTCCTACAGTAGATGTACTGTATTCAGTGCAAATATGCAGCTGTTCGTCAATCATGAGCTTTAATAGATCATGATCAACTGAAATCGTGGACACTGAAGGCATCTTTGTCTCAAGATACAGACATTTAATTACGTTTCTTCACAGAGAGACCGAGAAATGGTTTTAAAATAAGAAGAAATACATTTTTGTGAAGATTTACTACTGTCAGATTAGCTTCACAGTCATGAAAATAATGATTAGCAAACTGGTTGTCTCCACATTTATTCCACATCATCAGGTTCTTCACTCAAAAATGTTGGTTGAATTACTCTTCTCCGTCCGGGGCGTAATTAGGCCAAACAGCACAAATGCAACTCCTCAGTTGACATCAACAGGCGAAAGGCCGTTAACCCTCCCCCTCCCCCACCCCTCCCCCCCCTCCTCTGCTGGGACAACGGCACGGTGCTGCTGGAAGGTGACACTGGCGTAGTGGAGCTCGTCTGCGGGACGGTTGACGGTTGCATAAACAGACAGCGGTGCGTCTGCTGGCCGTGTCTGCTGGCCCAGCATCCGTATCTCCACGTACTGGTGATCTCCGGGATCGTCCTGCAGAGGAAGAGGGCCGCAGTGTGATGCATGCAAAAGTTGTGCGCGTATACAAACTTCTCAAAACGCACACAAACACACACACACCTCTGTGTCATGTTCATCGTCTCTCCTCTGCTCAGATGATCTGCCTGAGGCACAACACACAACACACAAAAAGATTAACACAATTTTCTATATTTTTTTGTGAAACATTATGAATATTTCTTATGTTTCTAACAATAATTGATGTTATTCAGAGTTACAGGCAGATTCTAACGCATTATGAGTAAGTTTATGAGACATGGACCTCATGGCGCCTTTTAAAGGCCGTTATGAGCAGGGACAGTTTTTCTTACAAGTGAAACTGTTTCAATATTGATGTTTCATCTTAACTCATCATCGTCAAAATCACGTGCAAGTTAGGCATTCCATTCCATGTGTGCGTCTTTATTTAAGTTATTCAGCATTAAAATCACACAATCTGATTGGTAAGCATGTACAATCCCATGACCTATAGACTACCGACAATCAATTGACCAAGTGAACGATTCCTTATAAAATATTTTGAAAACTACTAACTAAAAGAAGTGCGGGTGAGTGTTTGTGTATGTGGGCATTTGAATGTTTTTGACCCTTACCTTGTCGTCTGGTGTGTCTGTGTTTGCACAGTAAAACTACGAGTACAACTATCAGTAACAGCGCCAGACACACTAACCCAACGGCAGTCGGATCTGCAACAAAGAGATGCAACCGTTGTTGAGGAATTCACGACGCCAGCAGACTTTCATTGTCCTCAAGACGTGTGTGCAACGGGAGAGGTTGTGTTGTTGTTGGTTTGTGAAGTAGAAGTTGTGTTCAGGGAGTCGTCCACAGCTGCTGCTGCTGCTTCGCAATAGCAGGTGGTCACCGGAGGTCACAAGGTCACCTGGATGGAGAACTTCACGGCCTTTAAAGGATTCTGTTGTCTGCACAGCCGGAGGATCTGGATCAGGTCTTCTGGTTGTGTGTCGGTGTTCAGCTGCGTGAGGGGAAAAGTGTCTAAATCAATTCATCTCCCATCTATGTTTTCCCCCTCTCTTTGTTCCCTCTCCAGGTTCTTTACTGCCTCAGTGTCCTTATTGCACTTTACCTCGTTATGTTCACTACTTATGAACAAATCAAACCTATTTAAAGTATTGGAAGCAAAATGTACTCAGTTGCTGGAAAAGCACAATGGCCCCTGTCAGTGTGACGTGATCATATACTGTAAATGAATTACATTGTTTGAGTTTAATTACTAAAGTGTTCACAATATGTAGCACTTTAAAGATAGGACCTTTTAACATTTTCATGGAATCCTTTCTAACCGATGATGCTACTGACGGTCTGCCGCGGTCCAAAAGGAAGCACATTTGAATCATTCTGCAGACTACTAACTCGCAGAAAATCGATCTACTCAAGTATTTGCTTGATGCTAGTCATTTATTTAGTTTTTCGCTCAGGCAATCAGCTGTGTGAAATAAAAACTGTATATGAACAGACCTTTTAAAATAGCTGAATACAGTTTTAATATTTTCCAAAGTTACATTTTTTGTACTCCATTCGGGTCACAGGTGGATAAGTTGTATGTTTCAGTATAAGATAAAAGTTCTTACTGCGCTCAGTAACAGAGAGGAGGAATTTGGTGTACACATGCGCCGCTGTGCTGCTGGAGCCACACCAGTAGGTCCCAGAGTCGTCTCTGCTCAGACTGCCGATGTCCACGTAGAAGTACTTCTTCCTTCTGTTGTCCCTTATGTGAAACTTGCCTTTATGCACATCTTTCTCCTGCTCGGTGGCATTTATCCACCAATTACAGTTGAGAAGACTGCTCCCCTTGCACAGGAATTTATCATTGCTCTCATGGCTGTCTGGATAGTGGCATTCAAAATGGCCATTCTGTCCAAGGCTGTAGTTTTCTGCCAACGTTGTAGTATCATTCAAGTCTGAAAACATATGATTGGTGTATTTAATTACTAGATTATTTTTCTGACCACAAACATAAATAACTCATTTGAAATAACAAAACCCGGGTGTCAACAGTGTATCACTCAGTCACTGCCAGTGAAAATATAAATGATAATTACAATTAAACAAAAACTGATTTATTTATTTAATTATTATTATCTGATAACGATAATCCAAACATTAAGAAGGCAGTTGGATAGGTCCAAATATAATTTAGCATCATATTAAAAACTAGTGATATATTTTATATATGTACATTTATTTACTGCAAAGTAAGAAGTAGATATGGTGTCCAATACATGCCGGGGAGTACAAGAACGTTTTGCTTTGTAGTCAAGAAGAAGTTTAAAGAAAAAGCCTCAATAAAGTGCCTCATTGGTCTTTGAGCAACAATATTTTGTTATATTTTTTGTCATCCAACAGGCATGTCTGTACAAAGGTACTTTGCACGATGTTCCAGCCCTTCTTCTTAATTGTACTCACCGGTTACGTTCTCACGTCCTCCTTTGTGTCCTCTGACGGAGGAGAGTCCCACACCAGCTGTTTGTAAGTAAACCATCCGTTATTTCTTCATAACACTGTCAACAGGTTTTTGGCCACAAATGTTTTCTAATCCAGACAAAACACACAATAAAATTACCTGCCATTAAGTACATGATGACTTTCAATGATATCGTCATTGTTTCAGTCCATTTTTTTCCAGCCTACTATAGTTTAATTACCACTTTAAAAAATATGATGCAATTTTGCTGTGCCTTCCTTTGCCACGGAGAACTACTGTCACACCTTCTGTCCCTCCGTGCAGACGCAGCTTCTGCTTTCGGGTACATAATTAGACATTTGCATTTTAAAATGAGGATACATGCTTTTCATGCAGAGAGTGAAAGGAGGATTGAGAGTGCTGACTAATATACAGAGTGATTCCTCACCTGCTGCATCTCATGATCCCTTCATCTGTTTCGACGTAAAACCCAAATATAGTTACTGCTCAGACCACCATGTCTCTGTTATCTTTAGAGCAACTGTAACAGTATATATATATATATATTTATTTATACTGTATTTACATTTATTTGAAACCAATTCAAAACCAAGAGAAGAATTTAAATTTTAAAATCATCCAAGCTTAACAGTGAATGAGCGACTTTTACACACTGTGCCATAATCATCAAAGCCAGCATCAAACCGCATAGATAGATGATGACAAGCTAACAAACAGCTAACGAACACAAGCAGATGAGGAGCAGCTGAGACGATCACTCCTTCTTCGTGTTGAAGGTTCTGACCCAGTTAACTCCTGTGATTGGAGAATCATTTGTTACACAATAGTGTTGCAGAGACATGCAAGTTAAATCGAGGTCACTGTATCGTTTCTGTGTATCCTCAGTCTAAAGTACAGAAACACCAACACAATCCCAACAGCAGCACCTCAACAAAGTACAGCTCCTTTCCCGCCGGTGATGGAAACACATTATAACTCTGTACGCCGTACAAAGATTTGTACTTTGCTGCAGTCTGTTTACCTTTGAGATGCACTTGTTAATTAAAAAAAAACTCTTAAACTTCAGTTCTTACACTTATAATACACTTGTTAAATACGTTTAGTATTTGAATAACAAACTATCCTAAACTTTCCCTTTTTTCAAATACAAGCCAGGAAACAGGGCTGCTGCACACAGGTGTGCCGGTTTCCTGAGCAATTACACTTTTTATGAAACTAAACAAAACCTGTGTAAAGCTCTAGTTTGGCAACATGAAGTAATACCCAACAATAAGAAGACATTATTCTGCTTTTCACCCCTAACATGCACCTCAGATCGACCCTGTGTAATTCCTTGTGTGAGGTGTGTCAGCCGCAAGCACATGTGCTGGTGCTTCAAACCACAGACTTACACTAACGGCCCTCGGCCAAAGGTAGTGAAGTAATAAGGAAGGCAAATAAATAACTTTGACTTCCCTTTGTAGACTTTTAAACAGATTTCTGTTTCAGAATCAAACATTGCAACATTCGACATTTGACACTATGTTTTGGCATCATTCAGGGTTTATTGAGGTCACATGCAGAATCTTTCTCTTGGATCCATCATAGAGATAATATTTCCCTCTCTTCAAACATTTTAAAGTTGGCTAAATGCAAATTTTCCTCTCACGATAATAAAACAATATTGATGACCTTTTATATTCCCATGTTCATATTGTCACAAGAAGTGAACTACTCTGCATTCCTTTGATTCTTCTCACTGCTTCAAGAGAAAAAACAACCACATAATAAAGCCTTTTTGTAATTAAAAAAATATTAATGAAATATTTTTACCTGGAAGTATCATCAGCAAAACGCAGCGATGGCATTTCTATCAATGGATTTTGGTTTGCTGCAGAAAATAAGCTCTGTGCAAACACACTAATACTTAAGTAGGAGTAACGTCTAACTACGTGTACATAATGGGACGTCTTGTTTAGAATGATGATCACAAATGAACACCGATTTCATTGAACTCATTCCTGCAGAACTCTGTAGAGATCTTCACACACATTCTCCTCTAGCTTTTGTTTTCCTGGTTTCTCTGTTCACCAGCTCTCGGACCCCTCAAATGAGTCTAAATGCAATCTGAGGCTTTCCTCCTCTACGATTGGACCAAAGTCTAAACACAAAGCGTGGCCACTTCAACTCAAAGGTGAAGGTTGGACATCTGTACACAAAAGCTGCTTCCTCTGCTCACATCACCTTCTCAGTTTCTATTTCATTAAAGCTGTGTGTGTGTGTGTGTGTGTGTGTGTGTGTGTGTGTGTGTGTGTGTGTGTGTGTGTGTGTGTGTGTGTGTGTGTGTGTGCGTGTGTGTGTATCATTTCACAGCAGCAAAAAAAATACACTGAGAAAAAAATGTAAATATAGTGATTGGACAATTAATTAATAATTTTATTAGGCTAAAATCAAAAAAAGATTGAACATGATTCTAATATTAAAGTACTTTAACATATTTATATATTCCTAAATTTCGTATTTGTCAAACAATAAATACATTCTGAAGTACTTACATTCTGTGAATTTGTTGTTTTCTTAGAAAAAAGTGTGATTGGTGTTTATTTTCAGTTTAGCGTGACGTTGACCTTTAGAAAGAGGAACAAGCTGCACTTAAGATGATCAGTGCAAAGGAGGGACTTTGCAGTAGAGCGATTTATCGGTTGCCTTGTGTTTGACGGTAGAGTACGTGAGCTCGGCGCCAGGTGTGTCCGTGCTGTCGTCTGAGTGTTTACTGAAGCTAACTGTGGTGTAGAGAAGGTCGTCCAGTTGGACCTGAGAAACAGACGAAAAGCAGGCGTTGGAGTAAACAGTGGAGGAGCTTGAGGTGCAGCGAGCGTAGCGTCTGTTACCTGATGCTTGTTGGCAGAAGTGAGGTTGCCTTTTTCTTGTTTCTGAGGGGAAACCGTGGCATCGGCCGCGCCGTCGTTCAATCCTGCATGTGCAGTGCGGATTTATTTTTGTTAGATCTATGAGAAAACGTTGCCTTAAAAGCAGAACATTTCAATAACTTGCTGACTCATGGAGAGAAGAAGAAAAAAAAAAGAAAGTCATTCCATAGGTCAATTATTGCTTTTGCTATTCTCCCTTTACCTCCTTATACTATTGTTTTACATTTAGTGGACTAAAAGTCTGCATTTGAGTTTTAACGTGCAGGGAAATCCCTGAAGCCAGAACACTCTTTTGTCTCACGCACTTACTTATGCAATTTTAATGAAAGTGACTGGGCACCATATTTGGGTCTGTGGTTGTTGGTGGTGGTTGCTAAGGTGACTCTGTGTGGTTGCTATGACTCGATGTGCGTTTTTTAAAGAGAGTTGCAGGGTGGTTGTGCGGTGGTTTCTAGGTCATAGTGTTCGGGGCTGCGCGTCACTGGGTATTTTGGCACAGCTGCTCACTTTGGTCTGTTTTCTACTGTGGGTGTATTCAAAATGTCATCATGTTGTGAAAATATTTTCGTTAGAGTCTCAGTTTTATACCAGGAGATGCATGGAAGTATCTGTTTCGATGTCTGAAGACTAATAAAAGGACCACCGACAGAGCCAGCAGCACCACCCCGAGACACGCTCCAATGTACACCAGCTTATCTGAAAGAAAAGAGACAATATCACGTCCCAGTAAGGACACACACACACACACACACACACACATCCAGAAAGTTGCTTACTGGAGGATGAAGTATTGGAATTTGATTGTGAATCCTCTGTGTTTTCCAAAAGAAGAAAATATTTATTTCGTTAATCTCAGTCACATTTAATTTATTGAGTTTATGCCTCATTTGTTTTCTTTAATTACTGCAAAACAAAGCAGATCGGTTTAACACAGACTATGATGAAATATTAGTAATATTGTAGTGAAAAAGAATGGGGACAAAGGTTTTCATCTTTTAAGTGACAAAGGTTAACAACGTCATAAAAGCTATTTACACAGCGCTGGATTTACTCACCCTTTATGACCGTGAGGACGACTTCATTGTATGTGTCCACACCCACTCGCTCTATTCCGCACCAGTAAGTTCCTGAGTCGTCCTCGGTCAGACCAGAGATGGTCACAGTGAATGTGTTTCCTTCATCTTTGATACTGTATTTCCCGTTTGAATCCTTATGTTTGCTGCTGCGGACTAGGATGTCTTCCTCGTCACACGCTCCCTTGCAGAAATACTTGACGTTGGTAGATGCGTACGAGTGAGAGCATCTTATTGTCACCTCCTTTCCGGCCATTCCTGTTTCCGACAGAGCTTCAGTCTCCCATAAACCTGCACAAAACACCGAGACGGTAGTCAGATTTTCCTTTTATAGTTACACTGAATATTAATAACCAGAAGGACACATCGTGACCCTTTTGCTTTCTAGCACCTGACACAAGTTTCATGTCGACAGTCGTAGGCTGTTTCTGCTTCGTGTTCTTTATTTGAATAGTCGCAGGTGGCAGACGGGGGTTAAAAAGTTATGCAGTTACGCAAGAAAAAAAGCAGATATTCTAATGTAAACCTTTTTAATGCTGTTAAGTCCCTGGATGTGGAAAATGCTGCTTAAAAAATTCAAAAACTCCCTAAACTTGATAGAACTCTCAACAAAACTATTTGTTTACGACTATATTTTAAAGGTCCTCCAGCTTTCTCAAAGTGTTTTAAAAAACAACTACAATGACGTTGCACACTTTAACACAACAGTTATGAATTACTGGCAGCAGCTGGGACCTCAGACAAGATCAGGAAGGCAAATAAAACCAACAAATCCAACAGAAAGACTCAAACATTTGGACAAAGGGACAGAGATCGAGAAGGATCTTTGTAAACTTACCTCCCAGAAGAAATACCAGCACAAGGAAAATCATCTTCATGCCCAATGTGTTACTTTAACTTGTCTTAAAGTCACTTCTTTCTACACTTTCTGCTTTCTGGCATCTGTCAAGTTCCTCTTTGCTGTTGCACTTCCCATGTTGCTGTGCAGCTTCCTCATCGTCTCAACAAAACCACTTGTAAGATGCACCAAATGTTCCCTTTCCACCTCGTGCTTGAGTCAACGAATGTTTCGAATCAAACAGGCCAATGAATAATTAACACGAGGACGCGCTCTGACATTACCACACGGTTTATTTTGTTTAAATATTTAAGAAAGCAAAGCGAGAGACAAAACCCGAAGCTTCCAGAATCTTTTTCTTTGTGGATTTTTTTCAACTCTTGAGAGTTAGAGATGATAATTATGCTCAAGTAGCTACACAGTAAAAATGAACACCATGTTTACTTGAATTACCAAAGATTCTTTATCTCTAACTTATGATTGCTTAACTTCCGTTTAACTCAGAGGGAAAGATCATTTTGGTTTATTGCAACCTTGATGTTGCCGTTTTGGTCGTCATTCTTATCAGTAATAATTAACGCATGTCTCACCAAGATAAGGGAACAAAGCAACAAGAAAACAACATTGAGATTAATAACATTGTGTTGATATTGGTCTTTCTGACTTTCTGTCAGCTGTCGTCAACGTGGAATTATCCTTCAACTTTAGCAACAATTGATGTGCTTGTTGACTCCCAGAGGTCCATTAAGGCTGTGATAGACGTGCTCCTCTAGCTCGCTGAGATCCAGATGTTGGTACGGGTCGATGGGCTTTGGCCCGACGTAGTCCCCCAGGCCGAGGGACTCAGTGGACTCCCGGTGCTTCGATGTGAAGTGGGAGCAGCAGTCGGGTGGTGGTGGTGGTGGTGCTGCTGCTGGTAAAACCAAAAGATCATCGCAGTCCGGAACCGAAGAGCTGCAGCTCAGCTCAGGCTCAGTTGTCACTCCGGGCATCATTGTCTCATAGTCGGATGATGCCTGCGGGAGGGACAGAAACCATCAGCGAACTGCTACTTGGACCAGATACCACACCGTATTTACTCAATGTGAACTTGTTATTATTTACTGGAAAAGGTGATCATCAATGAGTCAACCTATTGCATCGCTTAGAAATCCAGCTCAGCATTTAGCACTGAAAACAAGGACACGTCCAGTGGGAATGTCTCGACAAACCTCTCTGTTGGGTTGGGGAGCAGGTCTCCGGAGTCTAACAGCCAGCAGAAGACAAAAGGTGAACAGACATATGAACAGCAGGGCCGCCACACACGTGGCTGCAGTCACCAGCAGCGACGCGTGGAACTCTGCAGGACAGAGAGGACAAGAACAAGTGAAGTTCACGCACGAGAAATTATTAACAACGTGAAAACACATGCGCACATTTCACTCACTGTTCACTGTCGCCGGAAAGACGGATGATTTGGTAGCTGGAAAGCACAGTTATGAAAAGTATTTCATTTAGAGACACGGGGCGTCTTGGTGAATCACACAGTTTGTACTTACAGTGGTTTGTCAGATTGTCTGGAAGGTTCGCTGTTGATAAAGGGAAGCCAAAAATCAATAGAGACACTAGTGGATATGCAGGTACTTTCATACCTATTTGAAAGTTCTTAATAGAGGAACATGCATGAGAATCAGTACCAGCACTGTGACACTTCTTTGTTTATTCATAGTATAAGAAGCCTGGGAGTTTGGGTTTAGTAAGCTTCTTTTTTTAGCTGTATTGCGGGAACCAGATTTTGTGCCAACTGCAGGACGTCGACGAAAGTGATCCTGTGTCTTGACGCGACATACTTGTACCTCTGGAAACATTCAGGTGTATGAAAGTGACGTGATCAGGGCGCAAGCTAACGTCCACGCCACACCGGTATGTCCCGCTGTCCTCTGAGGTCAGGGCGTCCACCCTGACAACGAAGAAGGCTCCGCTGGTGTTGTCGTACAGAGAGAAGCGTCCGGATTTCTCCCACTGGTCGTGTTTTTGCGTCCGTATCAGGGAGGTGAAGGACATTTTGTCACCGTTGTCGTCACGGCAGAAAAACTTTGGATTTTTCTGCTGGCCGTCTACATATTTGCATTTGAACTCAAATTTCATGCCTTCCACACCGGAAACAGCCGTGGTATTGACGCTGATCGGCGCTGTCAGTCAGAAAGAAAAGCCTGATGATGTGACCATGTTTTAAAAAAAGAATACCTGTTGATACTGATGAGTTTCAATGTATAGCAAGCGCCCACCTTGGATTTGCAGTAGAGCAATGATGACTGTTGAAGTGGTTCTCCATGACTTCCAGGTTGCTCCCATCACTCCAGGTTCCCCCTCAGTTTACGACACGCAGATCCCTCCTCAGCGGCACAATGAGACAGCAACCTGGACCAAAAGACTGCGTCCGTGCGATTAATCTGGAGCTTTTATGTCCATGTGGTTAAACACCTTCCTCTTTCCTGAACAATCCACTCATAGCCAACAACCCATGAAAGTGAAATCAGGGCGGCTCAGCTTTAAAAGTTTCCTTTAAGTGCATCCAAAAACTAATTTGTTAAGTGCACAATCCAGAGAGCACTTTTTTTTTTATTTATTAAGAAACTCAGGTTGAATTCACTGCATCCTCCAGGGCGATCACATACACATCTGTGATACTCTCGATTCATCACAAACATCACTTGTGTGTGGCCTTGTGGTACTGCAGCCCCCCCTTTAAGTGGGGCGATGAGGTGCAACACCAGTCCAATAGTTGTGTCTCAGTTTGCTCACCCGGATGTTGTTTTTACTGCATCAAAGGTCCAGAAATGAATGATTGAATCTGAAAAATGAATCTGCGCCAATAAATATGTAGCCATTAATTAAGGGATTGAATAATAACTTCATTCAAAGTTATGGACCCACAGATTTATCACCAGACAATGGAGCGACTTAGCTGATGCTTTTGGTTTTCCGGCCCATAACTTTACTGTTGCCAATTACTGTCACTGCTCATGAGATTTATTTCTAGCGGCCGCAGGAAGCTGTTTCAGTTCTCTTTAATAACACAACTGTTCCCTCGCTACCGAAAGCTCCCCATGCAGACAGTTGGAGACGTAATGGAGCATTTTCACTATTCATAAAGTAGGCTTTATTAAAAGTGCCACCTGTTAATATTCGCCGTCATCTATATGCTGACATGTTTTATTAGCAATAACATTGATTTTTTTGTAACAGTAACAACAGGCTGCAATACGTGTGTAACAACAAGGCACAAAACTCAGAACAAATCGCAACGTTTGCAAAATTAAACATGAAAGATAAATACGAGGCCGATGTGGAACAATATGTACCAATCAACAAATGTCCTACTTATTGCCTAATGTTCAGTCGGCTGAAAATTCAAGAAGCAAGTCTGTCTTTTGTTACATTATTCATGCAGTACGCCTTAATGATGTTGCTCAATGTGAACACACATGAATTAACGTGAACAGTGATGTGTAGGTTCAACTTTGGTGTGTATATTCAGGACACACAGTCATTGTAGGTTTAGAAGCTCTAACGCGCACATAGAAGCATTCGTGTTTATTTTAAGGTGCAGGCACATCTTTACACTTCAGAAACCTCAGAGCTCCCCATACTCACCCTCCCTCACTTACCACTAACACGTCCGTAATACAGGGGATCACAAACACACACACTAGTATCCTTCGTAATAACTTCACACTCACAGTCACACGTGAGTCACCTCATAGCTCGACTAATTGTTGCGGTGGAGATTTACTGGTTTAAATGGTTGTCTGTATCCTCGTCGTTGAGGTCTCACTTTACGAAAAAAAAAGTTTTGGTTTTTGCAAAAAATGTAAACAGAAAGGAAAATGTCACTGCGCTGGCTGCAGGCACACTGCTGGTGAAATAACGTCATTGAAAAACACAGTCTTTATTAATGTTATCTTCTTTTTATTAATAAATCTGGAAAAACATATTCCTTTGTTTTTTGTTTCACAGTTGGAGTCTCTCTGTTGGCAATGATGACTCTAAATGCAACCCGCAGCATAACATAGAAATCCCACCCATCATACTCCCAGTGTGTCCAACACATCCAGACCAAACCAAAGGGATTTTGGGTTCCCCTCTGTGGACTCACTGCAAGGTCCGCAGTGACAGGCGGCTGCATTGCTTCTACTGCGCACTGTAGGTTTGCTTGTTCCTTTTTTTGTTGTTGTGGGTTTATTTTCGTGTTTCCCATTTTCTTTGCGCGTTCTTGCAGATATGTGTGGCAAAGGTTGGATATAGATGCTCGAAATGACGTCATGTTGGTCGTGGACATTTGCGGGAGAATAAGAGAAAAGCCCTGGTGTAGTTTTCATTGACTGCACGTCCTCCCCAATGTCATCGTACTCACAGTCATCCTGCACAAAGTGGCAACAGGAAAAGAAACGTCAGACGTTATTAGTTCAAGTATGTTCCTAATTTCACTGTGTCTGATTTTAGGTTTACCTGAGAGCTGAATGTACTCAGCAACACATAAATACCACATTAGTTCAAAATGTTTAAATATGATACTTAAATATAAAGAAGTTACAATATCCTGCGACCGTACTTTTAAAGCTCACCAGGGTGTCGTATTTAACAGAGATTGTATTTAACATTGTTATGTTACTCTCAGCAAATCAGCATATTTATTCTGTAATTGCAATTACAAATGACTCAACCAATTAGTTTCAGGTTTTACAGCATCTCAAAGGGAGAGATGAACCGATGCCCTTTTGGGAAAACCCTCTTTGTGCATCGACCTTTTGAAACCAGGTCAGTTTCACTTGATCCAACGGAGACAAACGAGACAATCGAGACAACCGAGACAGTTGCTGTGTTGTGAGGAGAATCATACCTCTCCTTCTTCTGCACTCACAGGGCTGTTTGAGCAAACCTTTGGTTGAGGTTTTAATTTGATTCTGCATTTCCTGACGGTTATGGCCAGCATCAAAAGAGTGAGCAGGGCAACGGTCCCGACTGTGGCGTATAACACGAGACCTGACAAAAAACAAGAGACACGGCTCAACCAAATGGACGCATCCAAAAGGGACTGATATTTATGCACCACCTGCACACACCGGAGGTTGGATGGAATATTACTTTACCTTCCTACCTGTGGAAAGGTTCGCAGGCCGATGTGTGTCCGTTTCAGGTGTGAATTCTGTTGAGAGGAACCCCTCGGGATTTGTCCACGTCGCAGAAAAATCAGGTGTGCCTTCCGTAACATCTCCTGCAACAGCTTAATGGGAGTAGTCGTGGAAGAAGCATTTAGAGCATTTACTTAAACAGAAGTGCTCATACATCCGTGTGAAAATATATGAAATGTAAACCTAAACGTATGCTCTGACCAATGAACTACACTGACTCTTACTGCTCGAGGTTACTGTGGCAAAGGGACTGAACTTTCCATGGGAGGTTAAGCTCTGGATATCTTTTCTTTTACCAAAGGTTTTTTGCAAAAGTAAAAAGTTGAAAAGTTTTGTAGGGCAATAGGCGTTCAGATACATGTTGTGGGGGAAAAAAAAGCAGTCAGTGTAAAGATCCGTCGTATTCAAAGTAGCAGAGATTAGATGAACCACATACCTTCCTTCAGAGTAGTTAGTTGCGCTACCTTTACAGTCACCTGCACTTCAGTGAACGTATTAAAACCCAATCGCTCCACCGCGCACCAGTATTGGCCCATGTCCGACAGCTGGAGGTGACTGAAGGTCACCGTGAAGCCGCCGTCCCCCGAGTCCACCAGAGTAATCCTCCCTGACGCCGCTCGTCCACCGGCTTGCACAGTAACCAGTTTATCTCCTCCGTCTGCACACTGATCCTTGCAGAGGTATTTGTGGTTCGTACTTGCATACTTGTGTGAACACCGGAACGAGACATCTTCCCCTTCGAAAGCCTCCACTTCGATGCTTGCACCCTCTATCCCAGCAGCTGCCAAACGTGAATCAGGGGACAAGAGTTATACAGCATCTTAGTGTTGTTTAGATTTTTGTGTGCTTTTAATAAATCGACTTACCATAGAGAAGATAGCAGAAGACAGAAATGGTCTTCATTCTGGTTGATAAAGTGCCAGCTCGGCAGTATTTCATTCGTGTCTCCGGGGTCTTTAAAGGCTCTGTGCTGTAAATTCTGTGTCTTTGAAAACCCAACGAGGGGTTCAATCTTTCATCGTGCGCTGCCAGTGCACAACCTTGTGCAAATTAAATAACCCCACTGCTCTGCAAGCTCTGAACTACGCACCTTCCTCCGGTGGTTTTGACTGTATGCGGGCGGAAGACAAAGATTGTTGTTTGATATCAACCCAAGAAATAAGAAACATACATCTCCAATGCAAGCCCACACTCGGTTTCAATTCAGAGTCTTAATGGGTTTTTCAATGCAGAAAAATAATTGCAAAGAAAGAATTGACACTTACTGCAGATGCTTTTCTTCATATCTACTACTAAAAAGTTGACAAACAATTCAAATTAAGAATATGTCAATTAAAAAAAAAAGTCATTGAGTTCACTTTCACGGTAAGCCTGCTAATACAAAGTGGCTATAATATGCATTTACAAAATAACTGTAATAATTCATTACAACTACTACTAACAATTATTAGTAAGTAGCTGGTAAACAAAGTAGAGTGTCCATCAACTATAGCGGCAGATATTTCCCACAGAAGTAGATAAATAGAGCATAAATAGAACTAAAAGAGAAAGAATATTCACTTTGACAGAAATAGGACTCAACATGTTGTTGCTCGGTGGTCTTGGAGAGGGGGGAGTAGGCCCAGGGACCTTTAGTTTGTTTCAATCTCCAACACCTTTGTCTTCTCACCCCCATGTAGTGACTCAGAGTGAAAACAGACAAGCGACTACATCTTGAAAGCTTGTGCATGTGAAATAAAATAAAAGCTTGATAAAAAAACTGTAATGTGATCAGTGCGTGAACTCATTGCCTCCATTTAAATCTAAAAAATATATATGTTCAAAAATGACTGGTGCATCAACACCAACTAATTATATATATATATTGAAACGCCTCCAATTGGCTGCATCTAATGTGTGTAGCACTCTCTGCAGGTCTAACTGCACAATTACTTATGAACATTACATTGTTATTGTTGAATAATAATTGACGTTTCGAGGTGGCCCAGTGGTGAGGTTGTTAACACTGTAACACGGTCCTGAGTTCTTGTCGGACAGGTTCATTCATAATTAACCTTACTGACATCCGAAAGAAAGAATATGCTCAGATTTGCAGACCTTTCCTTTATTTTATTGGTAGTACAGAAACAAATGTGAGATTAGCTCTGAGACACCAGGAACCCTCTTCAGTCCAGACTGTTGGGGATTGAGGGCCTTGTAGACGGAAGCCTACTGCGACAAACTGTGAATACTGGACTCTGTATCATCATCAAACGACTGCAGCCGCATTGCAACCTGAGTAGAGGAAACAGCCGCATTTTCCTCACAGTTTTCAGTCTGTAAATGAACAAAAAAATGACATTATAAATTATTTCTTCTGTGCAGTAAATGTTTGGTCATAAGAGATGAACAATTTCACTCCAATTAGAGGCGGTAAATGAGAGAATGGTCTCTCACCTCCACCTTGTTCTCACCTCCTGAAACAAACAATCAACAGGATTCATTAAAATACAAGTGAATCATTTCAGATGATACTGGTATAAAAGTGTGTGTGTGTGTGTGTGTGCGCGTTGAGTGTTTGCGCCACCTCACCTTTAATACCCACCCAGTGTCTGTAGAATATTAGAGGTATGAAGGCGCACACCAGAAGAGCAAGGCTCACGCAGACAATGATGACCACTGTGGTGTCTGCAAACAACAGTCCCACTTACGTTTGTGACAAAGAATTTACTTTACAACAACAGAGTCACAACAAAAGGACAAAATAGACCTACATTTATATTTTGAACAGTTTGGAGAGAAAGACAGCCACCCTTTTTTTCTCGTTCCTTGTCTGCTCCTCATTGAGGAACCAGACGTATCTATCTGCATTTCACGGAAGCTGCTCTGAAAACGCTGCCAACGGAAGCTTAATGAGGCGTGGAAAGTTTCCACGCCACATTAAGCTTCCAGGCAAATATATCTCAGCTTTAACACTCAAATTTAGGATTTTCAAATTGGATTTGCATGGGCATTTGAAAAAAAAAACCAGCATGCTGACAATCACAGTGAAGGTCAAACATCAGAGCGAGGTTATTTTCTCAAACCATTGTAACCGTTTTCTGTTTTTTTTTAAGCTTGCTAGAACAGAACAGAACAGCCGCTGACCCTGGACGTAAGTACCTTTGAGTTTGCCTGCTGCCGTGTGGTTTGTCTCGTCCTCTGTGGCGGGCAGCGTGGATGCTCTCGGCGGCGGCTCGGTGCCGGACGCAAAGCTGCCCTGGGGCAGGGTTTCTGTTTCAGTCTCAGGGGGGGCGGTGGGGAGCGCAGAACCAAGAAGAACAGTGGAAGCTTTGGAAGGAGAAGACTACCCTGAGTGGCAACCAATTTTGCGTGCTCATGTGACATTGCTTTATCACAAGATTCACTACGTATGAGGTTTTTGGACTTTCCACACGGAGCATGACCCCGGCGTCATGCAGCTGCAATTGGTTTCATCCCGATGACAGAATCCGTACGAGGTGAGATTTGGGTCAAACGTTCTACGGACAACACGACTAAATAGTCTTATTCTAACCTACAGTCAACACTTTGAGATTAGCTCCATACAAAATGTCTTAATAGAAGACATATAGTTTGTTGTTAAACGCAAAACCTGGAACCCAATGTTCCCGTGTGAGCTTTAATGCATCTAACCATGAACTTACCTTCCAAAACCAGGAGATAGACCTCCTGTTGCATCACGCTGAGTTTTTCCTTCATCCCACAGCAGTATGTCCCTGCGTCGCGTCTCCTCACGTCCCTTATGGCCGCGCTGAAGGCTCCGTCGATGCTGTATCTCCCTCGCACCGTGGGAGTCAATCTCATTTTGCCTGATTGAACGACAATGTTTTTCGTGGTGCAGACTCCTTTGCAGAAGAACCTGGTGTGGCCTTCGGAGCTGTTCTTTTCGGTCCTGCTCCCAAAACAGGGGATGGAGACCTCTTCCCCGACATGGCCGGTCACCTCCAGCACTGCTGAAGCCTCGAGACACACAGCTGCAGCATAAAGACAGTTTCTGTTCACAACTGTTGGCCGCAGTATCCACTGAAATCAACGCTGAAGTGGGGATGAATTGCTTGACAAGGAAGCACATTAAATTTAATGAACACAACAGAGTGCTACTGTACTGTAATTAGAAGTGATGCAGAGAACAGAGTGTATGAGCTGCTCCTGGGAGCACGCTGTTCCTCTTTATTGGTTCATTTTTATTGTCTATTGACGTTATTTATGATTAAAAAATCCTTCAAGTGATTCCCCCCATCATCCCGTACACATTGTTGGTTTTTAAAACAGGCTCAAAGGCCTTTACAGCCTTGTTTTTTTCTTGCTTTAGCAGCAGTAGAGAGTCAGACAGAAACGGGCAGCGAGAAAGGAGGATAACGTGCAACAACAAGCCCCCCAGGAGTCGACCACGGACCTTTTAAAGGGGGTTATTTTAGGCTCCAACTCTCAGTGTAAACTATTGCAAAAATTGTAAAATGTTTAGTTTTCTGTCGATAAGACAGTCATTGGTGACAACCACGAGGTGGTTTAGTTTTTCCTCTCATTCACATGACCGGTCGATATGAAAGTTGATCAAAAGATGCATCAAAACTCACCGGAGAAGCAGCAAACCACGACGACAAGCGGACTCCTCATGATTGATCCAGATTAAAAACCAAGTAAATAAAGAATTCAGCGGAGACTCGTTTCAGCAGCCCGCTCCAAATCAAGTCATCTGATTCAATTACATTAAACATGAAGGTCCAGAGGAGCCACAAAGCTCCGATTGTGCTGCCGGGTTCTTACCGCCGGCCTTTTTGGAAGATAAACGTACGCTTTTTCATTTTATTGCGGTGTAGCAGCAGGCCCTGCGTGCCTCGGTGCAACCACAGCCCGTGTCGCTGGAGGGCATCAAACCCAAGAAGCGAAATGCCTATTGACTGCGTCACGGGGAAGGCAGCCGGAGGGCAACCGTCAGCTTATCACAGCAAATTTCACAATATGTTGTTCTGCCCGGTGGGAACGAGTCTGCGATAGCAACATGTCATTCCTGTCAGCACTTAGTTTGACCTCACACAATGGAACAGTTTGGTCGTTATGGACACTGTGAGAATCATTGGCATGAACACAGGGAGGGAATTTCGTATTTCGTAATTATACGCCCTCTCTCTCGGCATCGTTTGTGTTCTTATCCTTATTGCTTCAGTTTCAGTCCAATGACAGGCAGCAAGTCCCGGAGAAGAGGGTTGACCACAAACGTCTCTTTGTTTTTATCAGGCCTCATCCGTTACAAACTGGGAAAACAGTCTAATTGAGTGAATACATTCAGTAGAAGCACCATGCCTACTTTGACTTTTTATATGTGTGTATATATATATATATATATATATATATATACATAGCGTTGTCTTCAAATGAGACATTGAAAACCACCATAATTAGATATACCAATATTCCCCCGACGAACAGACTCATGTTTTGTCAAGATTTTTATCCAGATTTTAAAAAAGGTAAAAGAATTTAGTGCAGCAGTGTTGCTCCTGCAGATGGAATTATTCATTTTTTGATAAACTTTTATTTATTTCAGAATCTGGTTGATTCCTTCTAAAAAAACAGGTTACCAAACATGTCGGTAACTGGATTTGAAGTTGTATTTTTTCAGTGCACGATTTGTATCACTGGTCATTAAAAGTTTTGTTTTTTCAGTCCAACAATATTTTCCTCTATCACACTTTAGCAGCATTTTCTCAGCATAGAGCTTGTAAACAACTAAATCTTAATAGTCAAGCGGCATTTTATGGTGAAGAAACTTTAATATCAACAAAGCTGAATTTATGCACATCCATTTTTTTTACAACAAAAATACATTTCTATAACTATTTCCTGCAAAATTTAACCTTTTCAGTATCAAACACCAAACATTTGTCATATTTACATTTTACCCAGTGAAATGTTGTAGTTCTTATTTTACAGTGCGGGTAAAAGCAACACTCGTCTGTCTTTTAAGACCACTTGGCTGTGGATGCGATGACGGCGGTTGGCAGTGCAGCGTGTTAACGCTTGAGTCCAGGACGTCCACGTCTAGGACCGCGGGAGGACCTGAGCGATGGTATCCCGCTGGCTCTGGCTGAGCCGTTCGGGGAACTTGACCTCGTAATCCACCAGTAGGTCGCCTCGGCGATCGGGGCGTTTTGGATAAGGCAGCCCCTCGCCAGTGATGCGCCGCTTCATCCCTGGCTGCACGATATCCGTTGTTGACACGGTCACTGTTTTGCCCTCTAGTGTGGGAACGTTTATTGTACAGCCGCACAAGGCCTGATGGGGTAGAGAGACAAAAGGAAAAGCACAAATGAAGATTGGGAACCGGCAGGGATTTTTTAGCTGGTTAACATTTTTCGGTTTGTCTTTTAGCAGTTTTACAAAGTGTTTTTAGAATTATAGATGACTAAATCATTCTTAGTAATATATAATCTTAACTTACATCTCGGAGTGAAATTGTTGCAGTGTAAACTACGTTGGAGCCGTCACGTTTGAATTTCGGATGCGTCTTGTCCTTCAACACAAAGACCACGTCTGCTGGAATGTTCGTGGGACTTTCGTCGCCCTCTTTGGGAAATGTGATTTTTGTGCCCTCTTTCCACCCCTTCTTTATCTGCACCTCCAGGATCTTGTCCTCTGTCCGTACCGTTCGCCCATCGGGGTTCAGCCTTTTACGAGATATCTTCATTTTCTTCAAGCAACCCGACAGAACTTCCTCCAGGGTCACATTGAGATCGTGAACCACGGGGGGGTCTTGGGGCTTCTTCACAACACTACTGTGAGGGCCGATTCCTCCCATACCCGAGCTGAAGGAGCGAGGGAACCCACCCATTCCCCCTCCCGCCATCCCAAAGTGAGAAAAGGGGTCGTCAGTGTCCATATCCTCATCCATGCCTCCATTGCGACCACCAAAGAACTGTTCGAAGGGATTACGTCCACCGAAGAACTCTGAAAAAATGACATGAGGGTCGCCTTGGAAGCTGTAGCTGAAGTTACCCGGACCCCCGCTACCACTAGTTCCACCTTGGGGGCCTCCGCCTTTTAGACCTGAGTGAGAAAAACGATAAATTAATACATTGATCTCTAAAATAGAACACTTTCTACTGTACATATTTTATGTTATTAACTACAGTGGGGTTTTTGTTTTTTTGCCAAAAACATTCATTTCGGAGACACCACAAACTAAAAGACAAAGGCAGCTGCGTTTAAACGTGAGTTGCTCTGTGAATATGTGTACATAACACACATTAAATAGATCAATTTCCTACCAGATCGCAGACATTACTTTGTTTATTACATTGCAGGTTACAAGAAAAAGGTTAAAAGTATTCCTGTCATGCTGCCCCACCTCTCTTGTTTCCATGCACCAAAAGCAACACTGACAACACCGTTCAAGCATCCACCCGCAAGCGCACTGCGCACCAGTCCCGCCCCTTTATGACGTCACATAAGCTCCTGATACAATGTCAGTTCTTGAAGAAGTATTGTAAATGTATTTTGATTTAAAATCCCCCTCAAACAGATGTAAATAAAATACTAGTGCTAGAAAATGTAATGACAATGCGTGTATTTTGTATTTAAAATATAGGAGACACTTTAGTCTAGATTTTCCGTTTTCTAACAATTGCGCATAGCGGCGCATTGAGGTTTAGACTATATAATTTACACCAACTTCTGGTGAACCACAAAAAGGAAGAACAGTCACAGAATGTCAGTGTAAATAATAAAGACAACTTGATTAATGGGACTTAACAGCTACTTTGGCTTTGTATCAACAAAATATTTAGCACATATAAATAGCACCACATATCGCAAAATATACATTTAAGTAGTTGTACACAGATAAAGAGCCTCAATCCCATCAAAGACACAGGCTGGTTCAACCTGTGGTTACATTGATGGTTCTTCATCATCTTGCTGGGAATGTATGAACTAATAAAACTAAGAATACTTTCATAATTAATGCCGGTTAAATAAAAATGGTATATTAAAGTTAATGTTGTTAATGTTAACAAATGGACATTTACTGTCATAGCATGTCTAGCTGGACTATCTTATCTGCCAGTTATTGATATGGCATTATGACGTTTACGTCGAGAAGATATAGAGACAGCATAGACGCCTCCTGATAAGAATATCATGAACATTCAAGCTGACAACCTCCTATTCTAGATACTCGACTGATAAGTTAACTTGCTAAACACTAGCCTAGCCTAGCCAGGATGCTAGCCTCTCTAGCATGTTAGCATTGAGTCGCTAGCTTGATATTCTAAACATCACCATGTAGCTAGAACCAGACAGAACTTAAAAATCAAGCTAGTTCACGTCTGTCACAATCGGATAATTGAAGATCTGAAGACAGGACTCTTGAATCGTGTCTGTTTCGTGGACAAAGTATCTTGCGTATTTTAAATAGAAAACTACTCGGAAGCAGGGTTTCGCTGAGGGACGGGCCGCCTGCACGGGACCAAACAAACGTCCCACGCTCTTCATCATCCTCTAACCGCGTTATCGTCCGTGAGACCGTGTAAACGATAACGCGGTTAGAGGATGATGAAGAGCGTGGGACGTTTGTTTGGTCCCGTGCATGCGTGACACCGTTAACCCGTTCTGCCTTTTCCCATCACGGACGTCGCTTACCTTCTTCTCCATAACGGTCGTAGATGTCCTTTTTCTTTGGGTCGCTCAAAACGTCGTACGCCTCGGCGATTTCTTTGAATTTGTCCTCGGCTCCCGGGGACTTGTTTTTGTCGGGATGGAAGCGCAGCGCCTGTTTACGATAAGCCTTCTTTATATCGTCCTCGGACGCTCCTTTCTTGATTCCCAAAATATCGTAGTAGTCTTTTCCCATTTTGACCATCTAGGCGTGTGTTCGGTAATCGGCTCTCTGTGGGCTTTGGTCGAACCTCCTCAGCCCGTCAACTGGCACTGCACAGGCGGCCGTGCCTCGAGTGTTGTCTTTATAACCTGCGTAGAAACTTCCAGAGTTTTCCTTAAACATCCAGAACTAGCTCCACGGTGACGGGCGAGCCGGTACCCGCCCACCTCAACGTCACATCGTGCTGCCTTCAGGGGCTGTCGGAAATTACCCCGCTCAGTTACATACCATCCCTTATCGGTCTCACTCGCTTGCCTATCTAGGGCAATGTGGCTGTAAACACCAACAGAAGAAGTGTTCGGATCTTCACTAGCGTAAAAGTACAGATATTATCAACAAAATGCGGCTCCCTGTTTTGCCCCTCTGACTAGTATATTATTTGAATTGGGCATTAATAGATTGTTGTAGCTGGCTGGTGATGTATATATATATATATATATATATATCTTTTTTTTTTTTATGTGAAGACTTTAATTCTTAGCCCAAAATAATTTCTAACTATACGTCCAACAACTGTAGTGGAATAAAAATTACAATATTTCTCCCTGAAAAATGACAAATCAATAACCTAAAATTGGAATTGTCAAGTAAATCAATAATTCCATGCCTAATTATAGATATGCCCTATTCCCATGATGCCAGACGATATCACAAACTGCTGCAGCTAATCCTTTTAACAATGGACGACGAATGAACGACAACCATGGCCTACATTTTTTTTTTGCAACACAGACCCTCCCCTATGGATCCGTCATGTACTACATAATGAAATATTTTGGCACTTTACCTTATCTTACCTTCTCACAGGATGCATAGGATAACATATAGCTGCTATATCTGATGGTTCGAAAAAGCACTGGAACCTTGATTCCTTGAACCTTAGCACGCACTGACCCTACTGTGCTCTGTAGGCCTACAGGCTTGAAGCTGTTTATGGATTTCAAGATTATTAAATTGGTGAATTGCATTGCATGAGCTGATCCAAGTTATGCAACCAATCAGACATATTACCACCAAATGAAGACTCGGGAGATCACGCTTTCACAGTTCAGGATGGGTACCACGTTCAGATGCACCGAAAATGGTTTTATTGGACAAAGATCCCATTTCATTTCCTTTTATGTCCTTAAACATGGCTTTGTATAACTCACACACAGTGACTGCAGTAGGAGTAGCAGCTCAGTCTCTGCCTGACAAGTGAAGCAAATCAGTTTTTTCGAGGATGAGAGGCGTTGGTATTTGATATTTAAAATATAAGTGCAAACACTTTCAAAGACCCACAAATAAGCTGAACTGGATTTTAAGGTGGATATCATACAATATTCTGTTGGAAACGCCATAATTCCTAGTTATCTCCCTTACTTTTGTATATTCGTGGGTATCAATTCATAGTTTTAACTTGCACACCTCCCTCTTTATGTAATCAAATTGTACAATAAACACAATTGTAGGAACAATTATAGTGGCTGATTTGGGTCAGTGTGTCTGACTAATAATAGCATTTGATAGCTAGACGGTTTCCCTTGGAATAACTGTTGTTCTTTGATTGAGATTACAAAGTGACAATATAACAGGAAAATGGCAAGCTTTATTTTTGTCGGACAATTTATATAAGACAGAATCTTCATACACATGCAGTTAAAACAGAAGAGAGCAAATACAGACATGTTATTGTGTAGAGGAGGGCCTTTATAAGTATCTATGGCATTGCGGCGACCTCTCCGTCTGCTCACTCATTTCATTGGCTACGTGCATTACGCTATTGCCCGTTTTGATTGGCTGCGGCACCAACGTTGGTTCCGCCTTTGCTGGCCTCGGCAGTCACACACGACTCCGCTGATTGGAGGCGGCTCTGTCACTCATCTGGGATATTAAGGAAGGGTGCTAACTGCCAAGATGAAGCACTACGAGGTAGGTAGCGTCTGTGAAACTCTAAACCATCAATGGAGTCGGAGTCTGTGATTTCTATATTTATAACTGCCACCAGAAACAGTCAAATGTATCTTTAACATGCGCGGGGATTTGGGGGCCTCTCGTGCACGGAAATAAACTGTTCGATCGGTTAAAATCCAACACGAGATTCAACCCGCCGCCACATTTACGGCGAACAGGCCTCGCTGAGTTATTTCGTAGAGTTTTCCGAGTACGCAGAACGTCTCTGTTCGCTTAAACACGGAGTCCTCTGTTTGGGATAATGGCCGACATCACCGCCCCCTGTGGCCGCGTGGACGCACGGCGCTCCCGCTCCTTCCGTCGCCCCATGAAGCAGGTGAACAGTCGGACCGGTTTAACGTCCTTAAGAGATAAATCCCCGACGCGACATTTTGTCGGTCTGTTATCACAGCCGCGTTTCGCTCTTTCGTCATTCACGTGAGCGGGCTGCTTCCCCTCCTCAGGACGCACAGCACCAAAGCCCACCAGCCGGGATGGGGAGTAGTGTCGAAAGAAACCGAGCCAACCGGTGGCTGCTCCGGTTCTGCTTCCCTCCTGTCCGTCACAGATAAGCGGTGAAAACACACGTTGAGTTACGGCCGGTTATTTTAAAGAGGCCTCAAGCAGGAGCGTGTTCTCGTTGTGTGATTTGGTGGGAGCAGGCATTTATTTCTCCCCCGTGGCACTAATGGTTCACTCCCGTGACCTTTGCCCCGGTATGATAAGGCACTAAATAGACACGGTTGCAGCATTAAATCCTACAGTATCTACAGGCAAGTTTAAGCTTTGATGACAGTGAATATTATTTACTTTGATGTTCAGTGCACCACAAATAAGGCACAATCTAAAACCGAAATACAGAAATAAAACGATATTTAAACTTTTTATGTGTCATTACATAAATTGTCATTAGTCACCAGAGAGCTGCATCACTTTCGCATTGAACTGTCTAACAAACTTCCCGTTCATCATTATCTGAAATTGTCTACAAAAACAAATGGAGTAAAGAAAATGTTCAAATTGTTCGTCAATCTGCCTGAATAATGAGAAAGTCTCCTACCTCGTATGGGCGGTACAGGCCCAAAACCAGCATAAATAACGCTTGCTGCTCCCTGCTTCACCCTCACCCCCGACTGCTTCCCCAGGACTGGAAGGCTTTATATAGATGAGATGGGGGAGGTACGGTGGCAGAGGGATGACTGCGTCTCAAGTGTCCCGTGTCCTGCTTACTATACATGAATGTTTTCTGCAGTGAGTAGACGGCTCGATTCATTCATTTAAAGAGCACCGATTACATTTTTTTAAAAGGCAAGTCGTCTTGTGCAAGAAACAGAAATCAGGGATACTTCTTTACTTGAGGGTTACATGCATGCCATGTAACCCTCAAGTAAAGAAGTATCCCTGATCTGTGGACCGTTTAGGCCCCAAAACCAATTCACCAGAGACGTCCATTTTAATTTTAGTCTCAGATTTGTGAGCCTTGTCTAAACAAACCTTCACATTTGTGGCATGCGTACATAGTCCTGTCTAAATGTGATGTCTACCGTGCTAACCCTCCCTGCTGCCACTTGTGACCGTATGTCTTGCCCTCATTATGGAAACCGCCCTCCGACTGTCACTATTAGAGAGTGTGACTGTGGGGGTGGTGGTGGTGGTGGTGGTGGGCTTCACCGGAGGGAATGCCCCGGCTAAGCCCTCTGAATTTGGAGTATTAACACCCCGCGGTGACAGGAAAAGGTGACTCCTCGTGTGAGGTACACGACCCGTGTAAAACGCCATGTGGTTCTGCTTCTGTGTGCGCCGCCCCAAAATGGTTGGGGTCAAAGGTCCCTGATCTGGACCAGGTGGACAGTACTGGGTGGGGTCATACAGAATTAGTGGTAGACATTTATATTTAGCTGTGGAGAGGAAGGGAAGGGGAAAAAACTGAAAGGGGGGGGGTGTGTCCTCCATCTTCCCAATTGGCCAGCGGTCCAGAGGTGTCCGGGGTCGAGAGGTGTCCTCTTTAGGGAGGTCTCTCCTTCTTCCAGTTTCCTCCATGAGATAAACACAGATAATCTACTGCGGACAGATTGGACAACTGCGCGCACACACACACACACACACACACACACACACACGGTGGTCTATGTCCATGCTCCGAGGGTCTGTTAGCAGTTAAATAAAGCAACGCACCAGAAGTGAAGCAAAGAGGGAGGGAGAATGAGGGGTCGGAGGGAGGGGGGACAGATTTATTTCCACAGCTGAGTGCTGCCCCGCTCCTCTGTGGACCTTTGCGAGGCAGCTGAGAGGTGGAGAGTGACAAAGAGAACCGAGAGGAAGAAGGCGAGGGGTAAAAACACCAGCGAGGATAAAGCGAGTGCAGGGGGACTGTGGACATGGATGCGCTCGCGCTAGAGGCCACCAGCACCAAAAAGCCGGCCAACGGGGCGGCGGCGGCGTCCCCGTTGCTGGGTCAAGCCCCGAGCAAACGCAAACCTGCTAAAAAAGCTAAGAAGGCTGTTGTTTTCTTCGAGGTGGAGATACTGGACGCCAAGACCAAGGACAAGCTCTGCTTCCTGGACAAGGTGAGCGCTCGTGACTTATCGCCACGTGTTTGTACCAGTTTCTGAGGTTCAATTTATGTTCATTTTTCTCTAATGGCATCTCTGCAACTTCCGACCTCAAAGCTGCTGGTGTGTTTGAGCAGCGTCTTCTACGCCCTGAAGATGAAAAGTCCCACACAAAGTCCCTGCAACACAAGAGGGCAATGTGTGGACATTATATGGATGGTGTGTCCTTACATTAGGCCTGTTAGTTTGGTTTATTTATAGCTATAAATAGTATTTCCCTTTCATGTAACTGATATTTATATTTAATACCTCGCATTTGGAATTAGGAACTGTGTAAAAAATGTTATTTTACTCTTTTCCTCAATGGTTTGCAGGATAATTAACAAGTATTCTGGACGTATAGAAGTACTAGAAATATATTTTTTCTAATGTGTAAATGTGTTGTGTTTATACAACATCTGAAGTTGTTTTTTTTAACTTTTAAAAGAACAGTTGGGATTTGAGAGAATCCCAGATGTATTTTGATTATCCGGTACGGTCCAGTAAGTTGTACTTGGCCCGTACTTTGTTATTGTTGTGTTTTCATTTGTTACTGACTAATCAGCGGGTTTGTGTATTGTCGATGTGTGCATTAGCCCAGTTTCCCTGCTGGCCACGTTGGATTATAGCTTGTTGTCGGGTTAGCGTGCAGAATCTTGACACCTTTTTGGAGAGGAAGTTACACAGGTTGGACAGATCTAGATGTGGATCCGGACAGGGGGCCCTTTGGACTACTGGTTAATGAAGGAGGCTGTCGGGGCCGAGCTAACCGACTGTATCGTGTCTGGGTTTATTGAACAGATTCTGATCTCCACACTGAATAGCGCCTGTAGAAAGAGGGGCAGCAGCAGGGGTCACAGACAGGGTTGTTTTTCAGTGATGTCATCCTGCTGAAAATGGCCCGTGGTCCTCTGAACCACGTGAATAGAAGCTGGGACCATCACACGCGGTGGCGGCCCACCTCTCCAGTCCGCTCCAGACGGGTCACGCCATGTTGGAGCGACTCTTCCGCACAGATAATCCAGAGTTCGAGAGTTGCCAAAGGAATCTAGCGCTACCCCACTGTGTACCGAACATTCCCGGCCTTGGTAATCAGATCTATGTCTTGGCCTTAGATTGTCAAAGACCAACTCGGTGCTCTCCAACAAACATGAAAAGAAAAAAATGGACTTTGGGCTCAAGTTCCCAACCAGTTCAAAGGTTTAGACCCTTGATCGTAAGTTGCGTTTGCATGTTTGTGACACGAGCTTGCTGAAGGATGAGCTTTTGTGAAGGAGCCGTTCTATGAAGAAGAATATGCTTTAAATAATTTCTGGCGTCAGTGCCCCTCCATGCCTTTGCTCGGGCAGTCGTTGCATACAGGTATACATTTCACAAAAGCATCTGGGCTCCCCTGATCCAGGCCAACGGGGAAATGTGTGCCTCCTGCTAAAATGTTTGGAGAAGCCCGTCACCAACTTCTTAGATTTCAGAGGGACGCTTGATGTGGATGGCTGAGATGTTGTCACGGTGTAACGTGCAGATCGTATTACCGAGTGTGTTTGCCCACCGTTTTCTGTTCAATAACTTGCGGAGACTTGAGATGTGTACAAGACAAACAATATGTTTGTTTACATACAGCTACTGAATTAACTGACGTCCGGTGTTTGTAGGAGAAGTTCTGATTTATCAAATCAAAACACCAATGCTTAAGCAAGTCCATGTTGATGCATAATGATTATAAATCAATTGATCATTCTGCCCATTTGTAAAAAAAAAAAAAAATCGCACATGTTTTTGTTGTTGTTACTGAGCTGAATCCTAAAGGCAGATGTCAGGGCTCAGAAGCACACGGTCTGCAGGAGATGTGTTGTTTGTGAGCTGCTCCAACTCAAACATATAAATCCCTTTCATCAGATATTTAAAACGTGGCCAAGCCTCTTAAGTTACCCGACTCCATCACCAACAACAACTGTGCTCGTCCAGACGTTCCTCTGTGCGCTCTTCATGTTTCTGTTGTGTTTATATTTGGGCTAGTTGTTTGCTGGCAGCCTGGCACAAGGTGTGCACTTTGCCTGGGTGTTGTGCGCGTGTGTATGCGGGTCTTTTCCGTGGCTCTTTTAGAACCTTAATACCAGCTGTTAATGCACCACGTCCACGGGGTACGTGAGCTAAATTTACCACTATTCATCCTCGTGGATGGAAAACAGGGTCTATATGTTCAAGTAAATGTCCCTCCACTTACGTATTGTGACGTCATTCACTGCAGGTCGAGCCAAATGCCACCATCGGAGAGATCAAGTCTATGTTCCACAAGAGCCGTGAGTGGCAACCCTGTGCATGTGATTTAACACGTATGAACGCTCGTTCCTCTCTCAAGATGTCTGACGTATTCGTCTGTTTCAGATCCTCAGTGGTACCCGACCAGACAGTCCATTCGCCTCGACGCCAGTGAGTCAGTCAAAGTGTGATTGTCTGTCACGGTGCTTGCAGGGAATGTGGCACTACCTCCCTGCACACCGCGCGTCCCGTTAAGCAGGCGTGTGTTTGCGTTTCAGAGGGGAAGTCTCTGAAGGACGAGGATGTTCTGCAGCATCTCCCTGTGGGAACCACGGCAACCTTCTACTTCAGAGACCTTGGCGCTCAGATCAGCTGGGTGACGGTGAGTTCAACTCGCCCGCCGTCCGTGCTGTCGGTCTGACGTCCCCGACAAGCCCACGTGCACCAGATCACAAGTGGGATCAAGAGCAGCTATATTGAGATTCCCCGCTGGGTAAAAACGGCGTGTGTGTGTGTGTGTGTGTGTGTGTGTGTGTGTGTGTGTGTGTGTGTGTGTGTGTGTGTGTGTGTGTGTGTGTGTGTGTGTGTGTGTGTGTGTGTGTGTGTGTGTGTGTGTGTGTGTGGGGGGGCGGGCGCGCCTGCGGAGATGATCTATTTATCTTCCAGCACTAAACCGATTAAGGTGCCTAGAGAAAGAATCCCACCCCAAACTACTCTTCACTAATTTAGAATTTGTATGGTAAAATGCATGTTTGCATAAATAGTCACCTCCTTTTAAAATGACTGACCTGATTGAACAGCGGTCCAGTTGACGCTGTGTCCCACGTAGTGAAATGGAGATAACCTGAGTGCAGTTGACGTGTGAACCCGAGGTTGTGGAATGAAAATGCCTGTCTGAAAACAAAAGAACACTCAGAGAAAAGACCATTTACGCAAGTATAACTGAGGAGATGGCTACAAAAAGATGTCCAACCTCCTGGGCCTCCCACAGAGATGAATTCCACAGTTGAATCCATCATTAAGAAATGACAGATGTGGCACATCTAGATGTGTCCAGATGTGCCAGCGTGATTGAGACATATCCACACCGACCAGCGCTGTGATTGCAGCCAACGGCTCTAGTAAACACGGACCTGAGGGGGTGAATATTTGTGCAACTTGTAGATAAAAAGAGAAGCCAAATAGATACCGACCAGGATTTCACGTATGAAAGCAATTAAAGGGTTAAACATCCCAACACTTTTTATAGCCACTGTATATATGAATGATATGAAAATGTGGTGTTACGTTTCCAAGGCTCTAACTGACCCTTTGATGTTTTTCAGGTCTTTCTGACCGAGTATATGGGTCCACTGGTTCTCTATCTGATGTTCTACTTCAGAGTTCCCTTCATCTACGCAGCCAAATACGACTTTACCACCAGTAAACACTGGGTCGTACAGTGAGTGTTATTCTTGAAGTCCATCGTCTCTCCCCTTTGTTCTCGTTTGCTTTCTGGCCAAGAGTGAGATGATAGAAAATCAATACCGCTCTCGTGTCTGTGGGTAGAACATTTTGATCGATCACATCCCTGCTGCGTGTCTCTCACCACCAACCTCGGCATCAGCGAGGCTCTTGCTATCATACGCCCAGACACGACCAGTTTGTTTTGTTGGATCATTCACACAAAATGCATTTGTGAGGGTTAAACGTGTGTGATTTGTATTTGCAGTCCTTTAGAAAAGTAGCAGTCCCACATGAAATGGTTTAAAGCCCAATACATGTCGTCCATGGCCACTTTGTAACTGTAATTTTCCAATAAACAAGAGTGGCGTCAGTGTGAGCCGTAGAGAAGCTAACACCAGCCTCTGCGCTTCTTCCAGTCTCGCCTGCATGTGTCACTCTTTCCACTTCGTCAAGAGGCTGCTGGAGACTCTGTTCGTCCATCGCTTCTCCCACGGCACAATGCCGCTACGCAACATCTTCAAGGTGAGATGCCTTCTGCCACGCGGGCGCCGACCCGTTCGTCCCTCACATTCCGTCTCAACCACCTCAAGGAAGTCTCAAAGTGACAATGTTCCCGTCTTATTCCCCTTTTTAGAATTGTACCTACTACTGGGGCTTTGCAGCATGGATGGCCTATTACATCAACCACCCGCTGTACACCCCACCCAGTGAGTATAGGTGCACCGTACACTCGGCCCCACTTTACCACCGCGTCATCGTAACTCCCGTTTCTTGTTGCAGTCTACGGCGAGCAACAAATCCGACTCGCCCTCGTCTTATTCCTGGTAGGAATACTTCTACTGTGACACTTCTGTATTTATTGCGCATCATTTGATTCGGCCAATAAATAGAAATTTAGAAATAGATTTTTTTTTACTTCAGTTTTGCTCTTCGTACTCTGTTAAATCACTTGTTTGACTTTTTCTTTTATAGTTCTGTCAGATCGGCAACTTTTCCATCCACATTGCTCTTCGGAACCTCCGTCCGCCAGGTACACATACATCTATGCCTTATGTTCAAGAAAAGACCACCAAAGATAATTGATCTTTTTTTTTTCCTTGCATTTTAATGTGAGTTTAGAATTCTTCTGTTGTGGCAGAATGTAAACGCAGGAACGAAATAAGATTGTTTAAAATAACTTACACATGTTTGACGTCTACTTTCTTTTGCTTCCCTTTAGGGTCCAAGACCAGGAAGATTCCCTATCCAACCAAGAACCCCTTCACCTGGATCTTCCTGCTGGTCTCCTGCCCCAACTACACCTACGAGGTAACTCGGGAACCCATTTGCTGTGTCGACATTCTGGACAGAAATAGAAGCATCAAACCGCACGACATACTAATACATACAAATTTTAGTAAAGGATGTATTTTTTCTAATGAGCGTGACCGCACTTCTGTAAGTCAAACTCCTCTCGCCGCCCTCTTGTGGTTTGCCTGTGTAACACCGCTCTCCCTCCTGCAGCTGGGCGCCTGGCTGGGCTTCACATTGATGACGCAGTGCCTGCCGGTGGCGTTCTTCACCCTGGTGGGTTTCATCCAGATGACTGTGTGGGCGAAGGGGAAACACCGCAGCTACCTGAAGGAGTTCCGCGACTACCCTCCTCTGCGCTCGCCCATCCTGCCCTTCATCCTTTAGAGGACTAAGCTGCTCCCCTCGCCCCTTTAGCTCCCCCCGCTTATAGCACCCACCCCGTAATGAGAGGGTGCTCTCCTGTTTTGCAACTGACTAAATCTTATCATGCGCGCTTTTTTTTTTTCCCCTTCGAGAACCAAATCTTTTCACCTCCTGTCTGCGTTCCGGGTAATGTTGATGAGTGCAAATTTCTTTATATTTCTGTCCAAACCATCCTGATTTATTTGAGCTGCAAGAGCAGGTATTCACCTTCCCAGTGCTGTGTGTACTGAATGACAAACTGCACATGTTATAATGTCCAACCACTTTGAATCTGCAGTTTAGTTTTTGTATCCATTCATCTAAATTTGAATTCATGACAGGATTTCATTGATAGTGTGAGAAGTAATTTATTAAAAAAAGGTAAACCAAACTTGTGTAGTACTGATGAGCTGTGTGTGTGTGTGTTGGGCTTTGCTGCCACCTCTCCACAATTATATCATGGAGTGAAATGAGCACGTATCTAAAATAGTTTGTACCTACACCAACATGGGGCAGTTTGGTCGGGTCAAAACTGGAGGAAATTAACTAAAAATGAAGTTCACACCTCATTTAAATATATATCAGGTGCAGGGAATAAATATTTAGCCATACACATGTATGACAGTCATGCAACTTTCTTGGTAAAATTATCCAGAGCTTGACTTTAATAAGACCACGGGTTGTAGAGCTTAAACCACATTGTTTATTGTGAACAGAAGCACATATTTACAGGGAAGTCGTATCCGAGGGTACACTGATCACGCAGCTTCAGCCTGGTTCTCCATTCTCTTTTTCCTCAGCTGGAGCCTCCTCTCCCTCTCGTACTCCTTCATACGCATCACATAGCTGGAGGCAGAAAAAAAAACATGTGGATATACATCAGATGTATATGTCGACCGTAAATTTCAGATTTAAGTGGTGAAATCAGATACAGCGAGGCTCTGAGTCTTAAGAAAATATTTTTCGTTAAAAAAAAAAAAAAACGTTGGATATCTATCTTAAGAGCCCCTAAAAAACACATTTTCAATCATAACTTAGCAACTGCAGACTATATGATATGAAGCTCACAGAAACAATGTTACATTTAAGCCAATGCAGTGGGACTGCTGAATGCATCAGTCTAGGACAACTCCAAAGACCACAGTCAAATAGTTGAATTGAATTAAAAAGAGCTGTGAATAATATATTTAATAGTTAATATTGATCAGGACTCAATATTTAATGCGTTCAGGGGCATACCCCCTGGAAAGGAGTCTTAAAAACAGTACCGTTATGTTCCCTTTCTTGAATTCTTCAAACGTTTGCATATTGACAGCATGCAAGCGTGACGAGGTGCTGAGCAAAGCGTAAGAGAACTTACTCTAAAGTGTGCAGACATTTTTGCCTCGGCAGGAATTTAGTATTGGAAGCAACTGGGTCAAAACCAGTACGCTGCGCCTAAATGCTTTTTTGTGTTCTGCATTGAATAATAAGCATTTATATGGTTTTAAAAATGGCATCTGTATCCATTAAAAAGCTAGAATATACCCAATAATAGTTTTACAATTGAACATCTATATAGAACTAAAGCCAGCATAAATTAGGTAATTGTACAAGAAGCACTGTTGAGCCAATCATTATGGAGAGCCTGTGTTTTTTTTATTTGATCCAAGTAAATAGCTCTGAGGGCATCAGTGGGCAATAGCGGCTCTAGGAGACTCCATCCTACACGAGATCTTTCAAATGCAGATACTTACTCCTGGTGTTCACAGTAGTCCCAGTCGTGTCTCTCATGCTTGCAAGCCAGGATGTTGGGCCAGTTGTCCCTCTTGCACTTGAGGAGTTTCAGGAGGTGGTGGGCACAGTAGTCCCTCTGCTCCACAGGCAACTGGGCCAAGTTCATCTGCTCCTGTGTAGCTACCATCTCTGAAAAAGAAATACCAATGATTGTAGTCATCTCATCACAGGAGGGATGCATCAGCGACGATATCTGGCACTCATTCAAATAGCTGCATTGAGTATGGTGACTAATTAAATGTCTCCGTCAATATAGCAGGAGGCGGCAACACAACTCTTGTATTCTTATTTTTGCCGTAGTATCAACGGAGTGTGTGTGTGTGTGGACACCGGGAAAAAGTATGTATTACAGCTTTCTCTCTTATAACACACACAGGTTTACAGTTAGGAAAGCATTAAGTCAAGTCTGATGCGGTGATACATATGAAATAATGATCAGTCACTTCCACACAGTTAAGTATACAGCTTACGAATGAAACGTTAGTATTGAATCATACTGCATCCGACAACGTTACGAGACGAGTAGACAGTTAGGAAAATACTGTACCACAAATAAATCTAATCCAATACATTTATCTAATACATAGACAATAGAGTAACAGTGCAATTAAATGAGGGAAATGCCTTTCGATTCGTGCACCAAACATAAGCTAGGTGGTAACGTTAAATAATGATTTTGGGAAGTGAGGTACACTGACGCCAACTTCATGTTGATTTCACAAAATCCCCAACAAGATCACCACGAGTGTAGTTTCTACATCGTTAAATCCATTCGAATTATCTTTGAAGTTCAAACTTGATTAAATTTCCTAAACGTAGCAATTGTAGTTTTACTGTGGAATTAAACTTTACATGTATCGATTCTGACCAATGCTTCAATATACTGCAGAAATGCACCTTACAGTTTTATAGGACGTCCTGTGTGTTGAAACAACAGCCACACTATGTTGTTCCGTGAAGTAATGTTACATCCACATATTGTGGTTATGACTCATAAAGCATAAACGTATATGATTAGCTAGGGCGCTAACCAGTTAGCTGAGGAGCTAACCATTGCATTGAACAGCAATAGAGGAAAGCCAGCTCGCCCAACGTTTCGACAGTTGAAAACACAGCACGGCGGAGGGGAAATCCTCTTCACTTGCATCAACACATTTTAGTACGACAATTGCGGTGCATATGACGACAGACCTCGCTCGTGCCTCTCTTGAAAGCCAAACTGAGGGTCGAACTCGTATTTCTTCGAAGGGTCCGGCTCGGTGTCATTCTCGGTGACGTACCGTCGGACCAGGTGAGCTCCCATGGCAGCGACGATGTTTACACCCTGTAACAGAAATAATAAGTATATTCACTTCGCTGATGAAGCGTGATAATCTGATGTTTCCAAAAGCAACCTGCTGCCTAACATTCGGTCACCTCCACAAGCCCCTTGATACCACTTCCGCCTCGCGCCGGAAATAAACAGCCCAGCGGTGCTTCAGAGAAACGACTCCCCTACAGCCAACGGACAAAGGTTCCGCTGATAGGAGACGCGTGTCAAGTGACCGGCAAGACTGCTTATTCAGTTGTAGGTATTGAATCATTTTAACTGTACAAAAGCATTACAGTTCAGGTCAATATTCAATATTGTGCAGCAAAACTGCCTTAACACCAGTGGGCAACAACGGCACCAGAGACCCAAACCACTCTGTGGATTTAGCTTCTATTTATTCAAAAGTTAATAAACTCTAGATTGTCCACACATCACAAAAAGGAATAAATTAAATGCTTTGACACTACTAAAACCAAATGGTTTTGATTTTATTTGTTAAATTATTGTGTTGTATTAATACATCAAAACTACTTTAGTTGATTTGAGACTGAGAGTATGTAGAGTTGTGGTTGTCATTCACTATTAACATGAACAATGGTTGTTTTCAAATGGCCAGTAAGTCATGACAGTGAGCTTACACGTATACCATACATGTACAAAAAAACTGCATTCAGTATCCCAAGGTAAACCTAAGAGTGATGCCATTTGAATGTATTTATTTGTGACATTTTAAACTCACACAAACACAGAACTTACATAATGTTCATTTTGCAAACAGAATACACTGTGAAAACCCCCAAATCTCTTGTTGTATTATTTATACCTGGCTTACATGTTTATTTTTTTGTACATTGAATAATATAGATTAATCACTAGACATACATTTTTATTTCTTGGTAGATGTTATGTTTTTTCTTTATGCTTATTATAACTATGTCTCCAAGTTTGCAAATTTCCTCTTCCCCTGTTCATCATTTCAGTAAGGAAGCCCGGTACAGCCGTTGAAAAGCAGAACCCTTTGCAGCTGTTCAACTGATGACCTTTTCTGTCACTGATAGAGATCCTCATTGCCTTCCTCTCTAGACAGATTTGGCCTCTCTGAACCGGAGCCTGACCCCTGATCTCCAGACCGGGTACCAGTAGCAGAGGGGAACCTATGTGGGGGATAAAAAGGCGTGAGTCTTGAATGTATCTCAAATAATCCAAGAGTATATTTTCTGTCACACAGTTGTTTCATAAGTTGTACCTGAAGTTTCCAAAACCTCGGCTCTGCTGCAGAGTTTGAGAAAACATTTCATATTTGCGGATGTCATTGTCACTGACAGAGCGACGAGCATATTGCATCGCCTCTTCAAAGTGGTCCTTCCTGATCTCCGGGACTGGATCAAAGTCGTCGTCCTGCAGGCAGAGAAAAACAGAAGATAGTACACAATTTTTCCCCACACCCTGCAGAGTGGCTCAAGAAAATCTGTCACTACAATAGTATTAAGCTGATAAGAGAGTATGCAGCGCTGTAAGCGCCTAGCAAACTGACCATGGGGATGTCTGGTCTGTTCTGTCTCTGACGCTCGGTCCTGATCTCAGCCTCGATGGCCTCCCGGATGGCCAGCTTACAGGCCCGCTGGCAGATCTCTGTCAGGTCAGCGCCGGAGAAACCCTCTGTGATGCCAGACAGGTAGTCCAGGTTCACATCCTGCAGGAAGAAGAAGACGGAGGAGCAAATGGAATTAGTTTAAAGGGGCAGACCAACATTTCCCTTTCTGTTCTCATTCTTGGGTTCGTGTGGAAGATGTGTTTCAGAGAATGTTTTGTCCCTGTCCGTCTGCATCACTAACTTGAGCAACAGGGGACCTGCGCAAGTTGGCGTTCAGGATTGCGGAGCGAGATGGCTTGTCTGGGAGTGGGATGTAGATGAGCTGGTCCAAGCGGCCCGGCCGCAGGATGGCTGAGTCGATGATGTCCGGTCTGGTGTGACGACAGGACAAAAGGGAGTGAGACGTGGACAACTACTTCCAGTGTGCTGCCCTCTCAAACCACAGTCATTAAATACAAATTCTCACATGTGCACCTGTTTGTGGCACCAATAATGAAAACATTTTTTTTGTCCGACATGCCGTCCATCTCTGTGAGTATCTGGTTAATGACTCGGTCAGCTGCACCACTCCCATCCCCACCGCCGCCTCCTCGGGATTTGGCAATGGAGTCTAACTCGTCAAAAAACAAGATGCAGGGGGCTGCCTGTCTGGCCTGTGGACGGAGAAGGTGAGCAATGTTACCGCCACGAGGGAAAAAAAACTGTCTATCCTCCCACAATCACCCATTCTTCTTTCCTTTTGCCGTTCTCACCTTATCAAACACGTCTCTGACATTTGCCTCAGATTCTCCAAACCACATGGTGAGCATCTCAGGCCCTTTGATAGAAATAAAGTTTGCTTGGCACTCGTTGGCGATCGCTTTAGCCAGCAGCGTTTTCCCGCAGCCCGGAGGGCCGTAGAACAGCACTCCGCGAGATGGAGTCATACCAAACTTCAGGAACTTGTCCGGATACTCGACAGGGTACTGAGGGGGGTGAAGATAGATGGGATGGTCAATGGGGCTTGATATTTGTAGGTGTGGGCCAAGTTTGGTGGTGTGAGTGTGCGAGGGTTTCTTTCCACCTGAACAAGCTCTTGCAGTTCTCTCTTGACCTCGTCCAGCCCACCGACGTCTGCCCAGTTCACGTGAGGCACCTCTGCAATGGTTTCTCTCAGCGCTGAAGGGTTGCTCTGACTCAGAGCCCACTGGGATGAGGAAATGACACGAGGAGTGATGAGGACATTACATGAATCTCTTCATACGTTTAGAACTATCTAGCTTTTATTGTGTGGTTACAAATGACGAGGCACTAAAACACCCACATATGATCTGGAACAACAAAGGCCGGTGTGTGTATTTACCTGGAAGTCTTCCATGGTGACAGCCATCGAGTCCAGCAGGTCAGCGTCGATGCATTCGTCCTCCAGGTCTATGAGGGTCATCTTCTTGCGGATTGCTTGCAGAGCAGCTTCTGAGCACAAAGCAGCCATGTCGGCGCCTACATGGCCGTGGGTATCTGCGGCAATCTGAGATACGTAAAATAACTCAGGGACGGTGATATTACTCACACATGCATATCAAGATTAGGATGGGTGCCATCGGAAGGCAGCGTGATTGATGAAGGAAACGTTTAGCTGCTTTTTTAACTCTGGAACCAAACACTGACAAACTTGAAATGGGACTGCGAAATATTGCAATCACGCAAAACGTGATTGCAATATTTATATAAGTCACAACTCACATTTGTCCTTTTCACAGAGTAGTTTAGCTTTTAATATTATTACTGACAGAATACAGAAATATAGTCGATTTTCTAAAAACAACAACTTTTAGTTCAATAAAATACAGTATAAAAAGAAAAAAATGAAACAAATTGACAAAAGAAAATAGTTTTACAACTTAAACCCTTTTGCCACACGCTGCTTCACTTGCTCACCCTCTCCAGGTCGATGTCGCCAGTCAATTTAATGTTTTTGGTGTGAATCTGCAGAATCTCCAGTCTACCAATCGAATCAGGGATTCCAATGTCAATCTCGCGGTCAAACCTGCCTGTAGACAGACATAACCATTTGTATGTGATTGCTTTTGTGTGTGTGTTTGTGTGTGTGTGTGTGTGTGTGCGTGCTGACCGAAGCGTCTCAGAGCAGGGTCCACACTATTTGGTCGGTTTGTAGCTGCCATGACGACCACATGAGCTCTTTGTTTTAGGCCGTCCATCAGGGTCAGGAGCTGGGAGACTATACGTCTCTCCACTTCACCATGGGTCTACACACACACACACACACACACACACACACACACACACACACACACACACACACACACACACACACACACATACACACACACAAACTCATATAGTTAAATACAAAGTTTCGCATTTCCTTGCATTCAGAGAAAAGACACCTTATTCTAACGCTGTTACAGAAAGTACACTGTATGCAGCAGACAGCTGCATTTTGTACCCACTCTCCAATGTTTACCTTCTCTCTCTTGGGAGCGATGGCGTCCAACTCGTCAATAAAGATGATAGCTGGAGCGTTTTTCTCTGCCTCTTCAAAAGCCTTTCTTAGGTTGCTCTCTGACTCTCCCGCCAGCTTACTCATGATCTCAGGACCTCGTCACAGAGTAATGCGCAGCATGTAAAACACATTTTTTTTCCAACACAGATCTTTAAATAATAACACTAACGACTGAATCGGAGTTTCCAATCAGGAAACCCAGAATACATTTATACCTTAAAACAGCTCATTTTTCTTCCCTATCTGAGCACAAATGATCACACCGTGCAACTGCGGGAAAACAAAGGCTTACCATTGATGAGGAAGAAGAAGGCACCGGTTTCATTGGCTACAGCCCGGGCCACCAGGGTCTTCCCTGTGCCTGCAGGGCCGTAGAGCAGGATACCTCTGGGGGGCTGAAAGGGGGGAGGGAGCAACACTCTGACTCATTCAACGATGCTGTTACAATTGAAGAAATAAGAGTGGAGGGGTCCAGGGTTTCTGTGTGGCACCTTAACTCCTATAGCCTTAAAAAGGCCGGGGTGTCTCAGAGGAAGCTCCACCATCTCTTTGATTTGGGCGAGCTGCTTCCGACAACCTCCGATGTCGTCGTAGCCTATTTCGTTTAGGCTCTCCTCCTCATCCTGTCACAAGGCAATATGCAAGATAGACACCTGGTTGAGTTTATTCTCAGTAACAAATGTGGTGTACACTGAGCGGTTCCTGACACCTGATCACGAGATGCTGAAAAATCTACATCTGTTGCATGGGGGGAATATATGGTAGTTTATAACAACAGTTGACAACAATTAACAAACTAATACTTTTTCAAATGTAAAATGAATGTCTATCAGTATATGCCTCACATTATTTCCTATTACAACACATTTTTCTTTGACTTTAACTACCTAAATAGTGCAGTTATTAAAAGTATTAACCTCTCTTTTGATTGGCTCCCCCTCACAGTAGATGACCGTGTCCGGGGCAACGATGCAGCGCTCACCGGGGTCAGTCTCCACCACCTTGAACTCCACCGCCCGCATGCTCCCCCTCACAAGGAATATGTCACCTGGCAACGCGGAGAAAACGTCACCGAAAGAGCTGTTTTACTGTGATATGAAAGAGTTGCAGTACCTTTTTGTATTGGCCGGTAAGCCTCCTGAAAATACGGTTTGAGGAAAACATCAAAGAGGTTTCCTGTCAGGCCCTCGATGGTGTCATCGATAGGCAGGACATGGATCTTCTTCCCGTACTTGATGTCAGGGCAGGCATGAATGCTGTGATAGCACACACATCCTGGTCATTCCACGCTGTCAAACCTCACACAGCACTACACAGCGCACGCAAATCTACCTGATGACGTCCCCGAGTCGGACGCGCAGGTTGCTGCGCGTCACGCGATTGATGCGTATTCTTTCATGCCCACACGTGTCATCATTCAGGACAATGCACACCGTCTGGCGACGCTTTTTCCCTCTCAACACCACCGTGTCCCCCCGGAAGAGCTGCAGTTCCTCCGCTTTATTCTAGTGCACACACAGAACCCTCAGATGAAGTACAAACATACTAGGTTATATATATATATATATATACTTATGTATAGGTATATAGGACACACACAGACCTGTGACAGGCTGACGGTGCTGCTGTCTTCATTGAGAGCTTCGTCCACAAGGAGTCTGTTAGGTCGGTGTTTCTGCTTTAGGATGGCGGTGGAGAAATCTGCTCCCTTTGAGCTTCATAAACAAGGGACACATTATGACTCCCTGACATGCTGGCTTTGCACTTGTAGCTCGTATTTCCTCATGTGATACCGAGCTGTATTTAGACCCTTTGGCTCAGCACGTAGCAACAATATGGGCCTGTACACATGAAAATTGAAAATATCTTGTTAATCTATCGATACTTTTGAGGTGAAGTACATAAGTAAGTAAATAAGTAATGTTCTGTAGTTTTAAAAACTTGACCAGCAACATAGGACCAGTTTTGTGAAGCAAATCCTGTATAGAATACGTCCATGTTAAGTATTGTACATTATGCTGAAATACGCATGCACATATCTACACACACTGTCACTCACTCTGCTCCTCCTGAGCCTGGCATGACTGCTCTCCTTTGTCTCGCTGGATCCTCAATTTTGTACACAAAGATCTGCTCCGTCACTTTGCTCTGCAGTCGTTTGGCTGCGTTACATTCAGGAGCCGGTCTTGTCCGGTCTGATTTTGGCCGTGATCGATGCCGGCGGTTTCGAGTTCTGCCAGATCCAAACTGCCCCGGTGTAGTTTTGGTCTTTCCTGCAGCACTAAGGTTCCCAGCAGAGTCTCAGTCTTTCATTTTTTCCTCCAATGTCTAAAACCACCTTGTTTGTGGGAACTGCAGTCAATCTGTTTATCAGTGGAGATATAAATATGTCCGTCTTTATTTGTAACCCCACCGTGTGCACACACAAACACTTTCACACACAACCCAGCTCTTACCTTGGCGTGAGTCCCAGGACAGATATAACCTGATGGCTCCTCCTCTGCTTTTACCAGCACATGCATGGACACGGAGAACACTTTCAGACCTGAAAGTCAAAGACGGGACTCAAATATTTGTCAAATAAATGCTGTATAAAATAGATTTTCCAAAATATACCCTGTTTGTTCTCTTACATTTTTTTTCTTCTAAAGCGCAGTGCAGTGTTTCCTCTTTTGACTCCTTACTGTTATGACTGAGGGGGCCGCTGTTGTATTTCCTCCCTCACATGTTTGCACATTTGTGTCTGGTACACACAAAGACCCCAAAATACACAAATACATAAAAACACAATCACTGTTTATTCATTACATGCAACACTTGTTCCCACAAACTCAGAATGGACACATTGGGGTCTTTTGATTTAAACTTTTATTACTGAAATGGTCCTTTCACATTTAACTTAACAACAAGAGCGTCGACACACTGTACATTTCCCTTGTGAGAATCCAGAATCAGACACGGCTGTCCCCTCTTACAGATTCAATGAAATGATCTGACTGCTAACAAGGGACGCAGAGAACATGCACTGTATACCTGGAGATGTGTTCGTGGAAGTGGCAAATAAAATGAAGGGAAAAACAGGGGGAGAGAGGTAGAGGAGGTTTAAAACCAATATGCTGAACACAGAAATATAAACATACAAATATGAGGGAAAAGGTCATTTGATAAGGCGTGCAAAAAAAGATGCGTCAAAATGGAATGTCTGCCGTTACAGTGAAGGTGGGATTCAGACGTGTGACCATTAGACAGCGCTTACTTTTTTAAAGTTTGCAAACTGTTCAAAACAACTGGTGGGATGAGATTAGTTGATTGACTCAGCTTCAACCTGCGATGATATCTTCCAGTTAGATAATCGTTTTCAATAATTTACAGATGGAGGCTGTTGTATTAAATTGACATAATTTGAATATATTTACACTCAGTTGAGAGTTGATTGTTCTGCTGATTTCATACCAGTAAATAGAGTGATTGATCACATTTCCCAGAGTAACTACGAACTAAAAGGCCATTCTCAATAGTAACAACTAGTGACACCTGCTGAACTGTGGCATCAAACAACAGAAAAAAAGAAAATGTACCCATAAATCATTGCAAGTGTATCCGTGCTTAAGCTTTGTGGGCAGCGGATGAGGATGTCCGTCTTTGTAAAGCCGGCTCCTGATGTGCTGATGCATGGATCAGAACAGATCATGCCTAGCTCGGCTTAAAAACATTTTTAAAAACCAAATGTCATAGATTTTGATCAGTAGGATTCAGTAAGATACATAAAAACAACCTGTCGTTCGGAGAGCCGACAAGATTCAACAACCTCTCAAACATCGATGAGCAGCTATGAACTTATTGCTTCGACCAGCAACCGGTTGGCACAAGGTTGTGAACCCTGCATCGCATTTCATCGTGATATATACAGGAGGACTATGGAGGGTCCACCCAGCTTCTGAGATGGTCAAACTGGTCAATTTCTAAAACTTTGTGCTCCGTCCAACATGCTCTGTGATGCCTGCACACACATACAGAGAGCGTACAATGACAGAGACGAACCCACATGCGAGAGGCCGTTGAATTAAAACCTCAAAAACAGTAAATGTACTTTTACACAGAATAACCTGGACCTCTTTTGAAATGTGCATAAAGGTCCGCACAAAACATCCGTCTAAAAACTAACCATTTTGCACAGTTTGGTCAAGAAATGGCAAAGTGCTTGATCATCGTAAATAAAAAAGAGGAACTGCATTACTTTCCTTTCCACCTCTGCATTACAAAGATGTTATGAGTCTGCTTTCTGCATCCAACATTTGTGCTCTGTTGTGTGCGTGTGTGTGTGTGCTGTTTGACATGAGATTAAAAGTAAAGCAGATACATCATGCATGCATTTTTTTATAGGATTACTTGAGCTATATGTAGATACAGACATAACCGTCATTAACAGTCTTCATCCTCAAAGTGTGTTTTCTGCAGAACCTTCACATGGCGCTCATAAATCTTGAGGGCGGGCCCGAGTCTGATTGACAGGCCAGTCAAAACATCGTTACGCTGCATGAGGAGAAGAGACTTGCCATCGATTTCCTAATGAAGAGAGCAAAGCAATGTGGTTGAAGGTTACAGTTAAAGGTTCCCGTACTACAGCAGACTCTGGCAGCCTCTAGTGTTTGTTGAAGAGATTACAGGCTCACCTGGGTCCTGAAGGCAGAAGCCTGTTCAGGGAAACCGGCTGCTGTGAAATAACTGACTACATCAGATACTGTCCAGTCCACTGGGCCCCCACTGGCTCCTTCAGACTTTACAAACCTAGGGAGACGAGGAGGAGGTGATTTGCACGTTTTCACTGATGTATAAATCCAACCACGAGCCTTTACACTGTTTACACTGTACCATTGTCAGTGTAAACAGGATAAGAATATTTTATATTCTGATTAAAATTGAAAGGCCAGACTTTGTTTCATTTCAATTTTAAAGCAGCTATAACCAATGGTTTCACGTTACGAAATTTTATAAATTCGGAAAGATCTGCAATATGACGATATGCAATAGTGCAAAACCACTGCAGCCTACCTGCTGTGCACCAAACTGCAGACAGACACAGTTAGAAAGTATAGATGCTGAATATAGCGGAGAGTTCAACAGCCCAAGAGACAGATGTATCACTCAGCACTTGAATCGAAGGGATTATTGTACTTTTCATCAGAAGGATACATGCACAATAAATGATGAGGTTACCCTGTAAAAGCAGGATGAGACAATAAGTAACCGTTTGCTACAAACTTTGCCATATGGATTTTAAAGGTGATGAGATGACAATGGTGTGTTTCCAACCTGTTGACCCTGCACCCGAGTGGCCACTTCAATTTGCTACTGCATATTGAAGGTTATACAGTCAGGGAAAGAGGAATCCTGAATTTAAAATTACAGCAAAGATCCAAAAACAGCGAGCCAGCCAACTCTGTGAATCTGCCTTCAGTGTCTCCAGCATCTTTGGCGCACTCACCCTCCTCCTCCTCCGTTTATCCCTCGTTCCTCAGACACGCCGGACTCTCTCGGAGACGCAGTGGGTGTGAGCAGGCAGGACGACACGCCGACTTCCGTTTTAGACTCCAGGCCTACGGTGGGAACAACGAAGCACAGTCGGATTACCGGTCACCACCGAAGACGCTGACGTTTTGAGTTAACCTGTGAAGCAGCACTCACTGTTAAAGTCCGGGGAGGTGTGGTTGATTCTGTCATGTTGCATCTGGTTCAGTGTGTAGAGAGAAGAGTGAGGGGTCAAACAAAGATGCAAATAAAGGAGCATGACAGAAAAAAAAGGTGGAAACCTTTCCCTGAAGTCTAAGTCGCTGGAGACAGTGCCAGAGGAAACATTGTGTTGAAGGCATCAGGCTCCATTTCAAATCAAGGATTAAAGGAGCTGACGGTGTCAAGATGCATCGCCACAAATTAGCAGCGGCAACATCACCCACAGGCTCAGATGTTCATTAAGTGTTTGGCTCCATTAAAGAAAGGACCCTACAGAGAAATAAATGGTTTTATTTACCTTTCCCTCGATTGCGCATCTTTGTTATTGTGTCAGTCATGTGACATTGGTGTGTACGAGAATGAGAGTTGGCGAAAGATGGGTGGATTGGGGTTTTCACATTTGAGAAGGTATGCAAATATTTGCATATCAAACCTAAAATTTCTGAAAAGGTGTCGTACTAAGAATAATTGCCTCGATAGTCAACTAGGGAAGTTTCATTTGTTACACCATTACTCCCGCGGGGCCTTCCGTCAGGTCGATCAGACAAAATACATCTTCCAAGGCTCACTTTTCCATCAACGGGGGAAAATAACGCAAATATAGTCACACAAATCTTTTACTTCAGTTCATAGTATAGTATTTGCATACATTTCCTGCTTTTTTCTACTTCAGTAATAATCAGCAAGAAATATTATGCCAAATTATGTAAGTTCAAACATTCACGTAGCAATGCCCTGGCAATACCCTCCTACAATATTATACAGTATAATGCATTATTGATTACAATTCAATAATATTGTATGTCAAATATAATTATATTAATAAAGGGCTATACTCCACAATTATATTTTTATGTTGCCATGAAATGTTTTCTGTTGGTAATACTTATGTACTTTTATAGAAGCAACATTTTCAATGCAGGTCTTTTATTTGTAATGGATAATAATTTCAGTATTTATTTATTCAGTAGTATATTTTTAGCTATAATGGCAGATAATTTTAGAGTTTTTAGCCTTTATTAAATACGTATAAGTATTGAGATGACAGGAGAGATGCAACACTGGCCACTCAGACTCTATGGTATGATGCTGCCTTCCATGGTCGGCCTTTGAGTAATTTGTTTTCTGTTTTGAATACGCACAGCATATTATCCAACAATAAAAACCAAGATGCAAGATGATGGGCAGATGCACATTCTCATACTCACTTGTGACTCAATATCCAGCTGATCGGAGATGACGGTTCTGTGTTCGCTGTTACATTGTGACAGCAAAGCACCCTGAACAGGTAAATGTGTCGTCCTGGTGAGGGAATCAAGCACGCACATCCCTGGGACCAGCAGATGGAAAGGGAAAAAGTTAAAAGATCAGATTTCACTTTATAATCATCACTGTTAATGATATTATTATTGCTAGCAAAACTAAAGAAAGACCATTGAAGGGGAATGTGTGTGTGGCGCATATATATATATATATATATATATATATATATATATATATATATATATATAAAAATATAAACGGACAGACACGCTGTCATGATATGATTCCCATGCACACACACACACACACCTTTTGCCCCGTGTTGAGGACTCTCACTCTTTGATGATGTCTGGATCTCAACATCTGTGGTTTTCTCAATGAGCTCAGGTTCGGTTGTCATGGCTACCGGGGACAGTCTTCCCCGCCTCCTCATCAGAACTCGGGGAAACCTCCTCCTCATGGTCCTCCCCCTCCCCCTCCTCACGTTCCTCTTCTTCGCTGGCTGTCTCCATCGGCTCATCCTCCCGAGGAGAGGGGGGCGGCGGCTGAAAAGACAGATAAAGTTGTGTTAAGTTTCTTCACGGAGGAGATCTCCTCCTGAGCTTCACGCACAGCAGCAGGTCGCAGACAAACCCCGCCCACTTTGGGAAAACACAGGAATCTGAAATAAGGGGAGCCGCCCTCCTGTAGCCCACTCGGGTCTGCACCCACCCAGCAGCGAGGGGGGGGAGAGCGGAGGACCCGCACCGCGCGTCCGTTCCACGCTGCTCAACTCCCCGAGATGATGCAGCAACGACAACACACGCACGCTCACAAAGACGCGCAACGCGAGCGCACAAGAGGGACGGCCACGTCACCAATTAAAGGATCAACAATTAATTGTCCTAAATGTAATGTTCTCAAACTATTTTTGCGTGCGGCCTAAAAAAAATCGCGGGCGACCGAAGGGACATAAACCAAATATCTGGGGAAGGAATTGTGTCATTGTGTCATTGTGTCTCGTCGGGGCCGCTCGGCGCCCTGTGAAAAAACCGGGACGTGTTGGAAATACCAAGTTCGCGGCGCCCACCTTTGTGCCCGCGTGCGCGCCCTGCGGCGCGCTCCCCCCCGGCCCGCCGGCGGACGCTCTGCTCGGCTCCTCCGCAGCCGCCCCCCTCAGGGGAAGAGCGATGTTCCCGCAGCGCGTCCTGCGCAGTCTGCCCCTCGCCACCTCTCTCTCCATGACCACTTTGACTTTGCCTCGGGTCAGCTTTTCCTCCGATAACCGCTCCTGGCTGCTCAAATGGCCCAAAATCTCCTTGAGACCGAGCGGCTTGGCGTGGCCTCCGGTGGCGGTGGCCGCGGAGCCCCCCCCGCGGATGCTTTTCTCGGACAGGCTGCGAACAGAAGCCACCAATCTGTCGCCCAGCTCGGAGTTGGCGTGGCTCCCCGCTGCTCCGGTGCGCCCCCCTCCCCCATCTCCTCCCCCTCCCCCGACTCCGACTCGAAGTTTGGGCTCGAGGGACTCAGTCCGCTTTTGTCCCCGTTGTTGCTGCTGCTGCAGCTGCATGTTGCGCACGCTCCCGCTGCAAGTTGTGTCCCGCGTGTCATCTCTTGGCGGACACGGCTCCATTTCTCCGGGAGGCGCCTCGGCGTCGCCCGCCGCCGCCGCCTCGCCGCACGCATCACCGCCGTCGTGTTTGTTTGTCCCGCGACGGGGACCGGGCGGCGGGCAGTCCCCCGCTCCCCGCGGTCCTAATCCCTTGTCTCCCGGTGCACTTGCTTTCTCCTCTTTGCAGCCGCTCCCGACGGCGCAGCCCGTTGTTGCGCCACAAATGAGGCGCCCGTTTCCGCTACTCGGGCTGGAGGCGGGCTTGAGCTTCTGGTCGGCGGCGCGGGCTGATGCTTGAGGGGCGCGGGGGTCCGGGCTGGGCTCCGAGTCCTCCCCCTGGTCGGTGAAGCTGTGCGCGCTGTCGCCGTTGTTGTTGAGAGGGTCGCGCTTGGTTCGCTCCCCCGCCGCTGCCTCCGCGCCGCCGCCGCCGCTGCCAGCCGCCGTAAACTCACTCTTCTTTCTGCTTTTCCTCTGCACCTTCGCCGCATTCCGGTACGATATGGACCCCGTTGTAGCTAACTTTGAGCACCGTCTGCTCTTGAATCAGTTTTTCCAGTTCTGTCCTGGTTCGGTCCGGGTCTGACCCGTGTCGTCTCCGGACCATTCGACAAATCCTCTCCAGATCCGGACGGGCTTTCCTCGAGCGGAGGGAGTCGATTGTTGCCAGGATCCACTCTCGGTACTTATTGGGTTCGGACATCTTCTCTTGCTGGTCGTGTTTGGCCTGAGTGCGTCTTTTTCCTCCCCCCCCTCCTGCTGTTTCACAAGTGACGCCGTGCCCAAAAAGCTGGGAAGCCCGAGTGCGACCCGCGGCTGGAGAACGCGGACGGAAGCCCGGCTGCTACGCTGTCGTTCGCTGGCCACATTGTGCGCTTAAGGTGGACCGAAGATGGCGCCCGGGTCTCCGCCACAGACGCAAATGCCATTTAAGGTGGAATCGGCTGATTTATTTGATTTATGTTTTGTTTTAGTCCATTGGAGAGGGGTTCTTTGTTCGTAGTCTGGTTCTTATCCGCATGCAGATTATAGGCGTGATGAAGGTGGACGTCTGACCTCCAGGCAACACGCGCCCTACGATGCGTCTTCGTCTACAATTCACTCTTTAACAAAACGCACAGCCTCCCAACACTGGAATCAACACACACGCAGGAGGCAAACACACGTTCAGTCGAAATGTACAAGTAAAACTTTATTGGAATGATACTCATTTTGCAAAATATTACACTTCGGGTTTTTATGCCACTTCTCCCGTTATTTTAGACGCTTCCCCTTGCAGCGCGTCTGTGTGTGTGTGTGTGTGTGTGTCAGGGGGTTAACATGGTTTACATCGAGGTCTCGTTTCCCTAAAAAGTGCGACAGTATGTACCAGCAGTGCGCCCGCATCGACAGGAAGTTGTATCACCGCAAAAAAAACATCTAGGAGACACGGAATAATATTGTATTATAACTTCACTTTTGTCCATGATGATATAGTCAACATTAAACTCGACATGGAGGAAATACAGCCAATGCGAAGTCTCAACAAGTGGTTTACAACAATGTCAAATTAATAATATTAATGCTATTAAAAAAAGGTTGTCATTCCCAATCATTCACAAGATCAGAGTGATTGATTGAAAAATGTTTTTCCGCCTCGCTCTCTCTCTCTCAATGAGGAGGACTGAAAATGAAAATTCTGGGCTAAGAGGAGAGGGGGCAAACCCTTTTAGGTCCCAAGTCGTTTGCCATGCGTGTGGACTCTTTTCTGTGCGCGAGCCAAACGCCTCTTTGCTGAACGTTGTTAAAAGGGGCAGGTAGTTTCTTGTTAAATAGCTATTTAGTTTGGAAATGTCTCAGCACAATATCAACTGACACAATGAAGGGACTCGAGGTCCTACTTATTTAGCTCAACTCGAGGTCCTGTCCTGGTATCCAGGACCCAATAGAGGGTCCGTTTACCACCCATGTGGGCTGCTCCGCAGCCCGCGAAGTTATGTCAAGGTATCCATCACATGAGGGGAACACGCGATAATCGCTAAGGAATCTAGGCCTCGAACTCTCTTGCAGGTTTTAATGCAAGTTTTATACTGAATCACTGCCCCTTTAAGGCTCCATTAAGACAGAAGCTTACATGGTGCATACTCCTTAATTAAATCGTTTGATTCAAATTAGCACACAGCAAACCCGGGGCCACGTCACGTTTCGGCATAGCGATACTGTACATAATGTGCAGACAGGGGAACTTTTCTTGGACAGGAAGGACTCGTTCAAATAAAACTAATCGGTATTCTAAAGCCACCAGGTAAAACCAGCGCCTGTTTCAACCAAAATAGATTATCTTCATTGTAGTGGGACATTAAAATACAGCTACGAAGAAGGCATTTGAATGTTTGAAATAGACAATATTTATGAATCCTGAAAGACCAAATCCTACAATGACCACCATTTTGGGCGTCGCGTAAGTGCTTTGCCATTATAGCTCAGGTGCTAAATCGGCATCGAACAGCTGAAGTGCTATGCGTTGCGGAATTTACGGACAGGCAGCTTGCACACTGAGATTGTTCCTGTCTCTTCTCAGTACCAGCAATATTCAACTCTTCTACCTTTTCCTAACTTCTTTAATGGAGTAGGAGGCATCTTTACATCATCACCACATGGAAAAAAAGGAAAATGTGCACGTAAACACACAGATGGGAATAGAGCTGCTGGCACATGTAGGCCTGTCACACAGAGTGAGAGTGCTGTGGAGATGAACACAGGTGTATATAAAAAGAGCATGAAGCACACCATCCAGACCACCGACAACGACTCAAGGCTCAAAGTGCTCCAGTGACCACCAGCCAGAAGCAGTTTGAGGTAGTCTGCCTCGGATGGTCTCTTCTAACTGGAGTGGGCCGGGGCCAAATGGTGGATACAAAATGCCGCATCAGCTCGACTAACAAATGAGCTCTGAGCCGAGACAGCAAGTGCGTTAAGAACAAACACAGTTAGCAAAAACAAATTCTCTGGAAGGGAAAATTGTGGAATAGCTAAAAGTCATAATATTCCCTTTTGTTCCTGTTGGTGCTTGACAGAACTTTAAATTCCCAAATCTATATCACAAGCAAGTGTCTCCCACATCTTCTTGACCTGCGAATCCTAATGCTTTATGATGATAAAATGTCTTATTAAGTGATATGTTCAAACCTGAGATACCATTATGTTATTTTGTCGCTATCGAAACCGATATAGAGATTTACGTTCCCTTATCCACATTTCCTTTGTTTGTTAGCGCGACTTGAAATAATTGAAGCCACCAGTATCTAGTAACATTTAAAAAAACTTGAGTGCACAAAGCCTAGCTATGCTAACAACGATTGAGTTACACAGTAAACTGACTTCTTCCCCGGAAGTGTCACCTGTCTCTTACCCTAAGTTGCTTGATTAGACAATGCATCGTTTTTATGTTTTTCTTTTGGCCAATCATGCCGGTGACTCGAGGTATGAAAAGGTAAAAGATGGAATATTTAAATAATAAATGAGAAATTATATTTAATTTGAATGTTCACTTAAATGCTCCTCCTGCTCGAGAGAGAGAGGGAGAGAGAGGGAGAGAGAAAGAGAGAGGGTTATCAGTTGAATTGGAAGAAATCTTTACGTGGACCTCAACTTCATGGACTCTACGGGCTTCATGAGATGAACAACAAGCCGCAGGAGGTGGAGCAGGCGGACTGATTTCTCTGTGATGTGGCCCAAAAGGGATTGAATGATGAACAAAACTAGAAAAAGAGAAGGGAAGGATGAAAATGACTAGAGGCATCTCTAAGTATAACCAACACCCTTCGATCTGAAGCTCACCTTCAGTATAAAGGGAACCATAAATAAGACAGAATAATAAATAAAATAAAAAATCAACAGAAAAGGCAACACTGCTGGTTATCAGTCCCCTTTCTCCTTTTCCCTTCTCTATCCCTCCCTCCTTCCCCACTCTGGTCGTAGCTGGTGCTTGTGATTGGACAGGAGACAGCACTCTCTCCTTATGTCTCCCACTCGAGCAGCCTACCTTTGACTCTCCCTACTCCTTCTTTCTTCCTCTCTCGCTCTCTAACGCTAGAACTCTGCAAACTCCTTGCCACATTTCTCGTTGAAGGAGACGCGGATCTCCTCCTCCTCGTAGTCGTCGAAGTTGCTGGTGTCGCCTGGTCCTTTGAACTTGGGGACGAAGGGAGCCTCCACCTACAGACAATTGAAAACCCCAGTTGGGAAGTGAACTTTATAGAAGGGAAGACAACTCGTTTAACAAGCTGCACTCACAGACACACATACCTTTTTCTGGTAGATGGCAATCCAGTCGGTGGTTGCGAACCATTTGTGTCCCTTGATGTCGTTGACCCCGTTCTTGAGGTTCCCAAAACGTTTTGTTAGATCCACCTGAGGATAACACCAATACATTTTCCTCACTTGTTCGAACTGCAGAGGAGTAAACGTAGCTGTAACTTCAGAATGACAAATATTTGCTTTCACCTGTAACAGGTTCCGCAAGAGGTCCTTCAGGTCTGAACTGAAGTGAGATGGGAAACGCACCTGAGGCAGACAACAGAAAGAGGTTAAAAACACTTCCAAGCCGGCTTCAATAACCGTCAAGGTGGTCTAAAGAGATTCTGTGTTTGCCCCTGGGAGCACCGCTAACATGCAACAGATAGATTACAGTTTCTGTAAAACAAAGCCTATTATAAAGGACAGAAAGGACACTTGAAGACGAGTAGAAGAAGACAACATGTCTATATTGGAGATGCATAACAAATTGTCCCTGCTGTCAAAATGTACAGAGTTAGGCTTCAACATTTGTCTAAACATAACCCAAACTAAATGAACTTTCTTAAACAAAACCCTCAGAACAGAGTCATGTCGGGATGAGGGGCGGGTCCTCCAAATGTTACAAACACCAAAGGCAGCACCAGGTGGTATTCGGAGAGTCCAACTCACCTTCCCTGACACGATCTTTTCGTAGATCTGAATGGGCTGGTCAGCAAAGAAAGGCGGGTACCCTGCTGCCATCTCATAGACCAGTACGCCCAGCGCCCACCAGTCTACGGCCTTGTTATACCCCTGGAGATATAACAAGGGTGGAGGAAAGTAGAGACAAAAGGGCTGTTTAAAAAAAATATTATTTTCCATTTCCATTTGTCGTTCGTACCTCTTTTGCTCAAGTCTGTCAACTTGTACTTTCCAACAGAATCTGTGCAACCCTTTCAAATGTTCAGAATGAAGAGATCCATTATGATTGTTATGCGGCCCGTCACGTGATGACGTAGTCTAAGTATCTTTGATATTATACTGAACGATTCAAGGACACATAGAGACTTATGGAGAACGTTCTATCAAAAAGACGTCATGATGTTTGTTGTCACATCTAAATATTAGATGAACGTTGGAATGTTTTCTATTACGTCGCGCCTCCGTTTCTTTTACTTGCAATGCAAAAAGCTCTCGCTTTTTTGAGCTACCGTCTTGCTTGCTCACATCTAACTGACTGCAGCTGGCGGTCGTTTCGTTTCCGCGATCAACTTCCGGTTTACAGAAGTAAACAAACGTATGTTAACTAAATATTTTGTTGCATTAATCTTTGCCACATTAATCGCATAGTTTAATGCGTTTATGTTAATTTAGAGTTTTACTAGCTTCAATGTTCATATGTTGTTAAGGGGAAGATTTGCGCTCTATAGATTCTCTTGAAAACAACTATTGCCTATTATGGCTTGAAAAACCAAGGCGACCAATACCAACATCCCAAGATACTCCTCGTGCTGGCAGGAGCGTAAATACCAGCAACCACAATCTTGTAGAGAAAGGGTGTTAACCCAATGTAATAGGTCGGTGTCATTGTTTGTTTAAATGCAGAATATCTTCATTTGAACGGAATCATGGCTGTAAGATAAAATATGGTGCAATGGTGGCTCACCTTGCTCAGAATAATCTCCGGGGCCAGATATTCTGGGGTGCCACACAGTGTCCAGGTCCGGCCCTTTACGCGTTTGGCAAAGCCAAAATCTGTCACCTGAGAGGGAAACAATAGATTATTGACAAACAATGAAAAGCGTGCCTAGCTGAAAGGCAGAAGAAAGGAAACCCGCACAATAGACAGGGGCAACGCGATGGAGCAAGGCAAGGATCTTTGGGCAGCAATGGGATCCTTCACCAGTTTATAGTTAATGGTCCGTCACTAGAGGGCGGAATAATCTTTGTCACGAGACCGACTCTGTGTGACAGCGTTAGTTGGTCAAAGTTTAGACACGTCCAAGCCTGTGAGATCCCAAATAAAAGGGATGGGGATTTTTAAATGTCATGCTTCATTTTCACACAAGTGACTGTAAAACTGCATGCAGCTTCTTTAAATTAAAACAGAGCCAAGCCCGTGGTCTTTAAAACCCAACAGCTTGATGTCCCATGGACTCTGCTGCATCAGAATGACTGTAAAAATAGTGAAATAACTAATTCCAATGATGACTAAAATGCAAATAAATAAAATCCAGGTTACCTGTATGTAGCCCTGTTGGTCTATGAGCAGGTTTTCAGGTTTCAGGTCTCTGTAGATCAGGTCCAACGCGTGAAGATACTCAAAGGTTAGAACAATCTGAGCAGCGTAGAACCGAGCGTGAGGCTCACTGTGGACACACAAACCAAAGCAGGGTGGTGTAGAAAAAGAGCAGTTTAGTGGAGAATATGGACCAGAACAGAACAGCAGGGAACATAGCCGAGTAAAACAGAGCACAGCTAAAAAGAGACCTGAGGAGAACAGAGTCGAATAGAATAAAAAAGAATAGGCAACAAGAGAATAAAATAGAGGAGATGCATTAAATGACTCCTATAGACACTAACCTAAATCTGCCAATTCTCCGTAGATGAGAGAACATCTCTCCACCTGGTACATACTCCATCACCATATAGAGGTTAGTGTTGTCCTAGAGAAGGAAGACAGAGGACAGGTTTGAGACACACAGATACAGATCAACCCATTTTTTACACCCATTAACAAGACAAGTAACGCAACACCAGCTTCATATTATCAAGGAGGATTTCATTCTTCCCACGCTTCTTGGTTGACGACTGCAAATGCAACATACTGTCAAAGTACACTAACTAAGCTGAGTTAATATGCATTTGTTGTCGGCTCTTCCAAAGGGTGAAGGACGAGACAAGCGGAGAGGAAAATTCTGTTAATAGGTTTATTTGAAGCTTAACCCGAATAAGGCTTTAATTGGAGTATAGCCAGCGGCTGGGTTAGTCTGTAGGAGCACAGGCAGATCTTTGCAAGTTGAAGCTAATGCAACTATTGCTGATAAAAACAGACCCTAGGTATACATGTGGTTTAATTACAGATCACATAAATATGACAAAACTAGACACATATTCACTCACATTTTGACATTGTTTTCTCAGTTTTGATTATTATTTCATCTCAATTTCTGAATAGCCAAGCAGTACAGGTTTCTTCACACGCATTGATCATTTGAATGGACCACTTTCATAAAAATGTAGTCAAATAGCAATTAAAAAGCTGGACTGGGGGATTTGGGCTAAGCAGATGAAGAGAAGGACAATCTATTCAGCACCCATCTCTCTCACACACACACACACACACACACACACACACACACACACACACACACACACACACACACTAGAATTCACCGTACCTTAAACGAGTACTCCAACCGCACCAGAAAGGGAAAGCTGACAGCCTGAAGAATCCGCTTCTCATTCAGAGTGTGCTCTATTTGCTTGAGCTTGACCACCTGAAAGACAAAAAGGAGGGTTTATATGTGTCTCTGTATAGCGACCCTGGCGCCCCATTCATTTTTATTACTGATGCAAAAAAAATAATAATTATACTATTTAATTTATATAATGATTTTCTTGTTTGAAGATATGATACATTTGCTTTCATTTTGTAAAACGTACTCATTAATGTGTGTGTTTTTTTAACATCATAATGTAGTATTTATACATTAGTTTATCACAAAAGTAGCTCTGGAGCAGTCAGCCTCCTTCCGGCTAGGCTAACACCTGCAAGCGTCATCGATTTTGTTACCTTTTGATTGATTTTTGTGAAATTGGCAAAACAGTACAAACACAAGTCAAGGTACAATCAATTATTTCCCTCCATTTTGGTTTCCAGGTACACTGACATCCAGTGAAAGCAAAGCGAAACAAAGTGGAAACCAGGCATGAATAGAATGATGTATTATGAGTGGGAGGTACCGAAGCCAAAGCAGGTGTCATAAAATGGGCAAATCTCTATAGATGCTTTCATCCAAGAGACAATAGGGCCACAGTCTCTCCCTCCGTGTTTGTGGTGAGGTGGTTTGCCAGGTTAACAGCACGTACCCGACACACAGATAATTGTGATTTTTTGCATTTTAAAATGTATTGACCAGTTGTTCTAAGCTGCATGTCTCTAGACTGCATCAAAGTGATAAAGAACCTCAACTTTTCAGCGTTGAATTCACCGGATCGGCCAGTGAAACAGACATTCCCATCTGTGTATATTAGCAATAAAAATGAGTTTCTGTAGATATTAGTCATAAGATAGGAGATAACCAGTGCGAACAGAAACAAATTATTTCTAAATTGGTTTCCAAAATGACTGTACTTGATAATATGCACTAAAACAACCTCAGCTTTGCCACCCGATGTCTGCTTGAGCACAACCTTATTCAAAGAGGATCAATAGGAACCATATATGTATATATATATATATATATATATATATATATATAATAAAATATTCCACCGTGACGCAAACTGACCTTCTGCTTGTTGAGGATCTTCATGGCATAATGCTGTCCCGTTTCTCTGTGCTTCACAAGCATCACTCGGCCAAATGAGCCCGTGCCGAGAGTTTTCAACCTCTCAAACTGCTCAAGGCCAGCAGTGTTCTGAACGGACAAAACAAAAAGGGCTGATTGATTTTTGTGAGAATCGGATGGCGAGTTTTTCTAATGTGTCCTCTGCTCATATTAACCTTATATTATGTGTGTTTTTATACAGCAAATGCCAGAGTGCATGTGTAGTATAGTGTATATGAAGCGTGTATGATATATGATATGAGCTAATATGTACAAACTAATTGGGTACACTGAACATGCACAGCACATAATACCTATATAGAGCCAGGTTACATCTAAAACTATTATGTGAACCTGTGAAATATATCTGGATTTATCTACATACAGTTTATATAAAAAAAAGGAGTCATACTGTCACATTTCAATTTCTTTTTCTTTCTCTTATAAAACCTCGGGTCGAAGAGAAAGTCAAGTATACTCAACAATGTAAAGAAGATTTTTAAGTTATTTGTATCTAATATGATCTGTTACTGTAAAATACTTCTAAAAGCTTGATTGCACAGCGGCACAGAACTTAAATTATATTTCGAAGGCTGGCTAAAATGGTTCAAATCGAATGCTGTAATGCGTCAAGAATAGTATACATTTTTATAATATTTAGATTATACATATTTAGATTATTAGTATACATAAAAGGTCTGCAATAAGAATACATGTAAATAATAATTGTTATGTTAAATGCAATCACTATGGTTGAGAAATAATAATAATAAGAACCGGAAATTAAAAGACAAAACAATTATATGATTTCAAGGTCAAATCGGTACATAACCAAACTGAATCATCACGCTACATATTTTACCAGCCACTTGATTTATTTTGCTGTACACAAATATGTATATATATATACACACTAACCTGTGCGGGGCTCTCCCACTTCTTTAGAAAGTCCTCTTTGGCTTTAGCAAGGAACTCCTTGACTGTGGACGACAAAATCACAATGAAGGCTTTAGTAGTGTGTGCAAAAAAGTGAAATAATACAGAAATGAAAACGTAGAATACCTCCTCTGTTTTTGAAGAATCACATGCAAAGATGTGCAAACCTGCAGAAAGCTCCCACGAGAACTGTTTCCCTTTGTTTAGTAGCACTCTTCTGACAAAACACCACCACACACAAACTGTGTATGATCTTAGTGTGAAGCACGTGTTAGGATTATTGTTGTTTTAGTATTTAAGGACTCAGTAAGCACGGTATGTGGTATTGAGGCTCATTTTCTTACAATTATGCTCCCTGACCAAGAGTGCATGACATACAGCATGTGATGCTTACACTTCAAGCTCCTTCCTTTACTGTGTTGTGATCCCTGGCACTGTTTGTAATCTGTTAGGTGGAAAGTATATGTGAAATGACTGCATGAATACCAATGCATTTTTAAAAGTCATGGTAAACAGAAGATCTATCCAATGAATGCACCAGTCCAGTGGCCTCTGACATTTCTCATCCTCGTGCGTCGCATAAACCTCACGTTAGACTTACAGACACAGTGAGACCAGCTCAGCAGGTTCACGTTAATGCAGCTCATCCACACACACACACACACACACACACACACACACACACACACACACACACACACACACACACACACACACACAGAGTTCAAGCAGCATCTATCTTCCAAAAGAGGGGAGGCAACATAAATATTGGCAATATGTCAGTAATGCGAATATTAAAAAATCGTCATGTCTACGAAAACCGCTCTCCATCCTGAACTTAGCATCTACTCAAAGTAAAGCAAAAAAAAGCCCCTCTCTTCATTCACATGCAATGCTGCTGAATGAGTTGCATTTAGGATCTTGCGTTCGTTTGCAGGAAGGACTTTTCATGCCGGTGCATCTTAATGAATGGGAAAGGAAGAGTAAGGATTCTAATTGAACATGTGCGTCTTTTTCTGTAAATACATCGTCTCTGATCATGTCACGAGGTGTAACATTAGGCTACCGGCGACGGTACCCACCGCTTTCCATCTCGCTGCCCTTCCTGGCCGTGGGCGCGTTGCCCATGATGACAACTTGTCAACGGGCGATCCGTGGCTTGTTTTTTTGGCCGCCCTGCAGCCCCCTCGAGCCGGTGACCCAAGTTCGGCGTTTTTTCCTTAACCCAGTCGCAGCGGTTAGCGAGCGTCCCGAGGTCTTGGTCTTTAATAGCCTGCGATGCGGCGAGGCGGTGCTCCGGAGCGGGCTCGCGCCCTACACGGCCGTCAGCCGCCGACACCGGCCGGAATCGGGCTTGAATCCCCGGGGAGCTATCGCGGTAGCGTCCTGGTCGCTGGGGCTCCACCAGACCGCCAGGCCGACCTCGGCGTGATTGACCTGAAACGCGGAGGATCCAGTCTTCTCCTGTGCCTCCTCGCAGCAGCACCCCCCACCCCGGCTCCCCACCTCTCTCCCGGCCCCCCGCCCCCCGAAAAACAGCTACACAGACGGCGGGGATGCAATATTCTCAATCAAAAGACTGCCACCTTTCGTCATCGAACCCAGATTTAAAAAGTGAATCCTCGAAGGGGTCCAAACGGCGAAGCGAATTTTCCCAAATCAACATTGGCCCCCTGTAGTCTCGGAGACGGGCGAGATGACGGAACTACAGCCGAGCTCAGATCCCGCCTCTTGGGCGGAGCCCGGGTTGATTGACGGCTGAAGCTAGGCTATGTATTGGTCACCTAGCTAAGCGGTCGTCCTACGGCGCCCTCCGATTGGCCTTTAAATCCGCCAACAACGCCAACGGACCGCCACCCTACAAATAGCCAGCGATGGGAAACGTCAACGACACATTTTTGCTCTCGACTATAACCGCGCCCACTTTCTCCCGTCGCTGCCTTCCATTGGCTGGTCGCGGCCAAACCGTGGGAATCACGGCGAATGTGAGGTTACTCATTGGCCGAAAGGTAAATAAATAAATAGAACCCCGCCCCTTGCCGTCGAGCGACTGATACGCGTTTGGCTCAACTGCGAGCTATTTTTAGAAAGGTTGGTCAGAATATAACACACGCGCGGCGCAGTCTGGCTGGCAGCACTTCTTAACTGATCGCAGACAGCCGTGCATGGAGGGAAGAGTTTATCCGGTGGGGATCGAACCACCAGCAATACGATATGCAAGATAGGCATTTATTTGACAGTCGGTGTTGCTGGAAAACCCGCACCTCATAACGTCTTATGTGACGCGCCTTCAATCCGCTGACAGCATGTCGGTGATTCTCGGCCCACATCCGGTGAACCTGCAGCGCAAGTGTAGCAGATGCCCTTGGCCCTTAAATTATTATTATTGTGGTACGCAGAAGGCACGGCTTCAAATAGATTTGCATCTGAAAATGTTAATTCAATAATAATCTGAATTTGTGTGGGTCAACAAATCTGAATTTCCAAAGGACACACAAACCAACACTTGAGGTATACATGTGTAAATGAGTCATGCGTGGTCTGAGGCCTACAACATACATTTATATTTAAAAGATGCCCACAATACAAAGCTACTACAGCTGCATAAGCTTTTCATTTGCCCTACTTTTGATCGTAATGCATTCTGATAATGATCCTAAACGCTTTGGCCGATTATCAGATATACACACATTTACCTCAAATTCACATATGTAAAATAACAGATGGAAGGACTGAAGCGTCTGTTTTGAATCGACCACGCATTAGTGCCGATGTAGCCCAAGAGAGAAAATGGGTGAGAGCAGAGTCCCCCACCCTTTAGTGATGCAGTTGCCGAGCAACATGAGGCTAGAGTGGAAATGGTGGAGTGAGGCTGCTGCATTTTATGAATGAAATTGGAAAAAAAGAAAAAGGAGCTAGAGGGGAAAGAGCAGACCAACACAGCCAGTCTCTAGCGTGCCTCCTTCCTCACTAGTCAAGGTATAAAGCAGCTGTGCAATTAAAATTTGGCAAATACAGGAAACTAGTACTAGATTCACAAAACAAGTTTATTAAGCCCATCACAACCCCCATTTTTACAAATGCTGAGGCAGAGAATATACAGTAAGTACAAAAAGAAAATGGGCCTGTTCATCTTGAAGACCATGTAAGCGCTGAGAAAACATTATTTACAGTTAACCTTAACTACAATCCAGAATCCTTTTCTCCTTCAACTCAATGTTTTATGCATCCATAGACCTTAATCTTAGGTCCCATAACTGCACCTTGGCCTGTTTAAAGGGCCTTCTGGATAACTCAAGGTTATAACTCAAAAACAAGGCTGTACTCAGTGTACGCTCCATAGCCAATAGTAAACAAAGCTAGTTCATGCAACAGGCTGAACATAACCCACATTTCAAAAAAGATGTCCACAGGTGCGTCTACTCCAAAATGCTACACATTTACATGTGACAAAAATTACAAACAATGAAATGCTTTATTATAGAAAGCTAGTGCTACATACAGAGCACTGCCCACATCAGTGCGCAAGAGGACAGCTTTGACTTTGTCTAAAACCATATATAGTAAAATAAGGCAAAGCTGGTTGTGCTAGCCTGGGTGTGTTGAAAGAGACCGCACAGGAGGCAAAACTGTTTACAACAATGCCAGATTCATCCCGTTTGCGTATGCTGTATAAAAATAATGTTCTTGATACATCCGTGGCTTTCTTGTCCAAAAGAGTGTTTGCAATGTGGATGAGTGTACCCATAAGAACAACCTTTTGTCCATCATCTCAGCGTGAGGATTTTTTACATGCAGTCCATGGAGTTGTCTGGCATCAGTCCGAGAGGGGGCATCTTTCCCGGTACACAGGTCGGCGGAAGCATTCCTCCGATGTTGGGGGACGGGTCGACATTCTCGCAGTCCTCCATTTTGTCTGACGAACCCTCCCAGTTGATATGGAAGCGAGTGACACGGGGGTTGGAGGCCAGAATATTCCTCAGGAGCTGAGAGAATGAAAGCGACATTGGTGAAATGTCAGAATTCCCATTTGTGGTGGAGATATCCTCACTTTCAGTCCCACACGTGGGTCACGTTTTACCAAACCTTTCCTTGATGGAACTAAAAAGCATCTCATTACTCGGCTCTTTGCACCTGCTAAAAAAACACCCTCGTCCGTCATACACCATGCCACCTGTTCGGGATGTAGGCTTTCAAAAAAAAAAAAAAAAAAAAAAAAAAGCCTTCCCGGAAATTGAGGGAATGCAAAAAAGGTACCGTTTCCATTTCACACAGAGACAATACAAGCAAGTCGCTTTGAGTTAGCTTCTGTTGCACTGGCGTACATTGATCCTGCTGGTATTTCAGACAGAAGGGATCCTTTTATCGGACTTTAGAAAAAGCTGAAACGTGATACCGGAGTTTATAATAGTTTCATTAGTAATCAACCTATCCCCCAAAAGTGAGCCAATGTAGAATACTATATCATACAAACCTGGCTGGGTGCGTTTTCATTTTATTAAAATGTCCCATTGCGCCAAATCACATCCACGTCGTGTAGTAAACCCTGAAACTTTTACCCTTTGATTGTTCTGACCAAAAAGCTAAAATGATCTTAAGGTCATAAATTGCCCCCCCCCTAACGCTAATAAAAACCTTCAGATCAACACGATTCACATTGATGACATATTCTAATTTAAAAAAAGTTGCAGGCATGTGCTTATGGCAGAAATCAATGATGACCACTTGAGTGAGTGTGTGTTTGTTACCTGAGTGTAGTCTGGTTTGAGGGGTGGGTTTTCCCGTAGTTCAGGGTCTGTGTATTCATTGTTGACATAGTAACCAATGCGGATGAACTCCTGTCCACGGTAGGTGCAGGTAATAAGGACGACAGTAACTCCTACAGCATCACTCTCTGGAATCAACCCGGTGTTTGGTGCATCAGCCTGAAGGCGCAGAAAGGAACACAACGCGGAATACATCAGATGAAAGTAATCCATGGCAATCATGTTATTAATGAAGCATTGAGCAAAACAGCAGGCCAAACCAGGGAAATAAACCTGTGTCTCTGAATTCCAGTCTCAATATTCAATGGCTTCTGTGGCCTAGCTGTATTAGATGAGAGGTAACATGTGACCAAGGTTTTCTGACCTGGAAAACAAACATGTGTCTGCCAGCTGGTACCGGGCCAACAAGAACAGAATCCAGAACCTGGTCGTATTCCTCGCTCTCGGCAGAACCCACGTAGATGATCTTCCACTCCAGATCTGATGTTACATACACACAACAGAGATAGACACGCCATGAATTTTGTTGGTACGGAATAGAGTAACACGGGGTATTGCTGTTGATTGAAATTGAGACATGTTGATTGACAGATTAAAAAATATATACATCTTTAACAGAAAAATACTTGTTGATATACATTAGGGCTGCAACAACAAATCTATGAAATCGATAAAATTCGATTATTAAAAGCGTTGGCAACGAATTTCATTATCATTCATTCATTAATTTGTTGTGTCGCACGATTATCACGTCACTCAACGAGTTGCGGAGATGAAAAATAAAAAATAAAAGAGCCGAGCCGACGTAGAGGAAAGAGCAGCCAGCAGCTGTTGTGAGTCACATGACGCAGGCAGAGACGTCTGTTCGACTAGTCGTCCAAGGTGTGAGAGTATTTTTCAATCTGTTTTGTATAGATTTCGGATTCACTTCAACAATCACTACAATTAATTAGGTTACATAGGAAATCATCAGTTTAATTGGTATACAGGTTCATAGCTAATGACAGCGAATCTCAACAGCTAGGCATTGCCTGTAGCCTGTGCATGCTACGGCTTCCATGTTGTCTCTGCCCGCGGTTCGCGGCAAGTCGTTTAGCTTGACCGTTGCTAGAGTAACACAACGTAAACAACCAATGAACTTCAAGGAAAAGACGTCAAATCAGGTCTGAGAACCAATCAGAGCAGGCGGGAGGCGGGGCGCGGAGCATAAACGCGCCAGCGCCAATTTTCAACTACTCGTCAAATGAAATATCTCTCTCCAACGACTAAGATAGCCTATCTTATCTTATCAGGCTGACATATCGGTATATCGATGAGCAACATCGCATGGTTATCAACAACTTACGATGTACCCCATCAACCCTCAAAAGTACAAGAAAGGGAGCTAGCACCCAATAGCTAACATTATGATAAATAATAAACTAACGTTAACTGGCACGACACGTTAAGGTTAACTGAAAGCACCCACCTTCAGGTAAATCCTCCATGCATTCAAACGTTATTTCAAACTGAAATGGATTTCCAAATGGGCTCGGGTTGTCCAGCACAGCAACATTTAACACTTGTACCTTGGCCATGACGGTTTCTTCTGAAGCACCTCGTCCAGCTCCCTACTCTTACGTGAACAGTGTAACCAATCTATCGGTGCTTTAATATCACTGTGTTCCCGGCAGGGCTTTAGTCCCACACGTTGACGGCGCCTATCCTAAAGACTGTCAGTTAAAGTTTGATCCTTTTCTTCTCCGAGATCGCCAACACTCCTGGGCTACAGGAAATACGTCACTCTCTACTTCCTCTTCGTCTTCTTCGCCGTCTTTATTTCAGATATCTTGCTACCCGCTGCTGCCCCCAAACGTTCATTTGTTAAACAGAACAACACGTTCTTCTGAAGTTGCATTTTAAAGAGTGGATTAGTGCCTTATGTTATATTCTGGCCTTATTATTTGGAGCAGCACTAATATTTTTCAGTAATTAAGTTCAATTTATTTAGTTATTTGTGAGTGAATGTGTCCGTTAATAGAATATCTATAGATTTGAAATTATTTGGTAAAATATAAAATATGTCTCCTCAGCATGTGATTGTAGGTATTTTAGACATTTTGGAACCATTAGATTTAAGATTTAGATTAGATTCTCTTTTCAAAATAAAACATATGCAAAACAGACAAAAAGAAGTTCAAAGTTCCCAATAAACACCCCATTCATTTGTTAAAAATTACAGTGGCTTAGACTTCTCCAAAGGTTGGTCGGCAACTTTATAGTAAAAACAGGCAAGCCATTTTGTCGGAAAGCTGTTTTCTTTATTCTAAGTAACGACAAGTAAATTATGGCAAATCACCATTTTAGTTATTTTTGTGTATGGATGAAATACACAAGATCATGTTGTTGTTAATTACTAAGCTTTCCATTTGCTCTAAGCCTTTTGATAAACTAAACACCACCTACTGTAGCTCCACAATGTTATGCAACATAAGCGTTTTTGATCATTGGAAAAAAAAGAAATGGAACACAACACAATAAACAGGGCTTTGACTATATTAGAAAAATATGATATAAATACACACCATTAAAATAAAGGAACGTTTTTCTTGGCAATTTGAACAGTTGGATTATTTTTGTATATCAATAAGAATAATACTTATTAATTATTAGCACAATATGTTTTTTGTCAATACTGTTGGACAGGAATACATTGATGACAATGTCATCCGTATACGCTCCAGTTCTCAAAGATTAATCAATGAGCTGTAATATAATTTGAATCACAATCAATTGAAATTTGGTTAATTGTTGTAACTTTCTTTGCATCAACCTATGGGTCAGATCAGTCTCAATAATTGCAAATGCGCACGGAACAATTCATAAACGTATTCGATTTACAAATGCGCACAGAAGGATTTAAAATACATTTCAATACACACATAAATACATTTATATTTGTGAATGTGTATGCATTTGTTTGCAGATCACACTGCATTTATTTGCGGATCGCTTCACATTTGTGTGTGGGTTTTATGAGATTTGTCTTACATCGCAGCTCCACAAAAGTGTTTTTTTCAACATAGACCCATCAGTAGCCAATCACATGAGCGCAGCTCCCCCCTCCCCATGAGACCTCCAGCAGCGCAAATTGCGCAGGCAACCATAGATATAAATAAAGACTAGATGTCTCGTCCGCATGGCCGGCCAACAGAGCCAAAGTCCGCACATGGCAGCCATCTTGCTACAGTGAGCTTGGTGGTGTGTTTATTCAATAATAAACTGTTCATATCTGGTGCTTCAATGCTGTCAGGCCTGTCGACTATAATCTGGTTTGACCTCCTCTGGTGGGTTGATTGTCATCACTGGGATTCCATCTGCAGGGACAAACCCCAAACAAGATACACCACTATTCATCTCCCCCGAGGCCACAATGTGAGGCGTAGCATATTGCGGTGTAGAACACGTTCTCTACCAGGACCGTGTTCCTGGCTGACTATATACACTGGGTTCTTGGGTCTAGGTTGACTAATCACTACCTAAGGGGATGCTTCCCACTTGTCTGCTAGCTTACCCCGGTTCCTTGCTCTCTGATGTCGTACTAACACCCTTTCCCCAGGCAGTAATGAGGCTTCTTGGCAGAGCGATCATAAACTACCTTTTGGTGTGCAACTGCTTGTCCTCCTTGTTCCCAGGCTTTCCTATATGCTGCATGTAGGTGTTGGTGGTGGCCCTGGACTCATGCATCAACAGTCACTGGTTCGTCCGAGGAGGGTAAGCCAAACATTATATCTTGGGGGAGTCGGCCATGTCTGCCAAACAAGATAAAAAGGGGTGAAAGCAGTGGAGCAATGAGAAGCATTGTTATACACAAAGACCAGTTCTCCCACGTCGTCCGGCCAACTCTCCTTGTCCTCTTCTAGAGTACCCAAAAGGTCTATTAGGGTTCAATTTGCTTGATGGTACAAGGTTGTTTGGCTCTTGATTGTCCCATACAGTTTATACAGTTCATGGATTACTTGTGCCTTGAAGCAGGCCCCCTGGTTGGAGTGAAGATGATGTGGGGCTTGTTTTGAAAGATTTTGCACAATCGTTAAATAAGAATAAGGCTCTGAGTCAAATATTTCTCTCTTCGTTTATTTCCTTGCAAGTGGAAAAAGTCACAACAGCTATGTGCTCAATAGACTGCCAGGAACCTTTCTCCTCCCACAACAGGGCCAGGCAGTTCTTATACCTACAGGTGGCCTCCAAACTTGTTGTGTCTCTACAGCCAGGAGACTGGAATTTTATCTGTGTGAGACACTCGAGCTCAAGTCTTTTTCATTGCCACACCATCCCAGCACTTGCATCTATAACCTTGTTCGTTCAATGAAACATTTTGAAGGGTTACATACATTTGTGCCATTATAGGCTCTAAAAGGTTGAAACACGTGTTTCCAAAGTACCTTAGCTGTGGTCATTGCTGACTGGTCCGGAGTGGGGATGGCCTAAGCAAACTTGGTAAAATGGTCAGTGATTACCAGTATTTTTTTGAGACCACCAATGGAGCAATCCATCTTTAGATAGTCCATCAAAACCAGTTCTAGAGGCATAGAAGTACAAACTGACACCAGAGGGCTCCGTCTTTGTGGGGCTCTTGAGGACACATCGCGGGCAGGTTGTTTTCCAGGTCCCTACATCATGGGTCATCTTTGTCCTGTCTTTGTGGAATGGACAATGTCTTTTCTATACCAAAGTGGCCTGCTTGTTCGTGGTAACACTCCCCTACATGTCGTTGGGAGCTTTGATGGCACAACCAGCTGACACACTACATCTTCTTTCTTGGGTGACTGGATTTGACGCCAGAGGATGAAGCAGTCCAAATGTCGGAGAAGTTCTACAACTGGTCGTGTCTCATCTCTTCGAGTCTGGTCTGGTTCGAATGGCGAACCTCATAGGATGAGTTCTGTCACACAGTGCAATGCTTCATCCTCCTCCTGTGCTTGTTGCCTCTGAGCCAGGGTCCACCCAGGTAAGGTGGTGTCTAATATGTCACTGGTCACCTGATTAGTGTGTGTCTGTATGTGCGCCGGAGGGGCAGTGTTTTGAGCTAGGCAGTGGGCAAGAAGTAGGCAGGTGAAAGTTTGGGATCTCTTGGAGATTCGCTTGGCTCGTTTGGCTTTATGGACAATGCATCTGCATTGGCATTATGACGCCCGGGCCGGTACTGGTTGATGTAGTCATAATTTGCCATTCGTGCTACCCATCTCTGCTCAATACTGCTGATTGTGGCTGTCTGTAAGTGGGACAGTGGGTTATTGTCTGTGAAGACAGTCACTTTGCCACGAAGCAAATATTCTTTACATTTTTCTGTCATTGCCCACTTCACTTCAATACGTTTTATTTTATTTTATCGCAGTGAGCAGGTTTCAGTTGGTTTGGCTTCCTCGGCTTTCTTCGGCTCGGCTCCTCTGCCTTGCCCCTCAGCGTCTGCTCCCGAGTCTCGCTCTCCAGAGATACACAATCAGTCCTCATCACTTCCACCTGTGCTCCTTACTCACCTGCCGGCACCGTCCCCTGAACCACTCTCCCCCCTGCAGCTGAGCTAACCACAGCCCGCCAACACAACATCCCAACATTGACGGATCACATTCATCCCCAATAACCCAGGCCAGTTTGTGAGGCAATGATCTTGTTCAATAATTATCCCGTACACCTATTATGTCCGCCCTACCAATCTTTTGGCCTAGCTGAGCCTAGGTAGGCAATACAGAGTCCATTAGCAAGATGAATAGTCAGAAAGGAGGAGGCGTCTCTTAAGCGGATGCCTTGATCCCCAAAGTAAAGAGTGAAGAAGCTTTGAGCGAGCATTGTCACTCGGGAACCTGTGTTTAATGGGCAGGGGACCATAATGCCTTCCATTTCTACCTCAACTATTGGACTGTCTCCACATAACTGAGCCTGTTCATTGTGGGTGTGACTATTTCCAGCTGGGCGGCTCTCCACAGCTGGAATTTCTAATCTAAAGGCTGCTGTTGATGACTGTCACTCTGTCTTGCCCTACATTGGTGTTGACTGTGCCCCATTTTGTTACAGAAATTGTACCCTGGGGGGTGGGTTTCTCCTCTACTTTCCATGTTGCCTTGTGTTACTATACTCAACCCTCCTAGGTTGTTGGTTATGGTAGTCATTTTCCAAGTCTTGCTGGGGGTTGTAAGGAGGACCCTCATACTGACGAGATGGTATCCGTTGCCGCCGTGTCCCTCTCTCCAGCCATTAGACACTCACTCGATAAAACATAAGGTAGATAAAACAAATAAAACCCCATCTGCAATAATACATTAACCATCTCAAACAGATAATCAAAAACATGCGAATGTAGCAGTATAGAGGTGCCACTGTTTCCCCCCTGGAAACATTGTCTTACACGTTTCCGCAGTAAGACAACGTTCCAGGGGGCAAACGGTGGCACCTCTCGGTCGGTCTGCAGCTTGGTGTGCCGAATATCGCTCGCCACGCTGAACTGCCTGGCATCCCCGGTTTATACCGTGCGCCAGATCAGTTCCTTTTTAAACCCTTGTCACGTCTGTGTTTTAACCAGGGCTGTATCCCTTTTGTATTGTTGGATGGATGTTATTTTATTGTAATTTTGTAATTTGTTTTTGTCTTTAGTTGCTGGAGACTGGTGGTGGTGGTGCTGCTGGCCGGGTGGTGGTGTCCTACCCCTTTGTTTGCTGTGTCCTGGGAAGCGGGTTCATCACTACGTCTGGTGGTTTTGAGTTTGTTTTGTTTGTGTTCTTGATTTGCTGGGTTCCCCCCACGCCCTCTACACCTAGCGTTGTCTGTCCAACCAGCTCCAGCCCTCTAATTGATTTTCTATTAATTTTCTTTTTGATTTGAATTAAATTGCACTGATTTTAAAAGTATTTAAAATAAAGTTGTACTTGTTCTAAAACCGTGAACTGAGTCTCCTGCCTAATAAGAGTAAACTTAGCTGTGGGCCTTGTACCTTCCAGATTATTTCTCGGGGTGAACTTCCCCAAGTGGCGTTGTTGTTTTTTTATTTAGTTTCATTCCCCTTTTTCACCCTATCCTCGCCACACAAACTGTTGGAGCCATTCTGAATACTGCAATGGGATGGCGCTGTTTTTGCCACCAGCCTATTTAACACCAGGGCTAATTAGTGCAGGTGTGGCCCACAGCTAGGCAGATAACTTTTGACCGTGAGGCACGGCGGATTGGGAATTGAATTGTTTGTTATTTTTGTTATAAATAAATGGATTGACATATCCGATGTTAAGTTCAGAAGTTTTGAAAGTAAGTTATTTTTATTTTAAGCCACAAACAACACGCCGGAAAACACGAGGACAAAACAACTTAAATGTGCGCCAACAATTAGTCAAAAGTTTGGCTCAGTATGAGAAAAAGACCGATCAAGTTTAGACGGCACGATCCTTGTGCTGTTTGAGCACCTTGTCTTCGACGGCGATCGGCTGAATGGAAACGCTGTCGCGTGCTTTGGATGTAGCGTTAGTCGTATTCTACGGGCGCAGCGCGTCTCACATTGGACAGTGGAGCAAACCACGCAGCCACGGGCGGAGATCGGTGACCGGTAGCGGGGATCGGCGGCGGAGGACGGTGACCGGTAGCGGTGATTGGTAGCGGATGTCGGTGAAACTACGCTGGAGCCTCACAGTGGATAGTGAGGCAGTCCGAACTCGGTCACGACGGAGGTTGGTGAGCGTTCTCACATTGGTCAGTGAGGATTGGACACTACGTCACCAAGTGAAGAAAAGTTGGTTGGACCTGGAACGAGCCGCGAGGTATGAGCAGTTAACACACACGAGTAAGAAGGAATGAAGCAGAGCTGCCTGCAGTTATTAAAGCGTAAACGGCAGGACTAACGAGAACACAATGGACGGACATTTGGTTTATCGACATTGACATTTTCCAACGAGGACTTGAAATAAGAGACATTTGGGTTTGCAAGAAAATGAAAGTGTTAATGGTTTGTTTTTTATTCTGATGCTCGTTTTCATGATATTGTGAAATATTGCTGTTTCTGGGTGGTTGACTGGAAAACAAGGTAAAATGGATGAAGATCATCAAGGTAGTGAGGTAACAAATGTGTCAGCTGACTTACAAAAGGTTAATGAGGATGAAGCCTCTGTGAAAAAAGGTCTGTAAAATTGACACAAAAAGTACTGCTTTCCAAACTAGGTAACTTAGAGACACTAAGGAAATCCAAGTTAAGTAAAGCTGCCAATATAAAACAAACTGTTCAAGGGTTAATGTGTCAGTCTGGTTATGAATCTGAAATAAAAGGTAGCTTCAGCAAATGTCAAGCCTTGATTAAAGACGCAAAAGTTGCACATAACCAACTGCCTGAGTTTCTACCCGTAGATGAAAAGGAAAGGCATGAAACCTGGTTCAAAGCAAAGCTGTTAAGTGTGAACGAATTTTGCCATTGCGTAGAAAATCGTTTTAAGAGTGCAAATAATGGTACTACTGAAACCGTTGCCCTTGAGGATGATATAAAGCCAACGGATAGTGTATCAAATGTTGGTACATCATCATGCATTAAAAGCCGTACCAGTGAAAGATCAAGTCGATCAAGCAAAGCTGCATTGGAAGTTGCACACGCGCAAGCAAAGGCCAGGAAAGCTGCACTCATAGCACGTGCAGCAGCGTTAAAAAAGAAACATGAATTGGAAAGGGAGGTGGAATCAATAAGGAAAAAACTGGAACAGGTGGAAATGGATGCTGAGATTGAAGCCTCAGATGCAGAATTGGCAGTACTGCAAACATTTTCAGATCAGGATGGTATGGAGTCGTACATTGAGAAGCAAAAATCAAAAGAAAGCCCTAACATTTCTGAGGCAAAGTTTGAAAAATCTACAAGATTGATGAGTAATAAAGGTTTATCTACTGCTAATGTTGCACATGCAGTTGATGACAATTCTACACAACAGATTCTGCAAAGGCAAAATGAAATATCCGAGCTGCTCTTACAACAACACAAAGCAAGCCAACTGCCACCTAGACAACTACCTGTTTTCAAAGGTGACCCATTGAAGCTCAAAATGTTCATGCAAGCTTTTAAGCATTGTGTGGAGGAGAAAGCTGCATCTAAAGGGGATTGCATGTATTTTTTGGAAAGGTACACCAGGGGGCGTCCTCACGACCTTGTGCAAAGCTGTTTACATATGAGTGCGGAGAGAGGTTTTGAAACAGCTAAAGCTCTCCTACGGGAACACTTCGGCAATGAAACAAAGATTACAGCAGCATATATGGAAAAGGTTCTCAACTGGCCTGTGGTGAAGCCTGAAGGTGTTTTGTTTCTACAGGACTATGCATGTGTCCTGATGTGTATACAGCCAAGCCTAGGTCAAAGCAAGGTAACTTTGCTACAAACGTCTGTGCTGTTAGCAAAGTGCAACGCAGGGACACACAAGAAGGTAAACACAGGGAGAGCAACATCGGCATCAATTGTTTATTCTGTTTGCAAGATCACAGTCTGGATGAATGTCAACGACTTGCAAAAAACAAACATCGTGAAAAGATCAACTTCTTAAAGGAAAAAGGAGTATGTTTTGGGTGTCTCAACATTGGGCATTTGAGCAAAAATTACGATAAGCGGAAAACCTATGAAAAATGCAAACAGAGCCATCCAACAGCTTTACACATTCACGTCAAACAAGTGGACAAATCGATGAACAGCAGTGGCATCTATCCCAAGGAACCTAAACCAGCTGTAAACCATACGCTTGTGTCAGCTCAGACATTTGGGAGCCAAACCGGGGCCGGTGGTAGTGGAATGCTCTCCATCCTGCCAGTTCAGGTAAAAGCAAAAAAGGGCAACAAGGTCATTCAGACTTATGCTTTTCTGGACAATGGCTCGACATCCACATTCTGCTCTGAAGCTCTTATGCGTAGACTTAATCTTACTGGAACAAAGTCAAAAATAGGTTTGTTAACGATGAACCCAAAGACATCAGTGTCAACATACATTGTGAATGGACTTGAAGTAGCTAGCCTTAATGGAACAAGGTACTACAGTCTTCCAAATGTTTACACACAGAAAAAGATGCCAGTTGACACAGCAAACATCATAAAACCAGAGGACATATCACAGTGGCCTTACCTTGATCACATTGAAATCCCTGAAATTGATGCTACCGTGGAGTTATTAATAGGTACTAATGCTTCAAAGTTGCTAGAACCATGGGAAATTGTGAATAGCCAAGGTGAGGGTCCTTTTGCTGTTAAAACCCTATTAGGGTGGATGATCAATGGCTTAGGAAAGGATTCCAAAGACAATAGGAATGGCATTGGCTATCCTTCTGTTTCTGTAAACAGATTATCTGTAGAATCACTTCAGCTGTTATTGGAGAAGCAGTACCAAAGTGACTTCAATGAGAAAATCGCCGACGACAATGAAGAAATGTCAAGGCAAGAGGCAAGATTCATTAAAATAATGGATCAATCTGTAAAGTTAAAGGACGGACATTACAGTTTAAAGCTGCCATTTAAAGCCCAAGAGGCAACTTTGCCAAACAACCGTTGTATTGCTCAACAGCGCCTCATTGGACTAAGAAGGAAAATGGAAAGAAATGAGAAATTCCACCAAGAATACACAAGCTTTCTTGAAAATGTCATCAGTAGTGGCTATGCAGAAATGGTACCACAGGATGAATTGCGTTGTGGAGAAGATAACCTGTTCTATATACCTCATCATGGAGTATATCACCCACGGAAGGGCAAGTTGCGAGTTGTCTTCGACTGTGGAGCTAAGTTTAAAGGAACTTCTTTGAACGAACAACTTCTGCAGGGTCCGAACCTTACAAGTTCCTTAATAGGAGTGTTTCTACGATTCAGACAAGAACCAGTTGCTTTTATGTCTGATGTGAAGTCTATGTTCTATCAAGTTAGAGTGGCCGACGAAGACAAAGACTTTCTAAGGTTCCTGTGGTGGCCTAATGGAGAACAAACAAGCAAGTTGAAGAATATAGAATGACTGTACATCTCTTTGGAGCAGTGTCGTCGCCTAGTTGTGCATGTTATGCTCTAAGGAAGACAGCAGAGGATAGTCGGAATGGGTTTTCGGAGGAGGTGATTGACACGGTATATAAAAATTTCTATGTGGACGATTGTCTGAAAAGCTCACCGTCTGTGCAGAAAGCCGTACAGATTGTCCAGGACCTGACTGAACTTTGCCAGAAAGGAGGGTTTCATCTTACACAGTGGATAAGTAGCAGTCGCAAAGTCCTTGAAACAATTCCTGAGAAAGAACATTCTAAAAGTGTGAGTGAACTAAATTTGGACATAGACCAACTTCCGGTGGAAAGAGCACTGGGGCTACATTGGTGTCTGGAAAATGACAAGTTTAACTTCCATGTGAACTGCAAAGAACGGATGCAGACACGGCGAGGGATTCTATCAGTCACTAGTGCAGTGTACGATCCCTTAGGGTACGTTGCGCCAGTCCTTCTTCCAGCCAAGCACATATTACAAGAGTTGTGCAAAAGGAACTATGGCTGGGATGAAGAAGTTCCACAAACCTTAAAACAGCAGTGGATAAAGTGGTTAACTGACCTGAAAGAGATCTCAGAGTTCCGAGTGAGTAGGTGCTTGAAACCACATGACTTTGGAACACCAGTCCACGCCCAGTTGCATCACTTTGCCGATGCCAGCGAAAGGGGATATGGCACGGTAACTTACCTAAGGTTACAGAACAAAGCAGGTCATGTTCATATTTCCTTTCTTCTTGGAAAGTCCAGAGTAACACCTCTTAAACCCGTAACCATTCCTCGTTTGGAACTCACTGCTGCCGTTTTAGCTGTTCGAGTGGACAGGATGGTAAAATCAGAGTTACAGCTTTCTTTGTCAGAATCCTGTTTCTGGACTGATAGTACTACAGTCTTGAAGTACATCAGCAATGAAAACAAAAGGTTTCGAACATTTGTGGCCAACAGAGTAGCCATCATTAGGGAATCTTCAGAGCCAGCACAGTGGCGCTATGTTCATACAAAACAAAATCCTGCAGATGATGCATCTAGAGGACTGACAGTCCATAAGCTTTTGAACAGCAAAACATGGCTATCAGGTCCGGAATTCCTGTGGAGAGCAAGAGAAACATGGTTACAGTACGAAGTGGAGTCCACATTGGAGGAGGATGATCCAGAGGTCAAAGTGGAAATCTCCACAAACGCAATAACCATTCAAGAGGATAATGCAACCAGCCAACTCATCACCTATTTCTCTGACTGGAAAAGGTTGAAAGTCGCAGTTGCATGGTTGCTGTTGGTCAAAGGGACTCTATTGGAGTTGAGTCAAAGAAGGAAGCAACTTGTGAAAGATGGAATGGCTAATCTTGATGTTGACAGAAAAATGTTGGAAGCCAGAAAGTCGTTCAAACTAGAACGTGTATCCACGGAGGATCTATTAGCAGCAGAAAACGCTATCCTTCAGTTCTGTCAGAGGGAAAGATTTGACACTGAGATTTGTGCACTAAAGACAGGAAAACCTGTAAAAGGGTGTAGCCCTATCTACAAGCTGAATCCTGTCTTAGAGGAAGGACTGGTAAGAGTTGGTGGAAGATTGTCCAGGACTGCAATGCCCGAAGAGAGCAAACATCCAGTCATCCTGTGTAAAGATCAGCACATCTCCATGTTAATTCCTAAAAATATTCACGAACAGACAAGACACGGTGGGAGAAATTACATCCTTTCCAAATTGAGAGAGAAGTTCTGGGTCACTCATGCCAATGCAGCAGCAAGGAAAATCTTGTCAAATTGTCCTTTTTGCAGACGTCACCAAGGAAAATTCCATCCATCCATCCATTGTCAAACCGCTTATCCTGCACACAGGGTCGCGGGGGGGCTGGAGTCCATCCCAGCCAACTTCGGGCGATAGACAGGGTACATCCTGGACTGGTCGCCAGCCAATCGCAGGGCTACACAGAGACACACAACCATTCACACTCACATTCACACATCTACGGGCAATTTAAAGTCCCCAATCAACCTGATCCCCAGAGCATGTCTTTGGACTGTGGGAGGAAGCCGGAGAACCCGGAGAGAACCCACGCAGACACGGGGAGAACATACAGACTCCACACAGAAAGGCCACTGGGCGGAATCGAACCCAGGACCTTCTTGCTGTGAGGCAACAGTGCTAAACACCACGCCACCGTGCCGCCCCCAAGGAAAATTGTGTGATCAAAAGATGTCGGATCTTCCCAAAGAGAGGATTACTCCAGACTTCCCTCCATTTACTAACGTGGGCGTGGACTATTTTGGGCCTATTGAGGTAAAACAAGGACGTTCTTATGTGAAACGTTATGGAGTTATCTTTACATGCATGGCCAGCAGGGCAATTCATTTAGAAGTGGCACACTCGTTAGACACAGACTCCTGCATCAGTGCTATTCGTCGATTCATATGCCGAAGAGGACCCGTGGCACACTTTCGCTCAGACAATGGCACAAATTTCACAGGTGCAGAAAAGGAACTAAAAAGAGCAATTGCAGATTTAAACCACAGATCAATTGAGAAGGCTTTAATTCATGACAATATCAAGTGGACGTTCAACCCACCTGCAGCTTCCCATCATGGCGGTGCTTGGGAAAGCATGATCAGACTGGTCAGGAAGGTCTTGGTATCTGTTTTACATCTACAGACTCTAACTGATGAAACGTTAGTCACAGTCTTATGCGAAGCCGAAGCAATCTTGAATGACCGACCAATTACGAGAGTTTCTGAGGATCCTAATGATTTAGAGCCACTAACACCTAATCATCTTCTTACTTTGAAAAGAATACCAGTTTTGCCGCCAGGTCTGTTTGATCAAAAGGACCAGTACGTAAGATGAAGATGGAAACAGGCTCAGTATCTTTCAGATTTGTTCTGGAAAAGGTGGACGAAGGAGTATCTTGCAACGCTACAGGAAAGAAAAAAGTGGAACAAAACACAACGTAATCTTATGGAAGGAGATATTGTTTTGATTGCAGATGCTACAGCACCACGAAATTCTTGGATGATTGGAAGGATTATTAAATCCTTTCCAGACAAATCAGGCATAGTTAGATCTGTGCAAATCAAAACCAAAACAAATGTAATTGAAAGACCAGTGACAAAACTAGGACTATTGGTAGAGCAGTCAATGTAAAAGTAAAACAAATGCACCAAAAGAGGGTTGATTTGCTTTTGTTTATTATTTTTGTTTGCAAACGTTGTTTTCGTTGTATGAATGTCTCCATACATGAATTGTTTATAATTGTCATGTCTTGAAGTGCCATGAACAATTAGGGGCCGGTTGTGTTGGAGCCATTCTGAATACTGCAATGGGAATGGCGCTGTTTTTGCCACCAGCCTATTTAACACCAGGGCTAAATAGTGCAGGTGTGGCGCACAGCGAGGCAGATAACTTTTGACCGTGAGGCCCGGCGGATTGGGAATTGAATTGTTTGTTATTTATGTTATAAATAAATGGATTGACATATCCGATGTTAAGTTCAGAAGTTTTGAAAGTAAGTTATTTTTATTTTAAGCCACAAACAACACGCCGGAAAACACAAGTACAAAACAACTTAAATGTGCGCCAACACAAACAATACAAATGGAAGTAAAAGCATGCAGATACAAAACTATAAAAATTACTGTATGATTAAAACCCAATACATGCAGACGTTCTAGACTCCGTCGTAAGACATCCAGCCTTATATATATATATATATATATATATATATATAATTCGAAGTGGACCTCGAAAAGATGAGAAGAGGAAGCGTAGTAACTCTGGTAAGTTTAACTGCTACTAACTAGTTAGTGCAAAGTCAAACACGCATCCAGCTACTAGCTAGCTAGCTAAAGCTAGGCAAGTGACTGCTGTTGCCCATTGAGTGATGGAAGCACGTTAGCAGTCAATTCGGTCTCTGTGTATCAGTGAGCAATGAAGTGCCGATTTTCAGTTTTTTTTATTACAAACACCTGACATGTGGCTATGATATAGGATACTTGGTTACATTAAAAACGCTTTTTTCATCACAAAATACTCTAGTTTATGCATCTGGTGTCTGGTATGTTCTTTAAACATTTCTGCACATGATATTTGCTGACGTTTACACTTCAATATACAACAGTGATTTGAGTCAAATAATAAAAATGAACAACCGTAGAGTGTTATTGCGGGATATTTCAAGACTTAACTTTCTTTTTAAATATTGTCATTATTATGAAAACACAGATTGCAAGATTAACAATTACGATCTATACATATTATCTGAAACAAAAATATATTATGTTTTATAGCCATTACTGCTGCTCTCTTTATAAATTGAGGTATTTTGTATGGAAATCAGACTTTTTAACGTAACCACCAAATATCCTTATATAATATAATGACCACGTGTCTGATATTTGTAACAAATATCAGGCTACCACAGGAAAATTTTAATCCTCTACCAACTACTCCTCTTCCTCTCCAAGCTCTGCACGCTCGGAGAATTGAAAAAAGAAGAAGATGAAGTCAAAGAAGAACATGAAGAAGGGAAAGAAGGTAACAAAGGAGAGGGGAAGCAAAAAGATCAGACGGAGCCGTGTTTCAAGGGGTAATTTATGTAAATGAAAACTAAGATGTAGAAGATACTGGCTGTTTATTTTTTGGTTTGTGACTTAATGTCGTCAGTTTCAACGAAGAGGAGTGAACTTGCAGGTAAAAGGTGAAAGAAACGCTTATGTATTCTACCTATGTGCAAGAAAGCTGTGATACTGTTGTGTTGTAGACTATGCCTACTGAATGATATTAATGTTGCATAGTTAGTAAACTTCAGGAATGGTTTAACGTTATTGAATGGAAGATCCTTTATGTCACTGAGACAAATATATACTCTTTCTTCTTCACCATCAGCACGTGGTCCAGATGAGGTAATTGCACGTTACCGGAAAGTATTGAGTTTAAAGATCAGCATACAACAAAGCACAAGCTCTGTAGGATTTTGCTGGGAAATGTCGAGATGCCATCCGTGACTGTCCAGATATTGGTGACACAGTTCGGGCACTGAAGAAATCAGAGAAACTATTGCCTGTTGGAAAAGGGGAATATTGGTTTGATCTTGTGCTGATGGACCATGTTTTAAAAAAAAGTTAAACTGTTAAATGTTCAGAGGAATAAAAAAATAAATAATAATCTACCTCAGTTTAATCATGCACTTTAAGGTAATTTCAATGTCTTTGATAATAATATGCCTCGATTTTTACAGATCCTGAAAGTGTTATTTTTTAAATTTGCAGTCCACAGCAATAAATAAAACACTTGTTGAAACACTTGTATCATGCTTTTTTTCCTTCCCATTATATCAGCCTTGACCATATTGTCGATGTGGAGGTTGTGAAAGTCATTAACCAGTTATTAACATGTAATGAAATACTTATTAGCCTTAATAAGGCTTGTTCTCACTTTAGATCCGGTAGCTGCAAAAAGCATAGTTAACTGTTTACAAGTGCATAGTTAACTTATATTAGATGAGCAATAAAGTATATTTTAATATCAATAAGCAAACAAAAAAGATTAATAAAGGCATAGCAAAGATGCTTATAAATGTGTTACAGCCTGCTATTAATTGTATTATAATGCCATTATTAACACTTGTATAGGGTTATAAATGTTAATAAGCATCTTGGAAGGACTTACAAGGGCCTTATTACCTATTAATTAATGGTTATAACAAGGACCTTAATATAAAGCGTTACCTAAACTTCTTATTCAGTTTAATCTTGTAGGTCCATAAGCTTAGTTAGCTAGCTAGTGTTGTCTTCAGCTTCTGCATGCTAATTTGTTTCTTCTGAAGTAACATCTTGAAGTTACAATTATTGAAAATAACTGTGGGACGTGTGAGAGGGTCTGTCGCCTCAAGCCAAGGTAGCAGCTTATCCTTATCCTCTCAGTTACATATTTATTACTGCATCTTTATTTGCACCTACTTGTTTGGGTGCTGCGATTGCCAAGAATGAACAAAAAAAAAGACAGATGGCAGTTCTGACTCAAAATCTGCATACGAAATGGAGTTCAGATATAATTCTTTGCGTGATGTTTTATGATATATTGGCAAGCTCACATTTCAAATAAATGCATTTGAGGTGTTGCATGCATAACATTCTCTCTTCCATCAGCGGAGGTGCTCCGTGACCTCATGAGGTTCTGGGTTTGGAGGGAGCTGCTGGAGGAAAAAGCTCGTGGTTGAGGTCGTAATCCCAATTCACCTGCTTCTTCAAATTGAAGCTCCCCAGCCACTTCAAGACCAGAAGATGTTCCACCCGGAATTTACTCCGCCAACGTATCAAAACTAATAATTAATTGTTCAAGAACATGTCATGTCTTACAACAAGGATTGCTACATTAATAATGTTTCACTTGACTTTCAGCGATACAGTGCAGGCGATGTATCGCTGAAAGTCACATGGGGAGGAGGGAGCCGCGCTCATGTGATTGGCTACAGATCGGTCCATGTTGAAAAAAAAAAACACATTTGTGGATCTGCAACGCAAGACAAGTCGCAAAAAACCCACACACAAATGTAAAGCTCTCCGCAAATAAATGCACTGTGATCTGCAAATATGAATCATAATGTATCCATCTGTGTGCATTGAAATGTATTTGTAAATCCTTCTGTGTGCATTTGTGAATCGAATACATTTTTTTATTAATCTGTGCGCATTTGTGAACATTCCTGTTTGCATTTGTGAGTCGTTCTGTGTGCATTTGCAATTATTAAGACTAATCTGACCCCATATCAATGAAGGGCCGTTTAGGACTTAACTACTGAGACACTCTTACGCGTCTCAGTAGTGTGCATGACAGTGTCTCAGTAGTTAGGTCCTAAACGGCCCCTGATACATATCACCCAACTGAGCTCGCTCAATATAGTCAAACTTCTACTTGTCAACTTCTACAAGTTGACATCATCGTTTATCGCAACAACCAACATTACAGTAAGTAACAGTAACTTTAATCTGTGAAGATGACAGCAAGAAATATTGAGTCCATCCAATTTTAATTAATACAGTGCAACATTGTTGGCCCTAATAGATTTCATAATCTGGAAAGATTTACATAAAAGGGTCAAATTCCAACACAAATAATTTGAAAAACATTATTTTGTTTAGTTTCACTACTGCTGACACCCAAACGTTTCGTACTGGTCGACCATATTTTCAATGCCCGCACAGGTAGGTCTGTATTCATCCTTTTGACACTCTGCGTTTGTGGGCCAATACTCAATCCAGGTTCTCCCTCCAAGAAAATACTGAAACCTGAGGAAAGAAAAGGTAAGAAAATACATTGGTTCAACAGTTATCTGTCATACACAAACATATGAAATAGCCTCCTGCCTCCTTTACGATAATCTACTCTGCCAATAGAGACAGAAATATAAAAATTTAACTTGATTTACTAAACACTAAACAGCATAACAACAGTTGAAAATTCTAAATACACACACATTCCTATTAAGAAGAAGCTTACGATTGGTCATTTTCCTTTGCTGTGATATCTCGGGATGAGCCCATGATAAGGTACGTTTTGCCTAATCTCAAATCCAACGACTCCCTGCAATGCGGAAGACTGATGAATGTGCGCAGTTTATTCACAGGACGCACGTCCTTGCTTCCTGTAATTGAGACATGAGATAGAAAATGTAAGAATTAAATGGATAGTTTAAGATTCAGTACAATAAATTAGCAAAGTATACATATTACTAATGCAACAGTTGAATCATACTTAAGGTAGTTGTGATACGCTAATTATATAACATACACACTAGAATAGGTCAGGCTGGCTCTGTTCAAAGGTAAGAAAATCCACCTACTGGCACTTCTAATATACTATCTAACAATAAAAAATAAAATGACTTTTCTTAATTACTATAATTTTCTTCAGAGAATAATCACCTGAAACTAAGAGTCATGTTTTTACCTCACAGGTAGATGCAGCCAGACTAAAACGAAACATTTATTGTCTAGGACAAACCAGTAAGGAGTGTCCGCTTGTTATCTATTAATACAAGCTAATTACACTGGCTGCTACAAACACGTGAGTAAAACTAGTTTTCTCCTCCAACTCTGACAAAAGGCAACTGTCTTAAAATGATAATTACTCACCTTCTTTGATGGTTTTCAGAACTCGCACAGTGTTCACATCAATGGACGGATCTTCTTCAGACAGTTCCACTTTCACTTTGTACGCTTAGGACAGAGCAGTTGCAGACTGTTAGCAGACATGTTTGTACTTGCTATATTTTATTACAACAACATACATTTATTTGTACACAAGTGCTTATCAATGCAGTCAAGCTCACTTACCAAAATCTATTTGGTTGTTAACTTCAGTCTCACATATCTTTTCTGTGCGCTGATCATTGCTGACTTGGTCCTTCTTCTGCATACTGCAATTCTCTGGAAATACACAATGCACAAAGTGAGAACACAACCGGTGACCCAGTGACATAATCACGTGTGTGTGTGTGTGTAAGAGTTGACGAGTGAAACTCTACCTAAAGGACAATCGTACTTCTTTAGTGAGACTGCTGCTCAGATCCTAGAATCCTGGAGGGCGTGTTGCCTCTGATAAAAAGTTCTAGTCGTTACAATCTGGTGACTTACTATAAAGTTTTGTTGAATTAATTTAAAGCTATTTCATATTTAGTCTTATTCACATGGGATCAGGCAGAACAGAACAGACGGTAAAATATATTTTCGCCTGATTACACGTGAAAGGTGTCAGTCTTAGTCTTTCACTGCAAAGGCTTATTTATTATAATACATTTTGTAGTTTTAGTCAATAAAAAACGAAAATGCTGCAGTGGACGAAAAGGACATGCAATACGCTGTGTGTGTGTGTGTGTGTCCAAGACTAAAAGAGGACTCATCCTGTACCTTCAGCACATGTGCACTCATCTTGGTCCTTTTTACAGAGCCGTGTTAACATGCCAGCTTCCCTCTCTGGATGGTAGAATTTCACACAACGTTTTTCTGCAATGGAGAAGAAAGATATTTGCAAAGGAGTTTGTGATTGTTGCAGTAAATCAGAACATTTGTATTAAAGACTTTATGAATCTAATATTAACCGCTTATTCACAGTGTTGTCTCTGGCATTCATCGGCAGCAAAGTACATAACGTTATTTGTTACCGTCATAGTAATCGTAAACAGACACAGCAGCTGGTTGAAGGGCAGCTGCTTTCATCGTCTGATGGACCCTAAAAGTGATCTCCTCAGGCAGCGTGTGAGAAACCTTTGGACAAAAGTAAGATGAGATAAAGACACAAAGAACATGGCAGAGACAAACATATTGGCAGGAAACCGGGATGTCTTACCTTGTTCAGGTAGATGATGAGTGAGCCTCTATCTGACAGAACTGTGTTCATCTCATAGTTTGCAATAGTGCGAGCAGGTCCTTTGGACAGCTACACACACACACACACACACACACGCACACAACTTAAACTTTATCCTAAACACAGCTGCACTGGGTTTACATGTATCGGTCATATCTTACTCGGTTCAAGTCATTTATGTCAGCAGTGAAGCCGGTTAGCAAGCCAATATCCAAGATTGACATGGTTGCATCACGCTCGGTGTCCTTATACCTACCCAAAGAACAGCGGCATGAACAACATGAGAGAAAGGATGATGTTAATTAGGTTGGAAAATGCTCCGTATATACAGACATGTTACTGTGACACTGGTCGGTATGACGTCTTTATCGTACTCACAAAACCTCTATTTTCAGCTTGTAAACCTTTGGGTCCACATCCATTTTCTCTGCAGGAGCAAAAGTAATTTCTTAACTCGTTTCTCATGTTCAGAACTTGGCAGAAGCAAACTGATAAAAAGGACAACAAACAAATGAACAGTAAGAGAGGGAGTGCACCTCTTTACCTGGGAGGAGCTGCACGGACAAGTTAAACTTCTGACAGTCGCTCTCCTTTTCTTTAGGCCGAGTGTAATACAGCGACACCATCTGTCACACAAGGTTGAAAATGTATTTGGTCTCTGAGATTCAGATAGGACAAGTGTTGGAAAAACTGCAATAATGTTCCACTTTAGTACGACAGAAAGTCTGTGCTCTTTCACTTAGAGGCCCATGGTGTTCTGGGTCATCTGATGCTCAAGATGTTTGACTACCAGCACTTGGGTTTTGCGCATGACCCCACCCTGCATGTTTATCTTCCAACTATATATTCCTGCTCCGAGGATGAAAACCTTTGAGTAGGCTTTGCGCATGACCTGTATGTGTGTCAACTGTGTCTCCTGTTCGCAAACATGAAATATCCTGTTTTTGATGATCTTCCACTGGTGTCGAGTGAGAATTTTTCCAATACCAAGTCAACAATGAACAGCTGATAAAAGTCATAATTTTAAAATATATTGTGTTTACCCTTATTGTTGCTTCTCCTGAACCGGTGGCAGTCACTGTAACATTCTGGTTTATGCTAACGGACTGTAGGAATTTAAATACACACACAAACAGGTCAGCAGAACAAACCTACAAGTAACAACAGGAGTGGCGATATGATGAGCCACAGAAAGTTTGGATGAGTGTCTTCTCACTTTAGATGTTCTGGTGGTGTAGTAATTTTCCCTGGTGAACTTGAATGGGTCGGCATTTGTCCTACCCTCAAAAAGAATGTCCACATCCAGACTGTACTCTGGTTCTTTAGAGCCGGCCCAGTACTCTGCTATTGCCTGGTACACCATTATGGTCGCCTAGAGAGAAAAGGAGTGAGAAAACAAGACTCAGAAAAAAACAAGTATAAAGTCAACAAAGGATGGAGGAATCAAGATGCAGAGAGAGGTCATTGGTACCTGAGTTGATCCATAGCCTCCGTGATATCTCTGCTGCTCGTTGAACCATCTCACAACAGGTTTGGCATCTTCAAATTTCTTTATTAACAGAAGGAAAATAAATGAATTTTCCTGTGGTTGCATATAGATATTAAAAAAACACTCTGATTCTGCTACAGTTGTATTTATGATTGTAATCGTCCAGTTTCCAAGTACAACTTGAATCTTCAAACCAACATTTCAAAGCATAACCGAGACACACATTTGATTGACTTTTGTTTCCAACCCCTCCACCCGTTCAGTGAGGCAACATGGATGATGACTGAGTTGTATGTTTTGTGGGACACGCTCACCTCGGCTTTGACCAGAGCAAGCAGAGCATAAGCTGTGGCCTCCAGAGTGTGAACACCTCCACCAGAGGTTTGCCAGTGGTTTCGCTCTGAGGAAGATTCACACAAACAGCTTTTTATTACAGTAATGGACCTGTAACAAGCTTAGTTCACTCATTCCTCAATCCCTCGTCTTATATTATAGTAGTAAAATGAAAAAGAGGAAAGTAAAATTTCTTTGAGACAGTCATTTAAAAATGTTTTTTTAATCTTTCTACACAAGAGCCCAAGTGGGACAAATTAAGAAAAATTAAGATTATTGTATTGTTCTTAATCGGTCTCAGTTGGGTTCTTGTGTAGATATATAAGATAGAGTATTTAAACAATGTTGTCCAACATACAGCTCCGTTGCTCATGCAAAAAAACAACAACTGAATTGTTAGCAGATGTGTCATATATAAACAATACAACATTGAATCGTTTTCTGAAAAAACTGTTGTTACCGGGGGATACAAAGTTGTAGAGGATCTGATGGTTCAGTTTGCCTTCATTTGCCAGAGCATATGACGTCATGGCAACAGCATATGGGTTGACGAGGTTGGGCAGACGTCTTTCCAGGTAGGTTACTGCATTGTTTATACTGCCTGCAGTCTGGACGAATGAAAAAGGAAGGAGAAAGAAGAATGAGGCGAGAACAGTAATCAGCAGTCATTTCAGATATTCTATTCAGCAAAGTTGAAACATTTGATCCTGGGACATTAACAAAAAGACAGTCACGGTTTGGGTTTGTGTTCTAGTTTTCAGCCTCTTTTGTCCCTGGGTTAACTTCACTTCCTGCCTTGTTCTGTCATCGTCTTGTCTGATTGTCTGATTGTTTCCACCTGTGTCCAATCCCCTGCACCTCCTCAGTGTATTTAAGCCATGTGTGTCTTTTGTCCCTTGTGGTGTCATTGAATGTCATTCCTGAATTTCAGTCTCCAAGTCCTGTACGTCTACCAAAGTCCTGAAGGTCGTTGTGATTGTCCTTTGTTCGCAAGTTCCTGGTCCATGTCTGCGTTTTTCCCCCCCTGGTGGTTTTGATTTATTAAAAGTACCTTTTGTAGTCAAAACTCTGAATTTGAGTCCTGCCTCTGTCTACCCGATCGTGACAAAGACCAAACTCTCCCACCTGAATTTAGATTGTAAGCTCTGTGGCGTTGTGACAGTTACTTAGAAGGCAGGACTTTACAAATAGTGACTTGCTTCCCCATCAGAAAGCGTTGTTTTATCCATCACTGGTGTTGAATCAGAAAGAAATGAAAATAGTGGAGGCAAAATATAAAACCTCCTGTTCAGTTACTCACATTAACAGTGTCACCACATAGCGCGCGTGACTCCTGCATGGCAATGAGGCAGAAGGCCGTCATGGAGGCATCTGAATCTTTGCCGCGAACATCCCCCTACACATGTAGACACAAACATGTTGATTTATATTAGGTTTTGGCCAGTGGAATGGTGTCCATCTTATTATTTAGTTATCTGTGTTAAGAAATCAGTTCACATACAATCATCTCTCCCATGACCACACGCCCTTTTTCTACAAACACGCCATCAGGTTGCTGCGTATTGAGAATCAGATACTTTATAGCGTCACAGATGTGATTCTTTCGCATAGACACCAGACTGTAGGCCATGGAAAACACCTTGGCAACGTAGGCTGTCAGCCTGAGAGAAGAGAGGAGACGCTTAGTTTCCTTTGTTTACACATGCAATACACCAACTTCAAATAGTCAGAATTTAGTTTAAAGGAGGGTGTGGAAACATTTGAATGAGTAACTGGATATTTGAAAGCCTCACCAGGTGCCACTTATTTGTTCGCCGGTGAACACAGCAAAAGACCCATCACCTTTAAGGTAAATTAGCTCGTTCTGGTAGCCTGAACACAGACAAGAACATACAACCAGTTAGTGGAGCTCTGTTAGCTTTTCCTCCTGATACAAGTGAGTCTTTTAAATGAATCTGCTGGCATACGTTTTTGTTTGTCTATGGACAAGTTTTCAGACCATTAATACTTAATGCTCTGCTTTGGTTTGTGAGGTCGTAGTTAAATGAACTGTTGCTGCCTTACGGTTTTTATTTTAGATACTACCTCTACAATGTCAGAAACTTAAAATCCCATCAACGAGATCCACAGTATCCGTGGCAATACATACCGGTCTTGATGTGTTCGAGAGCTTTGTTACGTTGGTCAAAGCCCACAGTTTCCCACTGGTTGGTTCTGTCCAAATAAGTTGTTGCAATGACAGGTAGGGTCATTTTTATCATGTTCTGCTCTCCACAGCCTGAGGGTTGTTGGATCAGACTATCCATAGAGGACCCGCCAACGGCGCTCACTATTGTGGAAATTTGTTCTCTCCCTTTATTCACACACAAAACAAAAAGATGTAAATGTTAGAAATCAACATGCAGAAACATCTAAAGAAACATGCAACGGTTCCCCACAAGCAGAGAGGTGGTCTTTTCTCAATAGGAATGATGCCAACACTATTTTACAGACAATATGTCACATGGCGTGCCCAAATATAGGATCACTTCTCACCTGTCACAGAGACCTGTGTGATAGTCGGTGTGCCCGGAATCAAATCTGCCTCAGGAATTCTACTGTTGAGAGTTTCTTCTTGTTTACCAGCTGAAGGGATCAAAGTGATAAAAACATTGTAATACCAAACTACGATGTAATATAGGTACACACACACACACACACACACAGACACATAGTGCTGTAGTGGTAAAATTAGAGGTGGGTAAACTCAGAATTTTGAAAAACATTTAAGAAAACAGTAAAGAAAAGTATGTCAACACAACACAACAACACAATTGCAGATTAAGAACTATCTACATACGAAGTATTTCCAAAATTCCAGAGGTGCGTGAACGGCGTTTACGTGCGTTTACCCTCCACTACAGCCCTGCACACACACACACAATTTAACTCACCAATTCCATTTTTAGAGGGGTCAAGAGTTACACTTTGAGGAGACGTAACCAGTTCACCTCGAGGCTGGAAAAACAACCGCAAGAACAATCATTACAACTCACTACAATTACAACAACACCTGTTTTAGTGGTCGGCTGATGAGTAACAAAGTACATCTTGCTTAGTTGTGTAAGTCTTGATTTTGAAAAGGCTGATATAGTACACAAATGATTTAAGGTTAAGCCCCTGAAGATGATGTCTGTCTATGCTGATTAAACACAGTTAGTCTCTCTCTCTCTTACCACCACCCGCAAATTCTTCCAGATTCCATCATGCAGCGACGAATCTTTCACAGCTGCTTTGACCTCCATGCGGTGTTCTCCTTCTTTCATAGGAATAACAACAAACGGCACAGAGCGTGTAGTTTGTGGTCCTATTCTGACCTCCTGACGATACTTTCCACGTTTATAGGCTGCGCTGCACAGATGCGCCGCCTCAATCAGATCCACACGCACCTGGAAAACAGGACGAAGAGAATAAAGTCTCCATTTTCTGTAGTTGATCAAATATTAGATCCCCATTGAGCAAATAACAGGAGTCCGATTTATTTTAGTCACCTACCCTGTTTTATCTCAGTCCAATATTTATTGTTACTTTTGCACTAAAAAAAAAATCTATATCTCGGTCTCATTCGCTCTTGTGACGAATTCTCCGCTTTGTTAGTTTTCATCCTACCTGCTTGTTTAATGAACTCTCCTGTCATCCCTCATTCTGTCATCCACAGCAGATCATATCTCTTTCCCTTCACCTGGTCCTCATGCCCTTCTCACTTGCAGCTGTGAGATGCATGTACTGGTAAAATATGTTATAACATTGTTTTGTGCTAAAGCCGTGTCTCAAGTGTCCTGTATTTGACCCTGATGAGCAAAGAGCAGCATGATACAAAATGTTGCTTTGCAGCTTTGTCCTGAGAAGGGAGGGCGCTCAACTCAAGCTCATAGAAGCTTCAAAACAAGGGAACTTCTGTTCAGGGCCTTAGTTCATATCTTACTCGGTACGGAAGTTCCGGATCCACGTTTTTACTTTATGTCGAGTAATTATAGTTTGCACCGGCCACTGAGGAGGATCTTGGGTGTGTGTGTATGCTACCCTCAGCTTCACCTGGGTTCTTATCTCAACCTGCTTTGCAGCTTCTCGTAACTGGCACGGAGAATGTTCTTCCCATGTGTATAAAAACTCAGCGGTTTTACTGCTCGGAGACGTCATTACACCGAGCGCTGAGATACGTGCTGGTGTGTTGGACCTCCTGCTTGCAAGCAATAGTTAGACAGATATCTGCGGAGAATTGCTCATGTAATCTTTTTCTCTTCTAAATAAATGTTAACTTTTTGACTTTAATTGATTAACGTGCTGCGATTCTTCTCATCAACCAACTCTGGGGGATTGGAGATCCTTACACAGCCCATCCCCTCATTAGTCCCTCATCTCTCACTTACGCTTGTCCTCTGCTGGATTGTCATTGTTAAGCTCTCCAGCGTATCCTGTTATCATTCCCACGCTACCATGTTTGCGTGTCTACTCAACCTAGGATCTCTGCGTGCCCCCCGTTTCGGACATGTTTGACTGACCTTGCGGTTTTGATCCTGCCTGAAACTAGTAGAGAGCTTCACGTGCATTTCTGTTTCAGAGTTGTGCTTTTGGGTTCAAGTATGTGAAATCCTCACAGCTCCGGCATGAAACACCAGAGCAGAGGAACACAGACTTACGGTGATGATATCGGGGCTGTAGTTGTGGAGGATTGCCTTGACTTCCAGCTGCTCTCCAGTGACAGCAGAGTACGGCAGCCTCAGATCAATGAAGAATTCTTTCCGAACAATTACCGCCAACGGATCGCCAATACAGATTCCTTTAATATGTGAGGAATAAAAGCACCAAAAACGTGAACGTTCACAACGGGCAGAGAGAGCTAGATGGGATAGATTTACAGATTCCAGTCACTGAATCCATACCGTGAGTTTTTGACAGACTAATGCCAGTCAACTCCCAGGTTGTGATTGAGTCTTGCAAAGCAACGTTTTTTGTGACTGATGTGGTCTCACTGAAGCAAAAACAAAAAGGGGGTCAACACTTTGTAAATGGTAGATTTAAATCATGTGGTGTCAGTGTGAAATTCAGTATTTTGTCTGTGTGCATATTAAAGTTGACTCACCAATTAGGTGTTTGATTAGGACAAGCAGGCAGGTCGATGTCTAACCACAGCCAACTTTCAGGGAACTTGCTGCGAGAAACAATGTAGTTGCTGTCCATGTAACTGTTGTCATTCTCCTCACCTGAAGTGTCATTAAAAATGTGACTATTTTAACTCAGTATGACCACGGATAGTAACCCCAGAGCTCAACAGCCTCCCATGTCCCCGTCTTACTGCGAGCCAGTAGCAGGCTGTCCTCCTTCCTCTCAGCTCGCTGGGTTTCCATCTCCTTGCAGCAGCGCAGGAACGCTGTGACACAAGCTTCTCCATCATTGATGTACTCGCTGCGCCTCTCACACGTGTAGCTGAGAAGGGTTTCCTTCATGCCATCCAAACAACAGGTACGCTGCAGCTGGTTGTTTTTATATTGACTCACTGGGAACAGAGAGGGTTGTGGACGAGAGACGGATGTAAGAAGACATCACCACCGAGAAGAATTGTGAGCTGGAAAGACCAATTAGAAATAGATATATAAAAACTACCATTTCTATCTACTAATACATAGCATGGGGTAAAACATTTGGGGAACTAAGTGACTGATGATGCGTTTATTGGGTTGTTTAGAGCTCTGGTTCTTACGTAAGCTGGTTGTGACCTCCGCGATAGTAGTGGCTCGTTTCCTCCTGCTGGGGGTCGGACATTTCAATTCTGGAGACAAAAACAGTTTTTTAAAAACTCTTTAAATCAGAGTGGGGTCATTATTATGGTTGAAAGCATTGACAGGGTATGGCTGTGAGAAAATTATATTGTTTAAATGTTTTTAATTATGCTGAAGATCCCCAACCATGATTAGCCAATATGCAGTCATGGTTTAAATGGAAACGCCGCACTGAAGAATTGAACAACTAGACAGCAAAGAGTGATTTTAGAAGATGCTGCCCCTCTACGTCCGCTGGATGCTTACTCCTCAGGAAAAGTAAACTTATGATGATGAATAAAGTTACACGTACCTACTTCTCCTCATCAGAGCTATTTTATTGATAGAATACTGCAACCTAAAGTGGCTCATGTTCGGGGAAGGGGAAAGTAAAGTATTGTCACCTTGTCTGTAGGGAGTCCCAGACGCCGCGCTGGACTCAAACATCAGCCCAGCATCGTAAAACACACCCATACCGTCCTTTCCTCCACCTGGTGTGCAGCCTGTGTCGTACTTCGCTACAATGTCCCACACCTGAGCAGGTTAGAGGTGATTACCACACACGCACACATGCATAGGGTTACAGAGTGCAAATTATACAAACAAACCTGTAAACTCAAATGACAGATCTCAAATGAACTCCTGCAACGTATTTTGCTGCACGACAAATTGACACTGAATTATATGAAATGTATCATAAAATGTGTGTTATGGGGTGGCGTTTGTAAGATGTTGGGCGTTCTAAAATCCTGCGCAGTTTTATTACATTTAGCATTACCATATGAGGGAAAAAAGCACAACAATATTCATGTTGTCATGTTGGGGGTCGTTGTGGCGCAGGGGTTAGAGAAGGTGTGCTGGGAAGCACAAGGTTGGTGGTTCGACTCCAGGCTGCCCCATGTTCCATGTCGAAGTGTCCCTGAGCAAGACACCTAACCCCTAATTTCTCCCCCAAAAATGTGAAAAAGCCATGGGTTTAAAGTGTAATGTAAGTCGCTTTGGATAAAAGCGTCTGCTAAATGACATGTAATGTCACTTTTTCAAACATTTAGCGAGAAATTCATGTAAACTCATGCAATAACTTTTCCAAGGATAATGTTTGGCAGTAACAAAAAGTTGTAATTGTAATTGTAGTTGTAAATAATATAAATGTAAATGTTAAATGTTCAGTCTACATGTCGGACTTGACTTGAACATTACAATATTTACGGTATTTCACACCATAGACGAAATGGCAAGTCCTCGTTATAGAGCAGGAGTGTCAAACTCATTTTAGGTAGGGACCTATTTGACATATTTAACCTGCTCTATAACGAGAGCGAATTCATTCAGACTTATTTGTAAATATTGTAATGTGCAGTTGTGAAGTGTGACATGTAGACTGAACATTTACATTTAAAATTTATATTTAACATTTACATTTAACATTTATATTTAACATTTAAATTTCACATTTACATTTAACATTTAGATTAAACATTTATATTAATTAACAACTTTGTGTTTCTGCCAAACATTATCCTTGGAAAAGTTGTTGATCAATTGAATTTACATGAATTTCCCTCTCAATTTCTGAAAAAGTGAAATATGAATAGTGTCGTGCTTTTCTTACCCATATGATAATGCTAAATGTACCAATACTGCGCAGGATTTTAGAACGTGTAACATTTTACAATCGGCGCCCCCATAGTGTGTAGTCTTCTTTTATACATAGCTTTCAGAGAAAGAAATTGCCTTTTTCTGGGTGAGACGGTGCTTATTGTTGAGGACGTAGACGCCTCTGTCGACCGCCAACAGTCCAACTTTGGCTTCTGGATCTCCTGTGACCTTCAGGACAAACGACCTGCCGGGCTCATAGGAGTATCGGGGTGTTGTTGGTTCAAGCTTCAGCTGAATATTTAGGAGAGTCAATGAATGAGACATTCACACAGTCAACAATACTGTTCTGTATTGGTTGAATAGTAATACATGTAATAAAAATAATCAACTTGTGTGTTTTTTTGTTTGACCACTTCTCCTCCATCAGTGGTGCATGTCTCACCGAGCCCATGCAGGAGTCCTTAACATCCACCCAAACAGAGTCTGACACCACTTCATTGGCGTTTGTATGGTAGTAGGCTACGATGCGGAACGACGGGAGCATTTCTTTGGTGATAGAAACAATCAGGGAAATAAGGGTTTGACCTTCTATCTTGTGACGACGAAAGCTCACCAGCTGACCTCTGCTCAAGATCTATGGAGGCAGATTTGAACATCATGAATCATCAGACATGAATATATGTTGCGTGTATATTTCAGATGTGACATGTGAATCAACCAAAAGAGGAATATGTGCACAAATACAAAAGTGTAAAACATTTCTCACCAGGATTGTGATATCAGTGTTGTGTGTTTCCTGCCGCTCGAGATTAAGGCTGATCTTCATGTTATCTTTTAACTTTGGCTCAGCGGCATCAACACCTGCAGATGTGACATGTGATAACACCCCCATAAGATAAAGTATATTAATCAATGCATTCTTTCACTGCCATCTCCTTTTTGATCTAGCATCTAGTGTTATTTCAGAATGTCCCTCACTTATGTGGATATAGCTTTTGCTGTTTGTTGTATATGCGAGAGCCTCCATGGAGGCTGATGCTTGTCTGTCAGGCCTAATAGCAGGATCACTGGTCTTTGCCTGCAATTAACGACACACACACACACACACACACAGTTGAATAAAGAATACTTGAAGTTCCTATGTCAACTTATCGTAGCTGCTATATAGAATAACAAACAGACATTACACTGACTAGATGAAGTTTTTAAATGCATGAACAGATGAACAATAACAGCCAGCTGCTCTGCTGGATTTCACCTCTTCAAGAGAAGCTAAAACATGTTTGCCAATGAAAGCTGACGTTCAAAAGGGTTCAGAGACTTACGGTGATTTGCAGGTTTGGGGTCTCTGCCTTTGTATTGACAGTAAGCTTTGCCAGGCCATTGTCCCCGGTGGAGCTCTCCTCCGAACCTGGTTCCACAACCACTTTCACGCCTTTTGCCGGACTGCCGTCAGGATTCTCGACTTCAACCTGAACAATCAGAAATGGACTTACAGTCTACGACCTAGAGAGTCACATCTTTGTGTGTGGAAGTCGTTGGTTTGTTTATTTATTTATCATAGACTTTATTACCTCGTGCATCGCCACTGCTGCTTTTCATCGCGGACAGATTTGTCCTGTATTTTCCTCTACAACTTTGTGCACCTCTCGACTGGCAAACCAACGTTTGCGGCGATCTCCCTCCATGAATCCAACCCGCTTCTACAACCCGCCAATGACGGCTTGTATAAGTGCTCATATTTACGCATTTCTTCCGACAAAAGTTCTTCAATCTGATCCGTACTCTCGTAAACATTCTTAGTTTTAATAATGGCGGTATCGGCCTATGAAAGCGGAAATGTGAGACTCCGTAAAGTATGTAGTTAGCGGACCAATCGCAGCCTGGTGCGCTGTGTCGAAAGCGACGCAAGCCTAGAAAAATCGACGCACGCCAGGAGGTGTGAAAAGGCACGCAAGGGGGTCTTGCGTCTGCGTCGCTCTGAAAATGCAGAAGCATGTACTAGGCTTAAGACTGCCGTGGTCTCACTCTCGGGCTCCATAGGCCAGAAGTAAATGCCAGTGCCAAAGCACTCCACCGCAGTGAGCCTAAATGACTTCCGCCCAGTTGCACTCACTCCAACTATCATGAAGTGCTTCGAGAGGCTGGTGCTGGCCCACCTCAAAACCTGCTTACCACCCACACTGGACCCCTTCCAACTCGCCTACCGCAAGAACAGGAGTACGGAGGATGCCAACTCCACGGCATTACGCTCCCCCCTTTCTCACCTGGACAATAACAACAGCTATGTGAGGATGCTGTTCATAGACTTCAGTTCAGCTTTCAACACTCCAAACATCACAAAACTCAGTTACCTGGGTATCAACACTTCCCTCTGTGACTGGATACTGGACTTCCTATCCAACAGACCCTAGTCTGTTAGGGTAGTGAACCACACCTTCTCAACCCTCATCCTGAACACCGACGTGCCACAGGGCTGTGTGCTAAGTCCTCTCCTCTACTCCCTCTTCACCTACGACTGAACACCTGTACAAGGTTCTAATACCATTGTCAAGTTTGCAGACGACACAACGGTGATTGGCCTCATCAGTGACAACAATGAGTCGGCCTACAGAGAGGAGGTCCATCACCTGGCGGTGTGGTGTGCCGACAACAACCTGGCTCTCAACACCAAGAAGACCAAAGAGCTAATTGTGGACTTCCGGAAGAAAACTGGCACACACATCCCCATCCATATCAACGGGACAGAGGTTGAGCGCATCGCCAGCTTCAAGTTCCTGGGTGTCCACATCTCTGAGGACCTCTCTTGGACCCTCAACACCTCATCCCTGGTAAAGAAAGCACACCAGCGTCTCTTCTTCCTGAGGAGACTGAAGAAGGCCCATCTGTCTCCTCAGATTCTAGAGAATTTCTACCGCTGTACCATAGAGAGCATCCTCACAAACTGCATCTCAGTATGGTATGGCAGCTGCTCTGTCGCGGACCGTAAATCACTGCAGAGGGTGGTGAAAACGGCCCAACGCATCACCGGTTCCTCACTCCCCACCATTGAGGCTGTCCAGAGCAAGAGATGTCTGCGGAGGGCACGCAGCATCGAAAAGGACAGCTCTCACCCCAGCCACAGACTGTTTGCCCTCCTCCGTTCTAGGAGGCGCTACAGGGTGCTCCGTTCCCGGACCAGCAGGTTCAGGAACAGCTTCATCCCTGCAGCTGTCACTCTATTGAACTCTGCCCCCCACCCCCCCACACCTCCCTCAGTTACTGTACTTCCCCCCTCCACCCTGGCTTGACTGCCACACACCCTCCTCCAGCCACTGAACATTTGCACTGTTATTATATATGCATTTCTTACTGTTCATATTGCACAACTATTTCTTACTGTACATATCTATTTATTCACTTATTACACTTTACATATGCATATGCACTTTTTTGCTACTTCTGCACTTCTGGTTGGATGTTAAACTGCATTTCGTTGCCTCAGTACTTGTACTCAGTACAAGTACTGAGGCAGTACTCGGTTCCAAGTACAAACTCCATTGGAACCACATTAAAAAAGTGTAAGGTTTTAATGTATATAAATTCAATTATAAGAGCTAGAAAGCTGAAAAGCAAAGAAATTTTAATATTTAAACGGTTTTAATAGCTGAAAGTTTGAAGGAGTTGAAAGGGGGCTCGGAAGAAATAGAAGATGTTTAATAAATATTCGAAGAACTATACTTAACATACAACAATAAGTACTTTACCATAACATCAAAGGACATTCCAGGTTTGAAATATTTGGGAGTTTTCTTGAAGAGAATGGTGTAAGGTGATTGGACAATCTGGATGTTTCTCAACTCTGCCTCCACCATTTCACCACCTGTGTGTTGATACAGACACACAAACACATTCACACAAAAACTGATTACAAGATCATTTTATTTTTATCTTGGTTAACAGATTAAATTGTATCTTTTGTTTATTATTTTTTATTTTATTTTAACGAACGATACATAGACATAACAACAAGGGAACGACAAATTATTGAACTACAAACCAACAAACATATGGTCAGTGTATGGGAGCATGGTGCGTTTATATGCATAGGTGTGCGTGTGTGTGTGTGTGCCCGAGCCCTTTTGTGGTGAAAAACATAAAGGAGGGAACATTAAATAACATTCTGTGTGTCTACGTTTGTTTCCAGGAAAAAAATTAATATAATAAATAAACAAGTGAACAAATAAGATAACAATAATAATTTTCAGTATGGCTAATGTCATGTTTACAAGAACCTAGTAAAAGATGTTCAGATGGAGTGGTGTTCTGTTGCATTGTAAGTGATGGGTCGAGGTACATTTTCTATTGAGATATGATCCAACATCAGATTTTGGGATATGAGTATTGTTCCTTGATTTCAAGCTCACGAGGATAGTTTTCGTGGCGATAGTAGAGTAATCGGCGGTTTGTTTAGCACAGGTTTACTGTTGAAATGTCTCCTAGTAAGCATAGTGAGGAAGATTATGGGACATGGCAGCCCAGAAAAACAGACAACGACCCAGTTATTTTACCCAAAAGTGTTGAATTGGTGTGCAGGGCCCAGTGGCATGAATGTAGCTATCCGGGCTGGTTTGACTGCAGTGTGAACAGAGTTTATTTTCTATTCTCTCGTTCTTGTTTGAGGAACCGACGCTTATAAATGGTGGAAGTTTGCTGGAAGTCGCTTTGATAAAAGACGGATAAGGAACAAATACAAAATTACATGTACTGTAATGTGATAGGGAACAAATACAGAGTCTTTCTTACCGCTGTCCGTCAGCACACTGACGGCCACAAACATGGATGTCCCCACCAGGTCAAGGATCTCTGGGAAAGTGTTTGTGATATGCTCTCTCTTCAGTGTGACCTCTCCATGACCTCTCGTGATCTAATGTGACACCATTTAGAGATGCATCTTCAGTATAGTAGTACAGCCAGTGAGCAGCATGGTTTAATTATGAAATATCCTAAATAAATAATGTACATTCATAGAATTGTAGCAACTCAGCTGAAATCACAGCAGACGTAGTAATGACAGAAAATTGTAGTCTTGTAAAACATAAAGTAAATACAGCAAAGTGTTAGAAGGGGCTCACCGGCACTCTCTGAAGAGAACTTGGGAAGCTTTGCTTTTGATCCTCTTGAATGACCCCAAATACCACGAAGGCGGTCCCATCCACCCATTCATCAAACAGATACCTAAAGCCACAAGACAGGCACGTGTTAAGGCCCACAATGACGCAACACAGAAAACACTAACAGACCAACATAAATCAGACTAAACCAAAAGCTGCAAACAACTTATACTTCCTTCTGAAATTCATTTACTAATCAAACCTGGTTTCTCCACCACAAAAACAAATAACCTTCACATACTTAGCCTCGATGTTGACGGTGAACTCTTCACTGTCTACGTAGAAGAAGGAACTCGTAGGTTTCAGTTTAACTTCAAAGCTGGGCAGCACTGCAAAATGGAAAACATTTTTATTTTGTGTCTAATTAGATCAGAAAATGTTGATAATGTAGCAGGTTCATGTCGGTCTGAAATACACGTGCAGGTAATGAAGGACTCACCGTATTCTTTGACCTCAAACTCTGCAGAATAGCTTTGATGAGGGTTGCTGTGGAACCTTGTCACCACCTTCCACAGTCCAGGACTGCGCACACACACACACACACACACACACACACACACACACACAGAAACATTAAGTGTTATTACTTTGGAACATTAAGGACACAAAACATTGCGGGACATCCGTTACATTTTCAGAATGGAAGGAATGCGGCTCATTAAAGTGACAAAAATAAATTAGTAAATAAATATCCTCTTGGCGAGATGCTTCTACAGCTCTAAGTAGCATCTGTATCAGATCACACAGGCTGGACGCGCATTACCACAAGCAGAGGCGGCACCGTGAACATTATTGCTACCGGGCCGCACGGGGGACACGAGACGGACCGGACGAGGACGCAAATCGCGAGATGCTACCAGGCTTGGAGGAGGCCCGAGGTTCAGATGTCATTGGACGCGCCTTTGCTCTTGCGTCCGGGCAGAGGGAAGGCCGACTGCGTGAGGCGGCTGGTCAGCTGGGTGAAGGGCTCGATGAGGGAGTTGCGCTCGGTGACGCTCACCTCCCACAGCTTCACCTTCTCGCCGCGCGCCCACTGCTGCGCCGCCTCCTGCTCGGGCGACTGTGGGTGAGTGGGGGTGGTCGTCCTCCAATCAGAGGGTTGTGGGTTCGATCCCAGGCCCGGCTAACCCGCATGTCGTTGTGTTCTTGGGCAAGACACTTAACTCAACATTGCTCCTGTAGCTGCGACTACAGTGTGTGAAAGGTAGTTACTGATGGGCAGGTGTCACTGTGTATGGTTCTCCTGTCATCAGTGTATGAATGGGTGAATGATGTCGTGTAGTGTTAAAGCGCTTTGAGTGGTCAGAAGACTAGAAAAGCGCTATTGAAGTACAGGCCATTTACCATTTACAGAAACAGAAATATACGAAATGAAAAAAAATATATTACTGCATAGAGGTGACACTGATCTTTGAAATAGAATATTTGAAGTTTTCAGGAGACTTTGCCATGGATGGAAAGGGTGGGCACCTTGTATTTAATGTTTTTATAGGCTCAGTTTGAATAATGATTTTAGACAGGTCTAGTTCATCGTAGCTGTTTGCCTGCTGTCTCATTTGGTAATATAATACATTGTAATACAATTGATATGCATGTTGGGCAAAACACAGCTAGATCTTTCTTTGGTGAAGACAAGCTGGGCAAATCTTCCATACGAACTTCATGGAGAGAAAGTGTCATGTCCAAGAAGCGGTGCTAATCAGGTTGGCACGTGTCTCTGTTGTCTCGTAATTTCCTGTTTTATTTTGAAAACTAACCTTCCTCTCAGGCAACTTGCCCCTTCCCCCTGTGTGCTGGTCCGATTGTCTGCTCTGCCCTTTATTGTTTCCACTTGTGTCCTCACCCTGTGTGTATATATTGTCTGCGTCTCCCTTTGTCCTGTTCCAGTTCGTCTTGTCCCAGTTAAAGAGAACCTGCTCTTTGTCATGTGCTTTGTCAAGTCTTGCTACTTTGTTTTGTACTTTGTTCAGGCTCGCTTTCTGCTCATTCCTTTGTAAGCCTAACGTTTATTTTCTAGATCCTTTTTTATCCTTTTTTTCCTCTGCAGTGATTTTCATTTGTTTCCTTTTGTAAATAAAGTTTGATTTTGAACCTCGTCTGGGGAGTCATGCATTTGGGTTCAGGGCCATTGTCCGATCGTGACAGAAAGTGCATTAACGAGTCAGCACAGAAGACTTACCAACTTGAATCACAGCCAGGCTCGTAAAACAAGCAAATGGAATTACTTTCATGCAACTAATTCCTCCAGCTGAGCTTAACTATCATTCATAAATTCATCAGATCGCCTTAATTGGCTCAAATGAAAAGTATTAATATTCAGTGTCTCCATGCTGACACTGACTTACGTACGTAGGTGCTGTCCAAAAACTAAATGAAAAGTAGTTTTAAAAAATGCAACATAGACAATATATAGATTAATAATAATATATCAAATCTAGCTTACTTTGCATGATGCTAAATTATTTGGTTTCAATATGTTCTGATGTAATACACCACTTAACAATACAATGTCAAAGAATGAAATGTGGAAAATAAATAAATACAGCACTAACCTAGCAATTTCCGGAAGTTGGTAATCCCCAGAGTGGATTCCGGATATTAAACTGACTGGATCACGTGGTACAATGACACCTTCGGGGGTCTAAATATTTTCAAAAGGCATCAGCATTAGGTTACAAATTCAGTTAATAAATCCATGCCAAAGTTTGTGTACGTCTCATGTCTAAAACCCCTGATCTATATCAACATATGTTGTCCATAGACTGAATGATGTTGACCCTTTTTTCAGCTATTTCACTGATAAGTGAAAGATGTCGATTCCCCACTAGAGGGAGACATTGTTTTGTACTGCCAGTCACAGTGACTCTATGATATCACATTTAATTATGTGCTCGTTGATAAATCAGAAATACCACAATTTCGATGGAAATAGAAACTTGAGGTTGGTTTTGAGCATCCGCACCCACTGGCTCCATACGAGGCGTCACAGCAAACATCCTGTAAAGAACTGACACAGAGCCTCTTTCTATTTAGGGTCATGTGACTGATTTGAACCTAATTTAAGGTAAAATTATTCATATTGACATAAATGCACTCAAAAAAATTCTCACCAGTCGGTGTGTTGTAGCATTGATGTAGATTAAAACTCACTTTTGTCTTTTGGGGTGTAGAGGGTCTTATCAGTCTGTATGAAGATGTACCCAGACTGGAAGGACAGCATGACCACTTTCTCCAGCACTCGGTCAGGAAACTGAGCTTTTAGGTACACATAGTGCTTCGTGCTGGCCTCCCTACTGAAGTCTCCAGCAGGGATCTGAAATCAGTATAAAAAGACACCAATTGTAAATGATCACTAGCAGTGTTGTTTTATTTTGATGATCCTGTTTCCTACTTTGATTTTATGTGACTTTTATTTTGACATCATACTATCTGCGCACGTGATTAATCGCTCGCGCTCATGCTCACGCTCACATTTGTTCAATAGAAGACACGAGAAGCCACAATACAAGACAATGCAGGTTTAGAGCCAGAGATTTAAAATATCACTGTAACCTTAACTAAAGTGTTCTTTGAAGTGCTATATCATTCAATGTTTTGATTAGCTTTGGCAGTAAACGTTTGAGAAAGACTTAGATGTTAGAGGGCTAGCTAGCAACTTAATTAATTAAGCTAATGGCGGCGGACTTCGCTGTATTACCACTTTATAGCAAGCACCCTTTGATATGCAGAGCGAGGTATGTGGTTCATTGTAATTGTATTTCATGTTGTGACGACTCGAAGAGACTGTGAAGATTAACTTCCGGTTTTATTTTTGTAACCACGGCACTTCCTGTATCTAGTTTCCCCCCACAGCTGAGTTTAGTTTGCAATCACCCCCACCTGTATTTAAGCCTCAGTTCCCCACTTGTTTGTGTCAGGTTATCTTTTGTCGTTCCTAGAGGTACATGGTTGTTGTTAAATTCCCAGTGCTGTTTTTGTAATCTTGTTTCTACTTTGTTGCCAGGCTCTCTTCCTTTTTGTTTCTACAAGAGCGTGTGGATTCCGCCTTTGCCTGTGCCCCCTTTGTTTTGCATTAGTTTACTCTCCTAGTAAAAGATTCCAAACCTTGAAAGAATTTTCTGTTGCCTTATTGCTCTGCACCTGAGTCGAAGTCCTGACCCCTCACAGCATAACCTGACCATGACAGACTCAGCAGAGCCACTTCAAGCCGTGATCCAGAACCAGGGCCAACGGCTCCACCACCACGAGCACCTACTAAACTCCCTCGCCGCCTCCATGCAGGAGCTTCATGCCAATCAGAGGCGTTTCCAGTCATCCCTGGAGGACATGATCAGCTCACTCTCACACCAGGCACAAGGAGTGGTGGGGGCTACTGACCCAGAGCGAACCGACGCCTCGGGCCCACCTTCACGGGAGGGGCCGACCGCTGAGACGCGCTTTCCCATCCACGAGCCCAGAGGGATCCAGATCGAGAGGTACGATGGAAACCCAGGCACCTGCCGCTCTTTTCTGACAAATTGCTTGCTACTGTTTGAACTTAATCCTTCATGCTACGTCACGGAGAGGGCAAGGGTGGCGTCGGTCATTACCCACCTGACCGGCCGAGCTCGGGAATGGGCCACGGCCGAATGGACTAAACAGTCACCGGTCTGCCAGTCCTATGCAGATTTTTCATCAGCCCTTACAAGGGTTTTTGACCATGGAACCCCCGGCCGCAAGAGCTCAAGGGCTCTTCTTAGTCTTCGGCAGGGCAAGACAAGAGTACTGGACTATGCTATTGAGTTTCGCACTTTAGCAGCAGAGAGCAGATGGAACAACCACGCGCTTGCCGACGTCTTCCACCATGGCCTAGCGGACAACATCAAGGATCAGCTAGCCCCTCTGGACCTCCCAGAGGACCTGGACTCCCTTGTGGACCTGGCGGTAAGGTTGGATAATAGACTCATGGAGAGAAGCAAGGAACGCTCCTCTAACGTTGTCCGTCCCCCTGCCCAAGGAGAACACCACCCCGAGGTTACAGCATCCCGAGGCGGTGCGCCAGCGCATGCTCTCTGTGGAGCCGATGCAGGTGGGACACACTCGTCTGTCTCCGGGCGAGCGACAGCGCCGGTTCAAAGAGGGGAGCTGCTTTTACTGCGGACAACCTGGCCACATCCTGGCCCATTGCCCAGCAAAAGACAGGGCTCATCAGTAGACCGGAGGTTACTGGTGAGCCTCGCCACGTCCGAACCTCCCGGATCCAGACCTCTTACCCGTGCCCGGGTGTTCACCGCGACCCAGTCAGTAAGTCTGTCGGCCTTCATAGACTCTGGGGCTGACGCTAGCTTTATGGACCACAGTTTGGCAAAGGAACTAGGGCTGACTACAGAGCCCCTTCCTCACCCCCTGGTGGCGAACGCGCTGGATGGGAGACTACTGTTCCGGGTTACTCACCGCACCCAGCCTGTGGGCCTTCTACTGTCAGGTAATCACTCTGAACAAATATCATTCCACCTCATCCATTCACCGCAAGCTGTCCTGATTCTGGGTAATCCTTGGTTAAAGGAACACAACCCCCATATTGACTGGTCGTCTGGGTTAATTTTGGGTTGGGGTAATCAATGCCATGCCACCTGCCTAACCTCTGCTGCAGCCTCTCCGAAATCTGTTAACATTGTTTCAGAGTTTCCCGACATTTCTTCTGTGCCCCCCGCCTACGAGGACTTAAAGGAGGTCTTCAACAAGGCTCGCGCTACTTCCCTGCCACCGCACCGTCCCTATGATTGTGGTATTGACCTCCTACCAGGCACTTCACCTCCGAGAGGCCGTCTCTACTCCCTGTCTGCACCGGAGCAAGAGGCCATCAAGACCTACATCCAGAGCTCCTTGGCTGCCGGCATCATCCGGCCGTCGTCCTCTCCAGCTGGAGCTGGATTCTTTTTCGTTGAGAAGGACAAATCCCTACGCCCCTGTATAGATTACAGGGGTCTTAATGAAATAACCACCAAAAACAGGTACCCCCTCCCTTTAATTTCCTCTGCTTTTGAGCTGTTACAAGGCGCAACCATATTTAGCAAACTCGACCTCAGGAATGCATACAACCTTGTGCGTATTCGGCAAGGGGACGAATGGAAGACTGCATTCAACACGACCAGCGGACACTACGAGTACCTGGTCATGCCTTTTGGTCTGACTAATGCCCCTGCGGTGTTCCAGGCCTTAGTGAACGATGTACTCCGGGACTTGCTAAACAGATTTGTGTTTGTCTACCTGGATGATATTCTGATCTTTTCCAGGTCAGAGCAGGAGCATACTCAGCATGTCCGCCAGGTTCTCCAAAGACTGCTCGAGAATCAGCTCTTTGTCAAGGCAGAAAAGTGTGTATTTCATGCCCCAGAGGTGTCATTCCTGGGTTTTATTGTGTCGTCAGGAAGTGTGCGGATGGACCCTGCAAAGGTTAGTGCTGTAGCAGAGTGGCCCCAGCCCGGAACCCGCAAGCAACTGCAGAGATTCCTGGGGTTTGCTAACTTTTATAGACGTTTCATCCGGAATTATAGCTCCTGTGACGACTCGAAGAGACTGTGAAGATTAACTTCCTGTTTTATTTTTGTAACCACGGCACTTCCTGTATCTAGTTTCCCCCCCACAGCTGAGTTTAGTTTGCAATCACCCCCACCTGTATTTAAGCCTCAGTTCCCCACTTGTCTGTGTCAGGTTATCTTTTGTCGTTCCTAGAGGTACATGTTTGTTGTTAAATTCCCAGTGCTGTTTTTGTAATCTTGTTTCTACTTTGTTGCCAGGCTCTTCCTTTTTGTTTCTACAAGAGCGTGTGGATTCCGCCTTTGCCTGTGCCCCCTTTGTTTTGCATTAGTTTACTCTCCTAGTAAAAGATTCCAAACCTTGAAAGAATTTTCTGTTGCCTTATTGCTCTGCACCTGAGTCGAAGTCCTGACCCCTCACACATGTAAATTCATTTCATATAATGACTGTTGCCTGCTATGCTGTTGTCCATGTATGCTAAAGTGCATTTGTCAAAGGATTATTTTGTATCTGGCTAAATTGCCTTTGTTATTTCCCTTTTTAGTTTTCACGGTGTTTGTATTGGTCCTATGCACACTCATCTGAATTAAAGTACACCCGTCTGGAAACACTCCCAAGCATGTTTATTCCACGTTGAAGGGATGCTACACCAATAGTGCATCAGAAGCAGGTTGAGAGGGTCTAAATCATGATCGCTTCTGGATTTCTTTATCAAACATTTGTGGCTACGAAAATGTTGTCAACACAGTGACCGTCTCAGAATATTCAAATTACCGTTATTCGTCCAAGCTGCTGGAAATGATTACCAGCATTGAGTGTCACAGCTATGTTAGCCAGCTCTCTGTTTTTGGTTGGATGGCTCCACACGCTGATGACGACGTTGATGTCTCCTCCAGTGCAGTCTTGACACTCCACAAAGATTTGTTCTGCTGTACCTACACGCAACAAGTTGGGGGCTGACATCACCTTCCTGCAGCGGTGAGAGGAAGAGAGAGTGACAATAACACTCTGTGGTCACACACACAGTAAAGTGCAGATCTCTGCCTGTTGCGTCTCCCCTTCCCTCCAAAACAAAGTCTCACTGAACGGTCCTTCTAGGCTCCCTGAGAATCACAATGGGGTCAAAGATAAGAGCAGAAGGGGACTTATTCAGTCATGTATAGATCCTGACTTTATGGGATCGTAACATCTAACGTGTGCTATGGAAGATGTTCCCATTGAGGACTAGATAAAGAAATGGCTGTACTTACATTTATAAATGAGCACAACCCTTATTAGGCTGATGGGTCCAGTGTGTGTGAGATTTGCTGGACGCACAAACTGGTAGAAACTCACATGCACATGAGACAGAACACATGATGTCCCACAGGTTTACGTCAGGTGGAGATAATGATGGATTGTTGTCACCCTTTAAACACAATTACAGGTTTGCCTATTTGTCCAAACATTGCGAGAGTGGATCTGCCAGAGGAGTCGTTCCCAATCTTTCTCGTGTTCGACCCCTGACTTGTGAAAAGCCTCATTGCGGGAATCTATGTGAGATTTAGGATTTTTGCTAGAATAAATAAACATTGTTTTGTGTAACTGTAAAAAACTGCAATAATATCAACGTGTACAATAAGTTGGGTGTATGACATGTCAGCGGAGTGAAGATGACTGCTCAGGATATGAAATCATCTGTCCAGAAGGCCACTCAGTGTCTCAAAAGGATTACATGTATTAAGAACATGACGGTCGTTGTATGAGATCATTGTGCGTGCGCAAAACCTTCCTGTTTATCATACCTTATCCCAGTATATATGTGGTGGCTGGAAAAGAAGACCGTCGAGCAGGCTTGGCGCATGACTTGTATGTGTGTCAACTCTGTCTCCTGTTTGCAAACATTAAATGTCCTGTTTTTGAGTCGGGTATTAATTTTTCTAACAGTAACAGGAATATTTTTTTATCTTCTAACCTCAGATTTATCCTGATTCCAAAACCTCTGTCTCAAATGCTGTGAGTAAAAGTTCAAATTCACCAAAATCACCAAGAGGCTCCCGACTGCAGTGACTTCACCCCCAATGAGTAACCTATTGATTACTTAGATGAAGATGCAGCACTGGACAAACATTCATGGCTACAGACTCTGGCTCTGTCTGGCAGAAGAGACTGTTGTGCGAACTCTGAACCACATTCAGGGTCAGCTGACTGGCCTCATTTGAGAGTTTACATGACCTTGTGACACAAAGGACAAAGACCGTAGCTTCTCATTAAGTGAGACACGAGTCTGAAATATATTTGTATAAACACTTTTTAAATTGAATTTAAATGCAGATAACGTTCTCTCTCCCGTTAGAATTCAATAATACTGTAAATATCAGAAATATGAAAAACAAACAAACTGCTTATTTTAGCTCTTTTTTGGGGGAATGAATTCCAGCCAGCGGGTGAAGGGAAGCAGGTCTACTTACAATGGAGCTCCATTAGCCAGGCAAGTGAGGAGGGTCGAGGCCACAGAGGCCACCAGCCACCACATCGTCCTACTCATCCTCCTGACTGATCTGCAGTGAATGAAGGCTGTCACCCGCCTTTTATCCTCCGTCCACCCTCCTCCTGCACCTCCGCCTTACCTGACCGAGGGTTTCTGCACACACATATGAACTTATACCCACATTAACATTGTTATCATTTACCAGCAGCGATTGAGAAACTGTTGAGCTTGGAGAGAGTTTATCTCTGCTCTGAGGAAAAAGATAAACAACACAAAATAACTTTGAGAATGAACAGTTCACGGCAACGTTACAAAACACAGCTTAAAATCTTTTCTACAGGGACATTTTTTGTTCATTTTAAATCTCGTTGTGGACCTGATAAATCAGCATACTTACCCCAAAACAAACAAACATATTGAATTGGCAAACAGACAACTAATCAGGTGAGAGCTGTGTTGAGTAATTTCTCTGAAATTTTTATTTAGGTTTCAACGGCAGAGACTTTTCTACAGTGACAATCTAATCAAAATCATTACTGGCTATCATTTTATTCAAATAGGCTGAATAATCTGAATGTCGCAAATGTAGATTTATTTAAACATTGATCACATTATTTGGTAAAACTTGCTGACGAAGAAGGAAAATGCTGTTCATGGTCCACCAGGTAACCACATAATAATTTTGTTCTGGCCTGGGAAATCTATTATACTCTTTCCACACCTGCTAAAAAAGGATTTTATTTTTTAAACGCTGTGTAACTCGTGCTTAAAATCTGGATAACTTATTTTCTCGTAACCTTTGACAAACCCTTCGGCAGCCACACAGTGTGTTTGCTCTGCGTGTCCAGAGTTCAATTATTTGGACATGGAGAAAGTTTGTTTGGATGGTCATAATGAAAGTAGGTGACTCCAGGTTGCCCTCTGCTGATAAACTACAGCCTCTTTCATTTCCACAGTGTTCTGGTGGCATAAAAGAATGAGAAAAAAGCACGATAGAAATAGAGTCCAAGATGGAGAGAGAGGGAGAGATATCCGGATCGGTTTCTGATTGGTGCAAACGTGGCCCGTGACTGGGCTCATCTGCATATGGACAGGTAGGTGAGCAGGTGAGAGAAAAGGTTCAGCTATGCCGCAATCACACGACCCCTGACCAGATTAAGAGTTTTGGTGCTTCGTCCGAGCATCTTGCTTTGAACCAAAGGTTACATCCAGGGCACTTCCACTGCATGGAATTGATCAAAAACAGGCTTATCCTGCATACAGGGTCACTGGAGTCAAAGTATTACTTTAACACTTTCACCGTTGTTACATTAACAACGGTGAAATATAAATGAGTCATGCAAACGGTTATTAACATGATCTGTGTTTCTCGACCATTGTTACGTCCCCAGAAATCTGGGTTCGTATAATGTTTCCAATTCGGGGATTACGTGTGTGTGTGTGTGTGTGTGTGTGTGTGTGTTTTCCAGATAGGATTGGGACCCGGAGCTTCACCCCCCTCGTCAGTGGTTGCAGCTGGCTGGGCTCTTTAAAAAGCCCAGTTTTGGACCAGTTCGGGGGGATGCTCGCTGCATATTCACACATGTTGCGTTTGGTTTGTACCCTGTGTGATGAGATATTCAGTTGTGTTTAGTGTTCGATAACTTGTGTTCCTTTTGGAAACGTGTAGCAGCAGAAGAGAGCAACTGTTTGGGTCCTTTGACTAATTATTTGTTTTCTCTTTTGTTCACAGGGAGTGGGGAGTAGATTTAGAGCTACCCTGGGGATACATCACTCGTAGGTTTACTTCTGTCTAGAAACACCAGTTTAGACCTGAGCGGACCACCACCTGTAAGTTTGGTTAGGGCGCCTTGACCGTGTGCCAGGTAGAGTGCTTTTCGATTGGGGGGGGGTTAGGGGTTAGTACAGGTTAGGGGTGGGGACCTTTTTGTTTATTTCTTTGTTTTGGTCCTGCCAGCCCTCCCCATTTCCCAGAAAGTTATTGTTTATTTATGTGTATTTATTTTGTTTAGATAAAAGCGTTATACTATATTTTGTGTTTGTCCTTTTCTCGCACCGCGACTCCATACCCCTTTTGCTGGCACCGGTGGGCCGGAGCAGTGGGTTGTCATGTTCCCCTCCCTTTTGGGAGCTGGAACGTAACAACCATGATAGTTATTTGTCGTGAACGGCCAAATGTTACTTCACTATTTAAATATTGCCGCCACAAGGAATTGTGGTATTGAATTATCTTCTTTCGTAAAGCATGGTCCAGTGGTTCTTATGCTAAAGGACTCTTCAGCAGGTGGCCGGATTTGTTTATACAAGTTGTCAAATTGCGCAGCAGCCGGAGCTACATGTCTTGTGTTGAGATTAAGTCATAATTTTGTCCTTGTATAACTGCATCACTGAGTGTTTTTTGTCTTTATTTGAATGAGATTCCCCAAATAAAACCAATGGCCTTACTGACTAAAACGCCCACTGCACAGTAAATTCCAGCTGTAAGACCTTTAAGTTTGGATTCACAATCGTTAACCACATTAAAGAACACAACAAAAGCTCAAAGATGTTCTGATTTACTTTTTGAATGTACAAATGTTAGACGTTTACTTTCCATAATCTTTAATTAGTATATTAACTAATGTCTGTAACTGTGTAGTCGAAAAAGTCTTTTACACATATATGTACTTCTATGTCTGGAATTATTGGGGAAAGTATTTTTAAAACAGTTAAAATATTGAGGAATGAGTACTTCATATTCAGCATCCTTGAAGTCAGAGAGGTCCTTAACACATATGCATTGGTCTATTTAGAAATGTGTTTTTATTGCAGTTCAAATTTGGAGAAAGTACCAAATTTGTACACTTAAAATACTTTGCGCATGCGTGCCGTGACCGATGTTCGGCGATGGATTGGCACTGCCTTTTGCCGATCTATTGGGCACTCCTGGATTAAAGGAACATTTTCCTTCTTGGGAATTTGAACAGCCGAATAATTTTTGTTGACATCATTGTTTAGAACGACAAACAATATTACAGTAAGTAACCATTACTTTATTCTGTGAAGAAAACAGTAAAAATTATTGAGTCCATTTGATTTTGATTAATACAGTGCATAGTTGGCCCTAATAGATCTCATAATCTGGAAAGATTTACATAAAAGAGTAAAATCCCAATACAAATTATTTGAAAAACATTATTTTGTTTAGTTTCACTACTGCTGACACCCAAACGTTTCGTACTGGTCGACCATATTTTCAATGCCCGTACAGGTAGGTCTGTATTCATCCTTTTGACACTCTGCGTCTGTGGGCCAATACTCAATCCAGGTTCTCCCTCCAAGAAAATACTGAAACCTGAGGAAACAAAAAGGCAAAAAAATGCATTGGTTCAACAGTTATCTGTCATACACAAACATATGAAATAGCCTCCTCCCTCCTTTATGTTAATTTACTTTGCCAATAGACACAAAAACATATAAAAAAAGAAAGACTAACTTCATTTAGTAATAAACCGCATAAAACAGTTAAATACACACACACACCACACTCATTCCTATTAAGAAGAAGCTTACGATTGGTCATTTTCATCTGCGGTAATATCTTGGGATGAGCCCATGATAAGGTAAGTTTTGCCTAATCTCAAATCCAACGACTCCCTGCAATGCGGAAGACTGATGAATGTGCGCAGTTTATTCACAGGACCCACGTCCTTGCTTCCTGTAATTGAGACATGAGATAGAAAAGGTAAGAATTAAATGGATAGTTAAAGGTTCAGTACAATAAATTAGCAAAGTATACATATTACTAATGCAACAGTTGAATCATACTTAAGGTAGTTGTGATACGCTAATTATATAACATACACACTAGAATAAGTCAGCCTGGCTCTGTTCAAAGGTAAGAAAATCCACCTACTGGCACTTCTAATTATTTAACAATACTATCTAACAATAAAAAATAAAATGACTTTTCTTAATTACTAAAATTTTCTTCAAAGAATAATCACCTGAAACTAAGAGTCATGTTTTTACCTCACAGGTAGATGCAACTAGACTACAAAGAAACATTTATTGTCAAGGACAAACCAGTAATGAGTGTCCGCTTGTTATCTATTAATACAAGCTAATTGCACTGGCTGCTACAAAAACGTGAGTAAAACTAGTTTTCTCCTCCAACTCTGACAAAAGGCAACTGTCGTAAAATGATAATTACTCACCTTCTTTGATGGTTTTCAGAACTCGCACAGTGTTCACATCAATGGACGAATCTTCTTCAGACAGTTCCACTTTCACTTTGTACGCTTAGGACAGAGCAGTTGCAGACTGTTAGCAGACATGTTTGTACTTGCTATATTTTATTACAACAACATACATTTATTTGTACACAAGTGCATATTAATGCAGTCAAGCTCACTTACCAAAATCTATTTTGTTGTTCACTTCAGTCTCACATATCTTTTCTGTGCGCTGATCATTGCTGACTTGGTCCTTCTTCTGCATACTGCAATTCTCTGGAAATACACAATGCACCAAGTGAGAACACAACCGGTGACCCAGTGACATAATCACGTGTGTGTGTGTGTGTAAGAGTTGACGAGTGAAACTGTACCTAAAGGACAATAGTACTTCTTTAGTGAGACTGCTGCTCTGATCCTAGAATCCTGGAGGGCGTGTTGCCTCTGATAAAAAGTTCTAGTCGTTACAATCTGGTGACTTACTTACTTACTTTGTTGAATTCATTTTAAAAGCTATTTCATATTTAGTCTTATTCACATGGGATCAGGCAGAACAGAACAGACGGTAAAATACATTTTCGCCTGATTACACGTGAAAGGTGTCAGTCTTAGTCTTTCACTGCAAAGGCTTATTTATTATAATACATTTTGTAGTTTTAGTCAATAAAAAACGAAAATGCTGCAGTGGACGAAAAGGACATGCAACACGCTGTGTGTGTGTGTGTGTGTGTGTGTGTCCAAGACTAAAAGAGGACTCATCCTGTACCTTCAGCACATGTGCACTCATCTTGGTCCTTTTTACAGAGCCGTGTTAACATGCCAGCTTCCCTTTCTGGATGGTAGAATTTCACACAACGTTTTTCTGCAATGGAGAAGAAAGATATTTGCAAAGGGAGTTTGTGATTGTTGCAGTAAATCAGAACATTTGTAATAAAGACTTAATGAATCTAATATTG